CGGGAGGTCCTTCGTCAGCACTACGAAAGGCCCCCGTTCGTACCATCGGATTGGGAGAGTTCTGCTCTCGACTGGATCTTCATCGGTGGACCTGGCCCTGCTTCCCCCATGCATGTCAGTCTCTCTCTCTCTCTCTTTTTCTTTTCATCTGTCAGCTTCCTGTCGGTGGCGATGACGTTGCACAAACTGGGAAGGCAACTCCTATGTGGACCTAATTCCACAAAAATGACGGAATTAAATCCCTAGTCATTTCCCTGAGGTTTTCATTCACGGAAATTCATTGAACACATTTGAGATACTATCTGAATGTTTATGATGAATATTTTATCAATATCTGAATAGAAAGAATTTGTAGTTCTGAGCGACGCAAGTGATTCTGCTCAGAGGTCTTCGTATTCGGAGCAGACCTTCCTACCGAAAGATACATAAATAATCATGGGACTCATTAAGGATATTCCGATCTTAAAGTACCTATAAGGGGCTTGCAGGGCAGTTACAGGCCAACAGTGACAATAAGCCAGCTGAAATTTGATTTCAAAATAGGACTCCCGTGTTATTTTCAGAGACATTTCTAAAATTCTTACGCGAGCATCAGTGTTTCTCAACGTGGCGGTACACCACTGGGTGAGCTTGCAACGTTAACAACACGGGATCACGAACTCGAGGAAATAAAAAAACAGAGGAAAGGCTCAGGATTTCTCTTTTCTCATATTTTTCAGTATCTAGGTGGTCATACCTGCACCCAGGAAGTAGAGGAATAACAACGAAAAGGGAAATGACTTCTCAGAAAGGCTTTACGCTGAGGCCAATCAAAACAAACGTACATTATGAGTTTGTATTTGTATTGAGTATTTGCCTAGCACTTCAGTAAAAGTACTTTCCAATGCGTTCACAACTAGGAGGGCAGGGGCCACGTCTTAGTTTCGACGCTCTTTGCTGAAATCGGCGCCAAGAAGCGTTTCATATCTCATTTCTGTTCAAAGTCTCTTTCTCGGAATAAGGATCGAAACGGATGGATTTCTTGAGAGGATGATGTTGACGTGAGAACAGACAGACAGCTGACTCAAACATCACTGACAAGCGCACCGAGTATCTTGAAGTTAGGGAAGCAAGGTATGTAATGTTTTCAGCCTCCTTCGCCTCAGGAGCAGAGGATTAGCGAAGGCTCTCGGCGGCAGCCGCTTCTCTCGCCGTTGGTGTGCCTCAAAGAATTTCATAGGCTTTGTGGACCTCGCGGTGACCAGAGGATATGAGGGGGAGGAGGAGGAGTACCTCCTCCCCCCTGAGAGACTTCTCCTCTGAGAAGAGAAGACCTCTGAGAGATTCCCCCCGAGCCTGAATGGAAGAAAAAATCGACGGCCAGAGACTGAGGATTCTTTTTGTCATGCTAGTTACCTGTGTACTGTATATATATGTGTGGTTGGGATACGTCCTTCTCTCTTACCACCCGGGTGGACCCTTCTTTCGGTCAGTTGTCTCGCATTGTGTAGCATACTCTTGTTCCTGTAGTTCAACCATTCCGTGTTTCATTACGGATCTCACCGGTACTATAATAACAAGATTAAGATTATAATTAATAACACCCACGTATGGACACGTCAGGAACGCTCACAGCTTCAAGTTGGAAATGACAGTGGTGGCGGGAAGATCGAAGACCTTGGTGTCCATTATCCCCTTGAATGAGCGTCCTTGAAGAAGGTCTCTGTCGCTAAACCGATCAACATGGGATAAATTTTGATCTGGATATCGACGCAGATTTGACGTTTTATTAGTTACATGACTCGGATCACAGGGGCTGTCCGTTCAAAAGGTCAACACCATTTAACAATGCGAGTAAAGAGATGTGAACCAAAAAGGCTCCCGCGAAAGGTGCTGTTTAGACCCGGATTATCTACTGAGTGATCCAAATGACGGACGGCCCTCCCCCAACAGTCCAAACTACTAGTCCGATTGTAAAACAAAAGAGAAAGCCAATTAAATTGTGCAATATTTTGTCTATGCAAATCTGAGATAATAAATCATGACGAGATTCGACAACAATATTGCGAAGTGGGTGGATCTCATCAAAGCTGCTCCATAAAGCAAGAGATGATTGAGTAGCGTTCATTTCACGCTCATTGTTAACAAGGTCAAGAGAAGTGAAATTTTTGCAGGCCCATGGACTCCTGTTATAGTTGTTTATCACAAATGTTTCAATTCTCTTGAACTTGTTCGCAAACCATGAGCGTGAAATAAACCCTGCTCAAGCACTTGTTTCACGGAGTGTAACATTTTGATGCGATCCACCCACTTCGTGATATTATTGTCGAATCTCGTCATGATTTATTCTTCAGATCTAAAAAGGTACATAAGAATGCACAGGTGAATTGGCTTTCCAGGGTTTTGGTCTGTTTTACAATCGGGCTAGTAATTTGGACTGCAGAGGGGGAAGGGGCCCATCACGATGGACCACCCCGTAGGTTTCCTACTCTACTGACTAAAAAAAATCTAGTAAGGGATCAAGTAAACTTGGGAATCCGCGTGACTCGAGGCTACGTCTTATTTCCTTTTCTCTTGGGAAAGTGGTTCATGGCGCACTATTTGTCACGATTTAAGCGCAAAGGGCTTTCGGTAGACACATCAATAATTTTCTGGAAGGAAAACAGTCTCCTTGTGCTGCCTCCAGAAACATGTCTGTCATTACCCAGAGAAAAAGTTTGTGTGTGTGTGTGTGTGGGGGGGGTTAGGGAGGGCTACGAGAACTCTGGCATACTGTTATTTTGCATTTCATGCATCTTTTCTTTCTTTTCCTACTCACTTCGCTTTTTTTCTTTAAGATCCTTTTCCGGGTTCATTCGTCTGGTGACTTCCAAATTAAATGTTAAATTTCAATATGACAGCCAAGACAAAGCTTTCCCATAAACATATTTGAATTATGCAATTGTTACTTAATAAAATTGTGAGGGAGGGGACCGGCTTAAATTGCACAATTGCCCTCTAATCGAGACTGCAGGGGGGGGGGGAATTCAATTACATCCAGCAGACGATGAGAAGCTGAGAACCAAGTACTATACTGAAAGCTGACTTTTGCCTAAAAATGTCTGAGTCCAGTGCCAATAACTTGGTTGTTGTGTTATATCCAGCTGGACTACGTCCATCGGCCGTCTTGGCAAGCTCAGATTTCAGGATCCAAGAGGTGGAAGGTTCAGCCAGTCCCTGAATGTGAGGAACAGTGCAGCAATTTCTCTGTCATAGTGGAAGCAGGTGACATCTGTCAGTTCATGCCTGAAATTACTCCTAGCTCATTAGCTTGGTCTTGGTGAAATTTTCAAATGAAATCACTTTTTTTCAGTTTTCCTGGATACCACCAAGTGGTACCATTGGACATGGATCTGCCCAGACAATCTTTCACTGACAATTGGCTCCGAGTATGACTGAAACCTGATTCCTTGCCTCTCAGGAGCACTCTAAGAATTTGCACTCCCCCAAGGACTAGAAACAAAATGGTATCATCAATGACCACAAAAAAGTTCTGCCCACATGTTCTTGTCCCTCATTATGGTCAGATGAGTCAGTCTTACAGTTTTTGTTCTGGAAGAAAGTTAGCATGTGTACAGATTACATGTTGTTCATGCTGTACAAAATGTTTTTGCTTTTTCTGCTACCATTGCAGAAAGCTTCAAAGAGCACAGATGGATGACCATCGATAATAAACATCATGAGGAGCTCAGTGTATAAAAAAATTGAGGAAGTAGGTTTCTAGAGCCTTCACATGCCTAATGAGTAGGAAGGCTTAAGTAATATTTTACAGGGAATGACAGAAAAAATGACCAACATCTTTTAGCCTTTACATCTCTGTTCTCACAGGAGATATTTACACAAAACTTGCACTGTGCATTGATTGATATGTTCCCAACAAACTATGGAAATTCCATTCAAATTGATTCATCCAAAGTAAGGCAATGCACATTAGTTCAAAAGAAATCAAATATTGAAAATGAACAGGGGCTTCCAATCCCTTCCAAGTGCCCTCATCCATCTCTTTGTAAACCAGGGGAAAATCTGGATAAACATTGAATATATTCTCTGTTTTGACACTTATTGATTAATCTTTCATTGATTAGAATATGTTTATTATAGTTATCTGCAAAAAGAAAAGGCCAGCCCCTAAAATGAATTGAATGGAAGAGAAGTTCAATGTGGGGTGGATGATACAGAAGCAGAACAGTGGAGTATGTCCTCCACTCCACTCCCAGCATAAGCTTGCTTACATTTTCATTAAATTATTTTTAATCATTGTTCATAGCCTTACCTTGAAGCAATGAATAGAGAACACATTTTGAAAATATGTTGGAAACCTATCCATCTATACACAGAGATAGTTTCATGAAAATAACTCTTGTGGGAACAGGGTTTTGTTGGTTAAAAGTCATAGGTTTTTTTTTATTATCATACTTTGTAGATGTGGCTTATCTCTTGTTGCATTATGTGCTTTTGCCATCAGCAGATTAGTATTTTGCTTACATGCTCGCCTGTGACTTTGATGTGATAAGCTCTTTTCAGTGGTCTTTTCAATTATCCCATGGGCTTATCAACAGTCTAGCAGCATATAACATCTATCTTCATGCCCAGAAAGCTGCCAGCACAGCAGGACATCTTGAATTTGTTCCATTTTCTTGTTCCCCGACCTACTTCATCACTTGACTGCCAGTCATTACCTACTCTCTTTGTAGGTAGGGAATTCCACATGCTCATTTTCTGCTATCAGGACACAAACAGATGTTCAGTCCTGCCCACTTTCATCCAAAGTCTCTGTCCCATATCCATCCCAATTCTCCAAACTCTCATACATAAATGATAACTGAAGAAAAAGAAGAGCATTAATTTCGAAGTATCACAGGGTTTTCTTTCTTTCATCTCAGTCATTCAGTAACTCATCCTTGTCAACCATATTCATAATAAACTCAGTAAACAAGCCTGTGGAGAATGAGAATGCACACTAATAGGCAATTGACAAATCATCAGAAGTACTGCCACTTCCCAAGTACAGCATCCTTGATGGCATCTATGTACTGGGCTGGAACCCAGTAAACCCAGTATCTTGATGCCTCTGTTGGGCCAAGCTGGATTCCCTGCCAAAGAAACACCCAAGTGGGTCAAGACTTGATGGTAATGCAGTGCTAAGGAAGACAATGGCAGATGAAATTATGGTTCATTCAGGTGGCTTTTATGCTGGGTCATAAAAAGACACCATTATGGTAGAAGCAAAGAAGTTTCAAGAGAGAAGCTAGAAGGCTGGGTTTTTTTTTCCAGAATGCAGTCGTCCTGGTATCAACATGTGACCTGAAGCTGACAGATGCTACATGCATGCTATTGTTCTCAGCCTAAATTTTAAAAAAGAATAAGAAAAAAATAAGTCAATTGTCTCCCCACCTTTAAGGAAAGCTCTATAAGTATCCATAGCATCCCTGAAATGCAATATACCATAGCACTAGGACATCAAAACCTGATAGCAGAAAGGAAAGCTGAACACTCTTGGGTAGGTTGATGATTTTCCAAAAATGACTTCTTGAGGCTAAATATGAGTTTTTTTTTTTAATTAGCTTCTCTATACTAAGAATGCACTTAATAAAGTATCTTCTAAGGACAACCAGATGCCTGAGAGTTCAAGATGACCTACTCCTAGAAAGTGGACTTCAGACCACATTTAGAGGTTAAAGGAAAATTCTGTCCAGGCACTTTGGAGATGACGAGCCTATAGTCTCATTAAAAATTGGATAGGTCATTACTTGTTGCTTCCATGTTATTCATGGACAGGTCAACAAAATGCTAAGCAAACATAAAGCTGAAACTACTTCAAGGGCAAATAGGAGAAGTCAAGCATCACAAGCCAACCATGGAATGAAGTTCTTCAATGACATTTGTCATGTGTGGGCTCAAAACTTCATGGAACTCTTCTTCACTGTTTTATCACAAACTGGTACTGCTTAGCTACTCTTTGAAGTTAATAGGTGGCAAAAGAACAAATATGGTGCAAATTTATGCAAAGAAATAAGTTTTGCCTATCAGGTTATAAGCCTACATGGGGGATCTACGTAAAAGTCACTCTTCTGGGCAACATTATAGGTACAGTGGAGACTAAAATAAATGAAAATGAGAATTTTGTAACTGGTTGTTGTTTCTCATATTTAGGGCTGTCAATTCGATTATATTAATTGATTAAAGTGTTAATCACGATTTAAAAAATTAGTCAAAATTAATCGAATTTTAATCTACCCCATTATCTCCCCTGAATGCCTCTTTTTCCTCTCATAATTTTACTGTGTAGTTCATAGCTTTGCAAAACAACTGAAAACAAATGCTTTATCAATGGAATTAAATGTAATGATGGCTTATAGAAGGTAGTCATTCTCACACAGTTCACTCTTCCTCAAAAACGACAAACTATTTTTGGAAAAAGGGAACACACAAAAACCAAGCTGGTTTTGTGTTTTGTGTTACCAACCAACAGACTTTCAGACTATTAAAAAAAAAAATCTTCCTGACCCCTTCGCATCCACAAGCGTACTGGTACACATCCCGTGACTTTCTGCCTGGCTGACGGCCTTCAAAGGCATAATCTTGCAGGCCTCATGCATCAGGCTGAGGTAACATTGGTTTGATTAATTGATTTAATGGCTTGCAATTAATCAATCAATTTTTAAAATCGATTGACAGCCCTACTCATTTTAAAATATGACAGAAGCTTCAATATTCTTCTCTGATGGATATTGCACTTGGGCCAATAGGTGCAATGTTTCTAAAAATTATGTCACATAAAACTTTGAAGTATTTGCTTTAAATATCATGATTCATGATTCTAAAACGAAGGGAATGCATCCAGATTCTCATATTTTTTTTATCAGTCCTATATTCTGCCTCCCCCGGTATAATCATAACCTCTGACAAATACATGATTTCATGGGTTTGTTCTTTACAGATAATATGAGAGCTCCAATATATATATATGTTTATGGTATAACCACTAGAGTTTCAAAGGCTCACCATGATATGATACTCCTCGTGATCAACGATGGGCTCGCTCATAATAGCCTTGATGGTGTTCATTGGAATCTTATCTGTTCTTTCCTTTGTGCCAATCCACAGCTGATCTGCCTCCAGCTTAAAGGTCAGTCTGACCTTCCCACCATGCTTGTTCACCATTCCAGAAATGGGAAATGGAGGAAGGCTGTCCTGCTCATAATTGAAAGACCTCCAACTGTTTTAGTTTGACTGACAATCAGACAATATGAAGAAAAGAATAAGTTGCCACCTTGGAGTTTTTAATGCCAGGCAAGACATCATCTGGGGGCCCTTTTTCAATAATTTTCTTGTGCTGCTTCTGTTGGCTTAGTGGCTCCTTGGTTGAAGAGGAGGTAGCACCCTCCACAACAGGCACCTGATATAACAAAATTATAGGCTTTGCAGGTCTTTTTCCAGACTTGACAAACTCCCTTTTTTTTTAGTTGCATTTCACCTTGGGTGCAGGCTTCGACACCTGGAGAACATCATTCAGTGTTGAACCAATTGCCATCACCTTCCCACCTTCTGTCAAGCCACAGGCCTTCAGGGTCATCTCTTCCTTGGCAAGACCCTTGATCATGAGCTTCTGCATTGCTGGAGGAACTTCTGCAAAATGAAATGAATTTAAAATCAAATTGACACATTTGGATAAAACTAATTTTTCATCTGGAAGCCAGGATGAATTTTTGCCTACGTATGATTGGTTCCAAATGTTGCTTCAGCTGGGCCACAGTTGCATCCAAGCTGAATTCCACATCAAACCTATTTTTATTGTACATCACTTTGAAGGGCACAGGATCACTGAGTTTCTCATCTTTCAAGGCACTGTCGAGGCATTCAGATGAGGGTGCACTGTGATATTCATACTGTGATGTTCTCTCATCTGATGTGACTGCAGGTACATCAGCCACTGCATCAGCATCTTGAAATGTTGTCTCTGGAGCTGCAAGAGTAATGATCAAAGTTAGGTTAGCCCTAGAACATATCTTTCATGCTTAGCTGAGGTATATGCAATAGCTATATTGGCCAAGTCATTTAAATTTCTCTATCCGGTTACACTACCACAGTAGCAGTGGGCTCAGCATATGAATTCCTGAACTCTCAAAAAACAAATGCATTGATATTATTTTGTGCAAAAAATATATTAACTAAAACTGATTTCAACTGTCCTGCTACTGGTGTACTCATCCTGAACATTCTTACATTATATATCTTATATAGCATCATCCCATGTAACAAGGGGGATGCAATCGTGATTTTGGGTTGAAAAACCTCAAGGTATTCTTGCCCACTGCACATCTTTTTCAGCAGATTTTTTGCCACTGCCATGAAATGGTAATTGTCAAATATGAGCTGAAAATGATCAAGTTTTTTGCAAAAGAGTGAAAACTGAGTAATACCAGATTTTGAAATGTTTGAAGCACATTCTCAGGATGGAATATTTGGCTCACAGAGAGGCTCTCTTGGTTTAGAATTGAATTTGCTGTTTTTGTGAGGTCTGCAGGATTCTGAAAGACAATTCTCAACTTGGACATTGAAACAAGTTCTCATGGACTTGTGAAGCAATGACTTTCCAATCTAACATTTGTTACACTCTTGAAAGCAACCATTCCACTCAATAACTCACTTTGTGCATAATAACCAAGGCCAGTAGTTCTCAAACTTTTTTTTATTAGCAGCACATATTTGGAATCTTCAATTTTCCACAGTGCACTTAGCCTTCTAAAGCTGTTTATGTACTCTTAATAGGAACTAAATACTAATAAAGTTAAATGCTTTGCCACAGTTCTGTGTACCTGAATGAACTAAAAACTGATGGAATTAGGGACAACTCCTAGGCATGACATGATCATGCCCTACTAATAAAATGTTCCTTTCTTAGTCACTGCCTGCTGGCTGGACTGAGTTATGGCAACAACTGGAGATCAAGGGTTAGGCCAAGGCAGTTTATATATCCTCCAGTGAGGAAAGATGGAGTCCTGATGGTCATCCTGAAACAAGTTAGCTTTCTCGTCAAATCGCAAATGTCAAAGAAAACGAATTTTCTGCACTTCTAAATTCAGGTGACACAGGCCTAAGCCTATCCTGGTGGATTAGCCCATGCTAGTCCCAGAGGCCTAGGTAATGTGGGGCCTTGACAGAAAAATTCTCATTAGAAACTCACCAATCGAAAAAGAGGCTTCTTCAGAAGTAGGAGGTTCACTTGGAGAAGGCGTTGCCGCTGGATCTAAAGACGCAAGGGATTTTTCTTTCTTTTGGTCAGAGTCTGGCTCACCCTGGTCCTTCGTCATGCTTAAATTCTCTGCCGCTTCCCTGTCCTTCTTTAGTTCTTCTGCATCCATGAGTAATCTACTTCTACTTGGTTAGCAGAAGGGGGGCGTTCATCATCACATGCAAGTTGCAGAAATGTGGTATGCAAAGCAGATTAGAGAAAGGACGTCACGGAGTGATTTGGACTGGGTGCATTCGTTGTTACGGGATGGAGGGCGCCGCCATGTCGACCGATTCTGGCTCTTGATTGGTCGTTGGAGCCAATTCTTTGCTTGCCCCCAGCCCAGCCCTTCGTTCCGACAGCACGGAAGAACAATTCTTTGTCAGCCACGGTTTTGTCCGTTTCTAGTGTCTTCGTCGGCAAAATAAGCATGCCTTGGAGTAGATGATGTACGTGTAACCTGTGATACAGAAGTATTCTTTGATACCTTGGTACGAAGAGAGAGATGGGTACTTTCTCAAAGAAGAAAATCGTGTACTTCTATGAGCCTGAAGTTGGAAATTTCCACTATGGTGAGTGAGGTGTCTGAATTTCCCAGACTAGGCGTAGGTTAACCGGAGATTCCGTAATTCATCCATCTTTTAGACCAAAGCTTTACCGCACGCACTCAGATCCCCTTATCTACCCCAAACTGATAGGCCTGAGGCCTATTTTCCCATTTATGTTCGTCCTGCAGTTGATTGTACTCTGATGCATTTAAATGGCTCTGCTGCCGCCTACAGTGTCTTTCACTTTTGCATGCAGTATCCATTCATGGGTGTTGGAATAAAAGGAGTAAATTATAGACCCAAATGAAAGCATAGTAAAGACTACCATGGGTATTACTGATTATGGTTAAGTGTAATCCCCCTTGGAATATTGTGTTGCCCCTAAAGTTAGGCCAGGTTAGGTGAGGTTGGTGTATATTATTAATTAAAAGGAATTCCAATGGATGTAGCATGTTTCCAGTCAAAATTTTCTAGAAACATTAGAGATCGAGGGAGTGAGATTCTCTTGGGGGTATGTACTTAGCCATTACTGGCATTACTTCACCTTCTGACCCATCATTCCCATCCTCAACTTATGCTGTACAAGTTGATTCAGCCTACATTTCCAAAGTTGATGTCAAGCCCTCTTTGGACTTTAGAGTCCAAAGAGTTAGAGTTAGAGCTAACATAATCTTCAACTCCTATCCATTCCTAACCCACTTCACAGTATTCCTGCATCCAGTTCTCTGCTCTGCCATTTCTTTTTGTTAAATATGGAACTAGAGGAGACTTTCACAGTTGCTGACAGCAAATTTGTCCACAGGCATGGCCACCATCACTGTCAATTTTACTCTGGTGCAGTAGCATAGAAGAAGGGAAAAAATATTCCATCTTGAGTGACATCTTGTGTAACAAAATGAAGATTTCTCCCTTCAAAAACTGTAGTAAATGAATCAAAATTTGAATAACTTTTTTGTAATTTCTCATAGAATAGTTTCTAAGAAACACTATGCTATAAAACCTAAGTGATTTAAAAGTTACATTCCTATACATTACTTGTATTACAACTATCATTTAGACCACCGATCATGTAGTTATTTGTGCTATATACATGCTGTGTATTTTCTTATTCATAAATGTAGATAATAAAAAAAAGCTTTATTTGACATGTGCAAGGTGGCAATTATAGATACACCCTCTGCCCAGCAGAGATGTGGTGAACCTCAAAATTATACTTAGCCTATCCTAATTGTCCATTTGGTCATACTTCTTTTCCATGCTTCAGATTTGACTGATTTTACCATTTGCTTGCTCTAGGTTGAATGTTCAGAGGAGTGCATGTTGACCATATCTGAGCGACCGTTTAGTTGGGGTAGCCCTAACAGCATCCTAAGCTGTGGTGTCATGATATGCTGTGCCTACTTTGAATCTCAGCTTAGAACAGGTTATATTGCAAAAACCACAAAATCTGAAAAATGAAAAGAAGCTCAATTGTATTGGCTTGTAAAGAGACTAACCCAGGGGTTACGCTAGGTTTCTTGCCTCAGGACCCTCTGGTCTGATATGGAAGGGTCCCCTGATAATTAAAGGGATTACTTTCCAAGTGAGGCACAAGAGAAACTTGATGGGTTTCCCAAAAGCCAAAGTCCAGCAATCCACATGTATTTGTCAACTTAACATAACCAAGCAGTATGATATTCAATCCAGCATTCTTAGGCCTTCTGGGGGTCCTGGGACCTCTGGGATGCATGGGCAGGAGGCCAGGGCAAGAATCTTAGTGTAACCCCTGTAACCTTTTGAGGGACCCTGTGGTCTGCCACATCTCCATTGGTCACAGAGATGCATTGGTTATTGTGATACCATGCACAACTGCATCTTGCCAATGGTTGCAGCTTTTTTCCTATATATACTGCATTATGTGTGTGGCATTTTGCACAGCTTGGGATGCAGGTGTCAGGAGAATGTAGGCATGAGTTGGTAAGCCTGTTACTTTGGAGCTGTGCTTGTAGTTAAGCTGCTATCATAGCTGTGAATTGTGGTCATTCTGGTCATTGATGGCATGGCAAGAATGAAAATGAAATGCACTTTCTGCTTGTACATACCTTTTTGTAGTGTCCTCTTCCATATTAAGGGGGGTGGGGGGGGGGGGGGGGAGTATTCATTTTCTACCATCCTGCATATGTCATGACTTTAAGCACGCATATGGAAATTGGGCTATGATGATTTTCATTTTACCATTTGCAGGTGCCAACCATCCTATGAAGCCACACAGGCTGGCTGTCACACATAGCCTGGTACTAAATTATGGACTACACAAGAAGATGGCAGTTTACAAGCCATACAGAGCCAATGCCCATGACATGTGTCGATTTCACTCAGAGGAATACATTGACTTTCTCCAACGTATCACCCCACATTCTATTCTGACAAAAAGTTTTAGTCATTTCAATGTGGGTGATGATTGGTGAGTCTTGGGTGAAGGATCAATATCAATTTTGTCATTTGTCAATTTCTTGATGGTTTAAACAATGTTACCCCTTGTTTCAGTCCTGTGTTTGATGGCCTGTATAACTTTTGCTCCATGTACACTGGTGCATCCCTGGATGGTGCTGTCAAGCTGAATAATCAACATTGTGATTATGCCATCAACTGGTCTGGAGGTCTTCACCATGCCAAGAAGTTTGAAGCTAGTGGTTTCTGCTATGTCAATGACATTGTCATTGCCATTCTGGAACTTCTAAAGTATGAATTCCTTCACTTATCAGGTGTCTTTTGTGTAATTATAGCTTTTGCATTTTAAATGTTTTTCAGGTAATGCTGAATATTTGCAACAATTTCCTTTAGTAGTCGTGCACCTTTGCTATATCCATAAAGAAGGTTACAAATGTGTAGTGTTTGTTTTTGTCAGAATTGGTTGAGCCTCCATGCTAAAGAAATATCTCAACTTAATGAACTCAGCAGAAGCATTATGGGACAAGTGGTACATAAGACTTCTCTCACCATGTCTTCGGGCTCCACTTTCCTTTAAGTTCTGAATTCATCAGGGTAAGTGGGGCCTCCTCTGTAACATAGGTTGGGAGGAAGTAATTCCTGTTTCACTGGTAATAAATGACTATTGTTATTATTGTTTTATGCTTGGAGGCTTTGCTTTCCCATTTATAAAGTTGAAGTAATGAAGTGAAGAACATGAAGATGTAGGAGAATAGCAAATCTATGATAGGGTGGGGGAATGGGAGGAACTGGCAGCCTTATGCATATTATTGTGTGAGAACAGCATTCCCCTTGCTTCCAATGAGGAAATAGAACTCTCCCTGTGCTTCTCATGAACTTAGAAAAGAGCTCTTGTGTAAACATGACCCTCTTGCAATTGATTCTTGCTTGGCTTATTGGCATTTTCATTGTTATTGTCATTTAATGGCATTTGAATGGATATACTTATTGTAACTCAAAAAAATTTGTTTAAATAATTTAATGTGGGGGCCAACATATGTCACTTATCCTGGCTCAGTTCACTCTAGCCTAGTAATTTCCCCTAGATATCATGCACGTGTGCTTTATGTTGATATTGACATCCACCATGGAGATGGAGTTCAGGAAGCATTCTACCTCACTGACAGAGTCATGACTGTGTCTTTTCATAAATATGGAAATCTCTTTTTCCCTGGAACTGGTGAGGATTTTGTCTTCCTTCAGTGCCAGCTATTCCACTGCAGGTGTTCGAAGGATTTTACTGATGAGCTTGTTTTCTTTATCCCAGGTGACATGTACGAGATAGGGGCTGAAGGTGGAAGATACTACTCTGTGAATGTGCCCTTGGAGAAGGGGATTGATGATGTATCATACATGCAGGTCTTCAAGCCAGTTGTCCAAAGTGTGATGGATCACTTCAGACCATCAGCTATTGTGCTGCAGTGCGGTAGTGATTCATTGGCCCAGGACCGATTAGGCTGTTTTAGCCTTACCACCAGAGGTCATGGGTGAGTTTAACTCATTTCCTTTGGTTTATACATAAAATTGCAACTTCTTCTGAAACTATATGTTCAGAGTTGAAATGATGGCAAGAAACTTCTTACTCCAACCACCTCACCATTGAAAATACTATTTTTTATCTTTGGAGTTTCTTTGAGTCATTTATGATGTGAGGGGTGTGAGAAAAATTCTGGCCTAAAATGGAAGGAGAGTAAATATTAGTGAACTCTTTGTAGCATACCTCAGTGACTTCCCTATTATGAACATCTATGGTAGCCAATTGCCTGTCATAACTTTTGCAGTTCTAAACAGGAGTGTATTCATGTGAGTTGTAGCTATGAATCAAAATAATTTAAAATTGAACATCATGCAATGATTAGTTATAGAGTTAAAACTTACCTGTTTTGTTTTTTTATTTTTCCAATGAATTGAACCAAAAATGCCAATTCACACAACTCATGTCATCTAGTGGACGAAGTTAAAAAATATAAATAGATGAAAGCTTAGTCAAATGATACAGGAAAATCAAGAAAGAAACAATAAAACATGAGTCACTTGTGTCTCATGAGGGCAGGTAAGTCAGTTTTGGGAAGGACAGCGTTGCCCCCATCAGAGATGTCACGTAGTTAAAGAGACTCTATGAGACATTTTTGAAGACATGACAGCCACATTGGGTAATAAGGCCCCATCATATTCTACAATGAAAAAGTAGGCACTGCTTTTCAAACATGGCTGAGAGAGCATTAAAGGTGACCCTTGCTCTGGGTGGCCAACCATTGCAATGGAGAAACAATTAAAGTGAAAGAGTTGGTGATAAACAATCAACAACAGACCATTAGGTTTCTTGCTGATGAAGTTGGCATAGGCACTGACTCTCTGGAGACTATCCTGCCTAAGCACCTCTGCTCTGAGAGTGTCAGCATGCTGGGTCACCTGAATGCTGCTTGAGCAAAAAGTAGAATGAGTTGCATGTTCTGAGATTCTTTTGGAGCACTTCAATTGTGATGCCAACAAATGTTTGCCTGTTTGGTAAATTAAGATGAAACTTGGATTCCACAACCCTGAAGCCAAAATGCAGTCACTGCAGTGGGAACACACCAATTCTCCTCCACCTTGAAAATTCAAATCATCATTCTTAGCAGCTAAGGTCATGGCTGCTGTTTTTTTGGGGTTCTGAAGGCATTCTAATGATCGATTTTCTTGAAAAAGGTTGACCTAGCAATGGAGAGTACTATGCTAACTTGTTTCACAGACTGGGAGATGTAATCAAAACAAATGCTTTGGAAAGCTCTGCAAAGGTGTCCTAGATAACATGCTCACCCACAAATCAAGAATTGCACTTAACGTTGTCAAGGGTTGTGACTTTGAATTGCTCCTGCATCCATTCTACTCTCCCAGTGCTTCACATGCATGAGTTGTAAATGGCATTTCTGAAGCATTCATTGTAATTTAAATATCCTCCAGATAATGCTGAACTTTCTGTATTGACATCTTGTGGAAGGAAACCTCTATGAGAAGTGAGAGAAAAAGAGTGGAATGTGAGTGAGGGAAGTTTATTTGAATGACCATTTTCATATCCACTGCCATCCATGCTCCTAGGAGATCAAGCTCTGAGCTGAAATTCCGATTTTACTCATTGGGCCAGTGTGTATGGGTTCCATGGGAACCATGATTGTCCATCCAAGCATCACATATGGATTACAGAGAATTACTTTTTGTGCATCATCTTACTAATGTGCATGCTACTGCTCTCTGGTACATTTTCATGAAGCAAGATCGTGTGCTTCTTTGCTTTTCCAAGTAAGGTGGTTTTTTGTGAATTGTAAAATATCTCAGAACTGGGGTATTTCCTTAGAAACTTTCTGGTCCTCAATGTGTTATGGTCAAGTTTCATTTTCTGTCCAGTTAATGTCAGAATTTCTAGACACTTAGGAGATCCTGCATAATCCACCAGTCCAAATATATGTTATCCCTTTGATGATTCAGGATCTTAAGGTCTTTGTCCAATTTGGATAGTTTCCTACAAGCTGGATTTTGTTGCTACAGTGTGCAAGGCTGTTTCCCAGCTTATCTTGGTCCTGGAGATAGTCTTAGTTGCTTTGGAGATTTATGCATTCCTTTGCCATGGAGTTTAAGTACTTCATGATGCAATGCAGAGCTGTTTAATCATTTGAATTTTGATGTATTTGGATCAGCACATTGAGATGGAAGTTTTCTTGCTACATCCTAATCATATAGCTTGGAACAAAGAATAAAGTATGTAATAGCACAAGACAAAATACCACTAGGGTTCTGCCTTTTCAAAGCCCTATCCAGTTCTACCACATGTTCTCACCAGCAGATGAAGTAGGGCAAGGAAGTATTCATCATGGATTGTAGGATATGAGAGTGTACAGGGTGGGCCAAAAAAATCTTCTGTTATCTTTAACTCTTTACAGCATAGTTTATTGAGAGTTTGAAAATATTCCAATATTATATAGAACATTTATCTAGCTTCCCACTGCTGTCAAAGATGTAATATCCATTTCATCATTCCAATGCAATTATGCACAGAGAAACTGAGGTAGCACTTGAAAATTGCACTCATCGGTACCCTGCAAGATGTGCTCCAAGTGACATCCACTCCTTTGCTTGCACATTCGCAATCTTGTTTAGGTGTTGTTCACATTTCCAGCACCACCTCTTATACTCTTTCTCATATTGCATAGAAGTTATGCCATGAATCTTTATTCTGTTGGAAAGTTGAATGTTCTATATGGAGGCGTTATTGCTATTTTAGCAAACTCTTGAGGACCAGTGCTGTGGAGTGATAACCAAACCAAAGTTTTTTTTTTGGCCCACCCTGTATTATGTTAAGAATCATTTCCTTTTTCTTGTATTCCAGGGAATGTGTGAAGTTTGTCAAGAATCTCAATGTCCCAACTTTGGTGCTTGGAGGGGGTGGTTACACAGTGAGGAATGTAGCCAGGTGTTGGACATATGAGACCTCACTTGTGGTGGATGAGCCAATCAGCAATGAACTTCCTTATACTGGTGAGAAGAAAAGAAATGAACCCAAAGAGTTAGAAAGGGAAAAAATATTTAACTAAATATTCTAGGCCCAGATAATTTTGCTGGTAAATTGCAATGAGTGAATATACCAGATGCAGCATAAACAATCTTAAAGTTGAGAATGGAATAAACTTAGGCTCCTTTGATTGAATTTAAAATTAAAATGAAGTTAACTGTCTACAGGATGCTGCAAATAGTTGTACTGGAAAAAAAATAATGAAAATTTCCAATAGTAAAAAGTGCAAACATTGAATCTGATGGTTGTGGTTCATTTATCCTGCAGAATATTTTGAGTTCTTCGCACCTGACTTTTCGCTGCATTATGAGGTGCCAAGCAAGCCAGACAATGCCAACAGCAAGCAGTACTTGGAAGCCATAGTGAGGTATACACAAGAGAATTTGAAGATGTTAGCTGGTGCCCCTAGTATTCAAATGCAGGATGTTCCTCCTGATTTCATCAGTGAAGATGCCAACAACACAGATGACAAAGATCCTGATGTGCGAGAGACCAAAGCAGAGATTGATGCCAGGTTGGATTTCATACATGCTTATATGTGGGGTGATAAAAAAAAGTTCTAAGCTTGAGGCACTTCCAGTTGCAATAGAAATTTTTTTATCCTTGCCTTGAAAAGACAGATGTCTTTGATGGTGATTTGGAAAATTTCATCATATTTGCTAATTAAAGATAGCTTCTATGAAAATTTTTTCAATGTGCTACCGAAGAGTCTTCTGAAGGGCTATTCAAATTGAGGCAAATGCTGTAATGAAATTTCTAACAACTAAGTAATTGATCTTCCAACAGATCTTCAGGCAGCTTAGAGCATAGAGTCCAACTAATTCTTCTATGAAATATCAGTGTGTTAAAATGCCTGCACATAAAATGAATAGAGGAAGAAACGAAAAGTATCCCTCCAAATAAGCTTTCATTACTGCCCTTCAATAGGTTCTTGAGAATTTAAAGTTCATGAAGCAGTAGTAGAATTGGGACAGGGAAGGAGGCTGTGCCGTAGACATAGTGAGTGGAAAAACTAATACTAAAATAACTCAGTAAACAGGATTTAAAAAGAATACTAAACAGGGTTCTAACCAGGAAATTTCCAATTTTCCAATATGACAGTCATCTCTACATACTAATCATTCCTCTAGTAATGTCCATTTGTAGATTCACCTCCACATCCTTGAAGGCTCATCATTCCCCTGAAACTGAAATTCATCTAAAATCAAGCATTGCTTTTAGGTCACATTTTATTGCATGAAAAACATTCTCAGCTTTTTTTGTAATTCATCTCTTATCTATTTTAACAATTTTATTTTAAAAATGTATTTAAGAAAAAAAAGTGATTGAAAAACAAACATTTATGTTGACAAACAAACTTGATTTCAGATCATCTTTGTGTATTTATTGTTGTATATTGAATTCATATTTTTACTTCTACCTGTACATGTGATATGGCATGTGGTCATGCAGTGAAATTGAGAATATTGAGACAGCCTTCTTTATTCTCTTACTTGCACTCTATCATATGCAGGTCCATGTTATCAATGAAAGCCTATCTGGAAAACACATTTTGCTTCTTTATACAACACTTAACTAATATGCAGCTTTTACATTTTTATTTTTTTCAGAATTGATTCACTGCTCAGCCATATCTCTGTTATTCTTGGGAGTATTGTTTATGTCAATCATGCCTTTGATTCTATTTGATTTTTTACAGGGTTGATGCAGAAAATGAATTTTATGATGATGAGAAGGATCAAGACAAAGATGAAGAAGCTGTTCAAGATATGTAATGGCAAGTGTTTCTGGCAAGTACAAAATCTTTATAATTGATTTTTTTTTTTTCCTGATTTCATTTTCCCCTTTTATTGTGCTTTTTTTGCAAATAAAGTTTTAAAAGGACCAGTTATTTTCATTACTGGACCAGAAGTCTGTTCCTAGCCTGTGATAAATCTAATCATATATACAGGTTTGGTTTCTTACCATGTTCAGGCAGTTATAATATGCAAACTATGCATCATAAGGCTGTAGTTTTTGGTGTGAACACTAATGGGACCCTGTGGAAGAGGAATGTTGGGTCATTGGATATGGCCACCTGGATTGCTTGCATTTGGAAATTTTGCAGTGATAAACAAAAATCTGCACGGGCGAGGTTGAGTGAACATGTTCAAAAATGGTGGCTGATAGTCAGACTTCCAGCTTTGGGGATATCTCAAATCTTTTATATTGTGCAGCACCTGCCACCAGAAGTTTCATGTCCTCTTCAGCCCAACGCGCCGTCATTTTCACACGCCGCAGATAGAGGAGTGAAAGATGCACTACAGGCCACAGGTCACACCAAGGAGTGCGGCCTGACCTGTTTCGACCGGCCCGAAACCCAGATGTGTCACCAAGGAAATTGCCCGGGCTTGGTGACAACACCTGGGGCAAAATTCACCCTTGGTAGGGCAAAAGAAATGCGTTTCGACTACACCAAGGATTCCCTTTCCTTGGTGTTTTGCAAGGAAAAGACCACACTCGAAACAAGGCTAATCGCAGGCTTTCTATAAGGTCATTTGTCGTGCCCCGGAGACCGGAGTTGTCACTCTTTGAGGGTGTCCAAAGATCCGCTCGCTCTCTAATGCCTGGATACACTATACCACATGTCGTTCATGTGAATCACTCGTACTGTAAACCTGGAAATTACTGAAACTTTGCCTGAGCCTATTTGTCCATTACGTGCATTGTTGACTTTCACGTACGGAATTATCACTCCCTTGGTGAACGTTGATTTTACTGGCGTAGCATAGTCGCGTCTGCCCCCATACTCTAAGCTATACCAAATTGGATGCCTCTTTTCCCATATCTCCCTGACAAACCTGACCTCTGTATAACAACCTGACCATTCTGCTGTTATCATTATTCTTTTCACTGTATTCTTCAAGCTGTGACTCTTGGTCGCGAATACATGCTGTTCATTACTAGCGTAGCGTAGGCCGACTTAGACTGGGGAGACTTAGGATGTTCTGCTGAGCGAAGGAAGGATTCATGCGTGGGAGGAAGGCCGAAGCAAAAGAAATTAAGTTATTGGTCAGAAATTGCTATCAGGCCTCCTAATACCTGCCAAGTGTGAACTTTTACAATAAAGAGTTAGCGGAATTTCGTCAGCGGGTCGGGAACAAATACTGTACAAGGGTTTAAAAGCTCTTCAAGGTGTTCCTTTTACCTCTGAAGTATTTCCGCTTCGACAGCCAGCAAGCCTCCCCTTTTGGATCTTTGATCTGCTAAGTACAGCATTTCGCCATAGCCTTCGGATGGTTTGCCAAAAACATCGGAAGCAGAGGTAAGCGAATATCATTTGCTCGCCAAATTTCTCCCACGCCAGTTTCACTTCGGCTACAGCTCCTACGCACGTCCTCGAAGAATCTGACTTAATAAAGGCCCATTAAGCCGTCTCCTTGGAAACAACAGCCTGACGTACTCCTTGTTTCCACCAGGAGTGTTTACCGCTCGCCATCCGTACACCTTCCCGCCATAAATTCATTCTCGCTGCAGCAGCCAAATCAAAATAGGTCCCGTTCGGTTTCTATCAGAAGTCTGGGAGGTACCTGTAGTTGAGGAAAACTTTTTGCCGACCACTCGTGTCAGCTCGTCACGAGTTTCTTCACCGCAGAGGGCTTCTTACTTCATCCGTTTTGAAATGCATATGATTTTTCGCTCTGCTGAGGTTTGCGCATATCTGTGAGGAGCTTGCCAACCACTAAGTAGTGATCTGTCCTCAGTTTACCCCCGTGCCTTGCCCTTGTATTCATCATCAAGAAGTTCCACGACCACATAGTGGATCAGCGACTGCTGACACACAGTTCCAGTCCGACTGTTAGACGCCCTCTGCCATGCATTCTTGTGGATGTCCTTGTGGTGGAAGGTGTTCCTTATGACCAGGCTATTGCAAGCACTTAAGTCTAGCAACTTTCTTTCATAGAGCCATCCCCATTTACTGTAGCGTGACTTCTCCAAACCGACCGACCACACCACTCCATGCACCATCGTCTTTCCCAACCCACGCATTGAAGCAAAACAAGATCATAGTTCGGATCGAGTAGGCTCCCACTCGCCTCTTCGAGGAACGCACCGTGTCTACGGAAAGCACAGTAGTCCGACTCACTCTTAGGGCCATACATTTCCAACCTCACGTCTCTTAGCTACAGTCACATTCCAAACTTTTTTGCCTGGTACACTTTTACTACATGGCACTGGAAAGCTGTGTACAAAATTATCCGCGAAACCTGCGGGTAGCTACCTACAGAAGCTTTTGAAATCAACAATTTACAGAATCGTTAATCTTTCCTGTCTTATAACTTTTAGCTACATCAAGATATAGAGATGGGAGGGGTACAAAAATAGGAGCTTTCACTGCGGAAACCTGCCCATTATAATTTTATTATGGCAACTTTTTGCATTTAGAAGTTGTCATGCCTGGAACGCTGAAAAAGTTTAAAGTTGGTCATGTTTGCCCCAGGCTAGGTCACGGCTACGTTCAGGTAAAAATATGAATTTGTTCACATTTTGAAGAGGAACTCTTCATCTATAAGACGGAGAATGATCCTTCATGTTACCTTGAAAATTGAATTTTATCATCGTAAGGATTGGCCAATTTAGAATGAACCTTCTTTCATGGCTATATGGTTTAAGAGGATTCATTTAAAAATGCACTAGGTGAAAGTTGTAGAACTAAAAGTTTGGTTCTCAGTAACATTTTAAAGGATTGATTGCCACCACATGGCATGCAACGGGCAGATGGTTTACGTAAAAACGCTGTGTTCATATTATAACATTCCAGAATGTGGCCGAGAAGGAAAACCGTGCGTTGTACGTATGAGGGGGTGGGGATCAGGTTCACGTGTGAAACGAATCCTGCGGGTCAAATACGAGGATACATATAGCACATTTTATATCGTATCCATGCGGAGCAGCTGCCATAAATGCACAATAATTGATTTTTCTGAATTATACTTACTAATTAAATTGATCAACATTAGTTTCAAACAAAAAAAAATTTTGTCAATAAATATTCATAAATCTGCATATTTATTCCATGAGATTCATTTCACATGGACCTTATGTCCACCGACTGGTTTCTTTGGAATTCCATAGTGAAGAATTCCCATGTTGAACGACAGGTTAAATGCTGATCCAGCAACGATTCTTTTGCGATGGGGGGATGGGGTCTGGAAAGATTTGAACTCGACAGGATCTGACCTTGACTACTTTCACCGGGTCTCCCGAGTCGAGGCGAACGCTAAGACTGCCGCCATTTTTCCCTCTCCACGATCGAGTCCTTGAGCTCTCGACCCCAGATCTTCTCACACACGTTCCAGACACCGTGCGAATCGCAGACGACGCACACGATCCCCTTAGGAAACTCTTCATCATGTATCGACATGCTTCTAGTTCCCTCTCTCGACCCCATGTCGTCATCGTGCTTCAAGAGAAAGACGAGAGGGCGTTTGAAGGAGAACTGGGAGGAAAAAAGGAAAAGAAGGCTTGCCATGGAATCCCACCTGACTCAAAATGAAGCGGGAATGAGACCGACTCATCACAGCATTTCTCAAACTGTGGTTTACAAAGTTGCAACAGACAACAAGACTGACTTTTTTTATCCTAAGAATTCTGACTGGAGAAAAGAACCCGTGCTCTTTGGCGGGTTGAGAAAAGCCGGCCATGGGACGGTGGTAGTGATTGCGAGCCATGGTCAAGGCTGCAACCGTGTCTGATGCTTTCAAGTTGACCAGATGAGCTGCTCCTCCGATCGCTGCACTCTCTACGCTGCTCACTCCTCGGAATCCAAAGTCGTGCAACTGTAAATATGCACGGTTGGTGAAAAGTTCAACCAAGCATGGGACTTTTTTTCTCGATTTTATGTGAGGTGGTCGAGCAAAGCTCTTAGGCCTGGAGCATGGTAAACTTGAAGATTTTGAAATTTTACTGAATCATATTTTCATTTGGATGTATTTATTTGCATTCGACTGTGTATCGAAAAGAACTTAAGTTCAAGTTTGAATAAAACTTGAACTTAAGAAGTCCAGCACAAAAGTATCAAAAGTCTAGTGTTAAGAAATGCAAAACCTTACCTGGCGTCAATCCCTCGTGCCTGCTTACTCATTAAAAATAATTTTCCTAGCCTGCTCTGAGATCTCTAGCGTCATCAGTTCACATTTGTTTGCAGGCCTCCAAAATTGAATGCAATACTCTAAATGAGGTCTTACCAGTTCTGCGTACAACTGAAGAATAACGCGCAAGCTCTTGTTGACAATGGAATGCCTGATAGAGCCTGGAATTCCTTCCGTTTAGCTATTGTCGCTTGCGCGTGCGAGAGCTTGAGATTTGGGGTTACTATTGAGTAATCCTAAATCTCTGTTTGTCCCCTCCAGTTTATGCTTGCTCATCGCATTCGGACTCCTGTTGTTATTGTGATCGATGTGAAGAATGTTATATTTACTCCTTGTGAGCAGTTTTTTTCTTCACTCGTCCGAAAGCCTCAAGTCCTGCTAGGCTTTCGCTTCGTCCTTCCCCCTCTTCCCCCCTGCGATGGAGAAACCCAATTTGGCATCGTCAGAAAATTTGCTGATCATATTCGTGAGGCTTAGATCTAAGTCGGTAATGAAGACCACAAGTAAGAGTGGTCCCAAGACGGAGCAGCCCTCTGGGACTCCACTCGCTTGCCCGACAAGCACCGACACTCCATTAACCATTGCCCATTACCATAACCATTACTCCATTAACCAGTTACTCACCGCACCATGAATCCCGTACGCCTCCTATATATCCAGTAACCTCTTGTAAGGAATGGTATCGAAAGCTTCCGCTTTCGCGATATCTAAGAAGACGATGTCCACTGGATTCCCTTACTCGAGAAACGCGGCCTGTAATTAGTCAGATTGCTTTTATTTCCAATTTTGAATATCGGTACGACGTTCATTAGTTCCCAATCCCAAGGCACTTCCCAGCGAAAAATGCGACTCTCGAATACGATTGGAATTGATACCAACGCTTCCATCCCGAGTTCCTAGATGACACTCGCTGGAAACCCATCAGGGCCGGTTGTTACATCTGTCGATAGATACTCTTACTCGTGATCTCTTCGGTGACGAATAACTTCGATGTACGCCGAGGTGACCTTCACCATTGTTCCTATCTCCGCTATTTTCGGCTTTTCTATCATCATTATCGAAAAACTGCATAGATATGGGTTGGGGATAGAGGATGGAGAATGGATATAGTGAATGCATTAGGTTTTGTCAATACTCTGGATAAGGCGTGCATGAGAGAAATAATTCCTTGATGGATGAATTTCAGGTGCAGAGTCTAGATTCAATAGGAGCAAAGAAGAAACTCTGAGACATCTTGATCGAATGAAGAGAAGGAAGAGAGAGAAACCTTGAAGTGTAGTCCTTGGAGGGACTCTCCGATCTCCAAGAGATACTTAGCAAGGATCTCCTTTTGATACCGAGAGTTCGTGGCGACCGTCATGGGATACCACACCTGGACCAGGATCGTCTGGGTACACGGGGAACAATCTTTCAACGACTTGCGAAGATGAGAGAAGCAGATGAGTGCACGCAAGAAGGAGTGCCCTACCTCGAAGAAGTTGGTGAGCCAAGGGACCATGGGATCTGTGTTTTCCACCGTGAATAGGACATTCCGGGTAGGGACCACCGTCCCCTCCGGAACAGCCTTGATCCGCAACGGAATCCGACCCTCGTGCTTCTGAATGAAAATGTATAACTCTTTTAAATGTTTGAAATACGGTTTACTGAGTCGTGTGGAATGCAGCCTACAAGGTAAAATCCTTGTATCCCCTTACGTCACATCCGCGCTCCAAAACTAACATTGCAAATCTTACACGGTTATGCTGGGTACTACAAAGTCGTTATCTAATTTCACATTTTTTTGTAAGTAGAAGCTGCAAGGGAAAGCAAAGCAGATGTTGTGAAAGTGATCCCATTATTGAGGGTGGCAATTCTTTTCCTGTGGTGCGTTTATTACCTTACATCTCAACACGAAGTGCCGTTCAATCCAGCCTGCCGCAGCATTTTGTGGCAGATTGATCGGAAGTGAAGCCTTTTCTCTTTTCTTTTGTGTGTGTGTGTGTGTGCGTGTGGGGGGGGGGGGGGGGGGGGGGGGGGGGGGGGGGGGGGGGGGGGGCGGAAGACCTGTATGCAAGCTTATCGATCACGCGCCTTCAAACAAGAACCAGAAGGAAAAAGCACCGATGAGCAGCGCATCGCCGGAGGAAAAAAAAAAAAAAAACATTTCTATCTTTGTGGAAGTTTCCGATACGATTGTTTTGTCTTCTTTTTTTTTTAGCTTCCTTGGAATTTTTAAACGTGTATTAACTTTTGTCATACTCTTTATAGTGACTGAAGCATTCCAACTATCGTTATGAATAGCTTTAAGGAAGTATGAAGAGAGGAGAAAAGAAAAAAAAATGGACAGACCAACCTACTTTTATTTAATCAACTTTATTTATTAATTTACTCTTTCATGAAAGGCTAAATGCCCAAGCTGATGTGGGTTGTTGCAGATGTGTATATCTGATTCACCATTCTGGCATTGAAAATACTTCCGTGATTCTTTAACAGTTAGTTGATAAATGCAAGGTTAAGCCTGGGTTATTATAGCCCAAAATCAAATTCAGACAATGCTTTGGGATAGCCTAATATATTGCCTTATAGGTTAGCGTAGCAGGGATTTATTTCTAGATTTATCAATCAACCCTCTGTCATTGCACCGGTGGCGTCAGCTTGGGAAATATTCATTTCCCCATTTTGCAAGGAATCAACAATCTCAAACTCAGTTCCTTCCTAACTCTAAGGTTATGCAACTTCGCATGATGCCAGATTGCAGAGCCCTCCCTTTCTACCTGGCATTTCTTCTCGACAGCTTTTTATCTGAAGATCCTGAAGAATGGTGGATGACGTTGGATAGGCTTCTTCAGCCTATTCCAGACACCTGTATACAATGATACAATGCAGCCAAGAGATGGAGAGCCAAAGAGAAGCTCAGAAAAGAAAGAAAGAAAGAAGGAAAAACGGAAAGACCGCCTCCAGGATACGAAGCCATCCTCGTTCGTTGAAGAACTCACTGCCTAAATGCATCCGATAGAAGTCCCGAGCCTCCTCGATCCTCTCCCTCGTCAAGACTTGACCAACCATCCACCGCTTTAGATTGTATTGAAGGCCAAAGACGGTGGATGGAAATTTCTCTCCTCTGCTCTCAAAGTAGGAATACATCTTGGAGATACCAGGAGATACTGCATGTGATGCGATATAGGGGAAGACCCAACAAAGCGCACTTTTTGACGCATTCTCACAAATTCTCTGAAAGGATAGACTGCTCTTTCTTTTAACTTTACTTTTTTGAATTCATTGAGCTCCATCAAGGATTTACTTTTACACAGGCCGACATAAGAATATGAAGAATATCGTTGTGCATCGTCATTCTCCACATTCATTCGTGTCAACTCCTTTTAAATTTAATTGAATGTGCTTGTCAATGCTTGTCAATTTTTGCCTTCCAAATTTTTTAGAATGTTATTGGCTTTTTCAAATACAACTTCCACGCAGAAATGAAATTACTTGCTTGTCTAAGTATGGCATGGCAACAATTTACAACCAAATGTGGATGTGGCGCACGAGCTTAAAGGCATTCCTTACCTTGTAGGAATCTGTCAAAAGGAGAATGTTGTCAACAGGTCCCGTGCCCATAGTGCTCAAGAATCTGCAGTATTGATTTCGTATTGAAGCCAGGAAATCGTCTCTTGGAGAAACAGTCAGTTTTGAAGATGAGTCAAAAAACGGAATGAGTAACTCACAGACACATAACAGGGACACACCCCGAGGCAATAGAAGTCCTGTTTCCTCCACTTAATTCTCTAAGCCTGCATTACGTCAGAACTGGCAAGGTCTGATCCATGCCAGTGCTGGCATAAGTTCCTGGCTGCAAAGGACCGTCTCAGATCTAGCCCTTAATAATGCGCACTGAGCTAATCCGATTTACGTAAAATATATAAACGCAAAAAAGGGTCGTTTCTTCTTAAAGACCTATGCCTAATTAGCTCTCCCCTTTCACGGAGGCCTATCGTTCATCCATAAGTTTAATAGAGAGATGGCAAAAGGGAATACACGGCTGAGAATACGGTACTGATGTAAGTACAGTAGCGCCATCTCTTACAATTGTGAATCAATTATAAATATAAAATTCTGTTCTATCCTGGCACGCCATTTAACTCTTGTCTGCTGGGTTGGGGGACATCTACTCAAGAGGCCTTTTCTTACTTGCCTGGCTCAGGGTTTTGACGAATAAATGCATTTCATATATGAGGGTCACTCCGAAAGCCTTTAGACATTTCATCTGCGAATGAAAATGAATGAGTTCAAATCCACTAATTAGTTGGATGGAATTCTAAGTTGTTCGAGTAAGTTTCGTCCCGTCCTATTGACGTTTATGACTGGAGTGCTAAGAATGGCAGGTAGAAAGAACTCGTGAACATCGATCCTCATCATGGATGATCTGATGGAAAGTTATGGGTTTTGAGGACCGAACCCCTTTACGAGCAACGGTATTCATCAAATGATACCCCATCTTCCATATCGCCGAGGACCACACGCAAAGTGGGCGGGGAGACCCACAAAGGCAAGCGGAGATCCCCGAGCGGGATAAATTGCATTCTGGAATTCGGGGAAGAAATGAAAATTGTCGTTTTTCTCTTTCACTTGTGGATGTTGCCTGGTCGACATCCGTCCAAAACTAAGCGGCTTTTGGATATGTTCAGATTCATGTCCTATGAGCTTGCTTGTCTGGGAAGCAAGAAACAGTACCGAAAGGAACTTTCTGTCTACCGCGAAAGCTACCAGATCGATTTCAGCAAGCGAGGTACCAATAAACATGCATTGTCTTGGCGTGTTTATTGTTGGGTTTTACTGTACTGCTTTGAAGTACTGTAAGTACTGAGATGCAGTCTCGGCCATAAGTCGACCGGACTGTACTTAAAATATTTCCGAGTCAGAGAAATTCTAAGAACCGTGAAACCATGAAACTTCTTCCAATATCGAACCTTATGGTGGTCGAGCACGATTTCAGCTAATTTCTGTAATCTTAGATTGCTTGCTGAAAGTAATTATTATTATTATAAAGGTACAATATGGGCAAAAACGCGAGAAGCAGACTTTCCTATCTCCGGCAGTCGACAATTACGTGAAAAGTTGACGAAGTAATAAAGTCTGCAGATTCAAATCTTGCTCATTAAGGATCTAGAACTATCTGATGAAGAGATTCGACAAAGAAATTACAGTATCAGTGAAGTCTTCATGAGACCATTTTAATCGTCTGGCTGAGTGCAAGAGTGATGAGGTACCGGCATATCATTAATCGTTCTGGTTGAGTGAGGGGTTGCATGAATGCATGAGGGGCCATAATTTCCGAACTTCGGTCGGACTTAAAAATTGGGAAATGGTCTTAGAGATCGCAAAGCAGCCAGCTAAGATGTAATCTGAGGAACGTGTCCGAGATGACCTCATCTAAATTTGAATATCTTTATAGCATCTACGAGATGATAGTCCGTCTTCATCTTCAATATCATATTCTGCCAATTGTGCCCGGAGCGATGCCTGCGTGCTGCAGCACTACCATTGCAGTTGAAGCGGAAGTCCTCACGTATTCGTACGTCTTGATTAGCAATGAAAACGATCGTGGCGTTCAGTCTCTAGCCGCCTCTTGGATGCAGATGGGTATCTGCAGCTAGAGCTAGAGAGAGGTATCGTCCAGTTGAAACTTGCACTTTCCTTGCGGATTCCATCGGCTCTTTCGACTTACTTCAGTTGTCAATGCTCCTGAGAAAAGGTAAACTTTGCGATGAGTTCGCACACCCTTATAATGCAAATAATTAACTTATTTGGACCCACCGACGCGAGCATAAATACATTTTCCTCGTCTCAAATAATAAAATTACTTGAAATGTTATTCAGTAATGTCCAGAGATTCGAAACCCCAGTAGCGGCAGCGCCCTTTCAGAGGTGTGTGAACTCACCTCGAAATCACTGAACCTGCCTTGGGTATTGGGTCCCATCAGATCATGGACACCGTGACTTCACAATCATAGCTGGGTCACAGATGTGTGCATGTGGTCATGGTACAGTTCTTTTTTTTTATTTATCATATTCACACAAATTATTTTCATAGCAGCAGCTCTGTTTAGCAAACCAGCCTTAAGTACAGAGTGGGCCATAAGTCCCTATACCCCAATAATCGTTCTTTTCTTAACTTCCCGGACGCTGGATTGGTCGTGGGTCTCCATCTTCAGCACCATTGAAATGGCCACGAAGAAGCCCTGACCTCAGCAAATGTGATAATTCATTGTGGGGATACGTTAAGGATATTGTGTCCAAGAGGCGCTACCAGACGACAAATGAAATGATGGATGCGGTTCGTGAAGCTTTCAGAACAATCACCCCGGCTATGCTAAGAAAAATGTCCCATAGAACTTGGAGACGCATTATCTTTTGTCGGGACAATGATAGTGCAAATATATGATAGATGCTTTGGATGCTTAATAAAGTCAGGGGTATAGGGACTTACGGCTCACCCTATAAAACCATCATTATGGCTCCAATGGGTTCATATATAGGGTGGTTAAAAAAACGCTCTACCGTTTTCTATGGGAGAAACACAGTTTCAGAAATGCAGTAAAGTAAATTACATTGGATACGCGATCGATATTTGACAGTTACAATGTGTTGAAATGTTTGCCAACTTTTTTTCAGCACTAAGTCGTGCAATGCTCATTTAGAGGTGAATTAAAGGTGCTTAGAGGTGGATTATTCTACCGCAAGTGAGATGATTTACCTGTGCTCGATCGTCTCAAAATTCAATGAACTTTTCAACTTTATCTTTTCAAGGGACAGTTGGATCCAGCTGATACTTGACAGAGACAGTGGCGCAACCAGCCCTAAAGTTTGGGGGGGTTCGAAGTTCTCATAGCTTTTAAATGTCTTCGAATGCAAGAAGGTGTTATCAAGTCATCAGGAGAGATATACTCAACAAAAACGCGAAACGACGCGAACAAAGATAATGAAACGAAGAAAAATGTTATGAAATGATGGAAACGGAATTTGAACTCTAAATGATGATAGCACATTCGATATCTGAAAAAAGCTAAAAATGAACTAAATAAATTTCGGGATTCAGCCCAAATATCACTGCGGAAATGTGCAACTGGAAATTCGATACGATTGTACGATACTGTACGATTCACACCTTTTATTTGAATCGTCGTCCTTCCGATTTCAGAAAAAAATTCAGTAGCGTCACATGCGCAGGACGTTTCCTTGACAGGTTCATTTTACTAGAGTGAGTTGCTACATTTAACTGGCGTGACCTTTCACGTCCTATCTTTGTGCCTTTCCAGCATCGCTCTCGGGTCGTTTGCTCATTATATCTTTCCCCCGACCTCGGGGGAGAGGGAGATGGAGAAGTAAAGAGATGTAAAGAGATGCCATCATGGGCAGGGGTTTGGGGGGGGGGGGGGCGGCGTTAGGAGTCTCTTTGCACAGGGCGCAGGCGAGGGGGGGGGGGGGGGGGGGGGGGGGGGGGGGGGGGTTTCAGACCCCCTGATCCCCCCCCCTTGGTTGCCCCCCTGGACCTAGAGAGGTTCATGAGTCTAAGAGGTTTCTTCACTTCCGCAAGATCCAGATATCCAGATAGAGGGCGCTGTTGTTGACCGGGTGGTTGAAGGTGATTAAAAAAAAGCTCCACCGTTTTCAAAGTGGAGAAAGTACGATTTGTGTATACTAGTAAAAAATATAAGATTCATAAATTCTTGATATTGGACATATAGGTGTTGAGAAGATTGTCTTTTTTTTCTGAACAATTTTCTGAGCCATGCATTGTCCCGTTGAACAGTTTACAGGTGGATCAGTACGGCTTTTTTTTAAAATGATATTGTGGAAGGATGCAATTTTATTTGTCAGAACCTAAAAATGGCTTGGGTACTAAAGGGCAGGGCTGGACCTAGCTACTTCAGCGCCCTGTGCAAAGAGACTCCTAACGCCGCCCCCCCCCCCCCCCACGAATAGAGAAAGGTCAATCCCTAGCGTCTAAAATCTAAAATGACGCCGAAAAGTTCTGAAACTTTTCCTCCAATTCCCTCAATGCAGGTAAGGGTTGTTGCTTGCTGTATTCATGCTTATAAAAGATTCAGATACCAAAATTTATGAATAACAGGAAAATTAAAAAAAGACCAGATCAGAGGCAGGCTTCAGCTTAACTTCTTGGGTTTCAGATTACACTCATCAGCAGCGCCGTACCAAGGATTTAAGCTGAAGCCTGCCTCGCTAGCCTCATGGAACTATACCGCTACACTGCAATTACAAAGCCCTATGCATTTTTGGTAATCTCTGTCGTAAATATGAAATAATCCGGCAGCCAATCGGTGCCCCCTCAGTTCGGCACCCTGTGCGGGAGCACTGCTCGCACACCCCTTGTTGTTACGGCACTGCTCATCAGATAACTTGAATGAAATAAAAATAGACATTTCAGAGTTTTCATTTCTGTATTTTCTTCTTTGTTATCATCACACATCTCAACAGGAAAACAGAAGTCAGTGGACTAGATCAAAAAATCAGACAGCTGATTCATGCAGAAGACTCCAAGGGCTGCACATATAAGAAACCACTCATTCTGCATACAGATGGATGGCATATCGCCAAGTGATGACCCTTGGAAGACTCCAAATATTAACATCTAAAACTCAATAAAGCTTAGATATTGAGATAAAACATGACAGAATGAGATCCTGGCTTGATTTCTCAGAGAAGGCATAAAACAACATAAACACATGGAATTGAGACAAACCTGAACTATGCAAGTATCACAGTGCTGACTTAAGTGCAAGGGACTCAGTCCAACTCATTCCTCGCTTCTACTGTGATCCATTCTTCAACACATCCAGCTCTGCATTGTGTCGAATCTCATCAAATGTGTATTCTTTGACCAGGTGTCCATTTTCAAACACTGTTTGCAACAAGTCCTATGAGACAACAAAATATAACTGTAATAATGTAATTGTAAAATATGATTGTATCAACTGGAAGTTACACTTGAGATATCTATGCATTAGCAAGTTATGCAACAGATTTACCTTCTTATCATCTCCCAGACCCTCCTGAATGGTAGTGAATGTCCCACCCTTCATCTCCAAGGTGAGACGGCCCTTCTTGGACTTCTTTCCACTGTCTGTGATGGGGTCCTTGTAAACATTTATCTGGGGGAAGAAATCATGAGGCAAAGCTGTGACTAAGCTACATCTTATCAGTCCTACATAACTGATTCAATGAGGGCCTACTCCTTGGCCATTGATGACAGCATGACAGCATTTGTAGGCACACTTTTGGGTGTCTCGGTCAATCCTCTGAAGAAGTGCACCACCACTGCCAAAAATGACATTTTCTGCACTCCAGCCAGCAAGCTTCATGTTCTCCAGAACACTCCCTAGGGTTTCATAGCTCACACCATCACCTTGCAAAACACTCAAGTATGATGGCAAGACCTTGTATCCCTTGCAATTGGTTCTGGTGCCAAATGCATGACCAAGAATCTCCAATACCTGCAAATATTACTTCTATCAGCACTCAGGTAAGCCCATTGGTAGAGCATACTACAATAAATAATAATAAATAATAAATGTACAGTTGAGCAGGTTCTGACCTTCACAACCACTTTTTCTGGGTCCCCTGAGTCGGGTCGAACAACAAGGCGACCCCCATGTCTTCCCCTTTCCACAATCATGTCCTTGAGATCTTCACCCCAGATGTTCTCACAGACATTCCAGACATTGTAGGAATCACTCACCACTGACACAATGCCACGAGGGAATTTCTCCAGCATGTTACGGCATGCATCCAGTTCCCCCTCTCGACCCCATGTTGTCATGGTGCTTATGGGGAGAAACAGAATCATTGACTATTGGAGGATCACAAAAGGAGAACGTTCCATGGGAAATGAAATCTCAGAAAGAGGAAGGAGGAATGAAACTTAGTTATAACTACTTTCTCAATTTCATATGCACTAGCAACTTCAAATGCACAAGATTTTTACTTCATACACCTTTGTCTCTGAAATGTCTCAAAAGAGAAGCTTCACATGTCTATGGCACATGAAGTTCCCAACATCTGTTAGTTGCACTTCTTTGAAATTGCCCCTCAGAGAGATGTCAACCACGCCTGAAGTTGATAAAATTAAGTCAATTTCCTTAGTGTGAGAAATCTGAAGAATTCAAATTATTCTTTGAGCAGAAAAGGAAATCCAAAAGAAGTTTCACAAAGTATATTAATTTAATTGTGATGTAGACCAATGCCATTGCATTCCCAGAACTAAGGAACTAATTTGTAATATTGAAAATCGACATGGCCTCACTTGAATGATGTCCCTAAATAAGAAAATAAAGAAGAAGAGACAGAGAAAGCGAGAAAGAAGACCTGTGCTCAGTGGCAGGGACAGAGAAGCCAGCCATGGGGCAATGGTAGTACTTGCGTACCATGGCCAGGGATGCAACTGTGTCTGATCCCATAAAATTGACTAAATGAGCTGCTCCTCCAATTGCAGCACTCTCCACACTGCTCACTCCTCGGTACCCAAAGTCATGTAACTATGTATTTACAAAACAAAGAAAATTGATGTCAATCCAGCAGTGGATGTACTTTCAATGGAAGCATGTTCAATTTGACATTCTGAATTATTCATAAAATGAAGAATATTAAGCTGTTTATTAAAGGGAACATGCATATTTAAAAAAAAAAGCCTATCAGTCCCATCCATACCTAGAGAAATGAGTTACTTTTTACATTCAATGAGACAATGGTGATGCTGACATGTCATGCGACTCCTACTATAAGCGTATAATTGTTGGTGCATATTACCTAAAGGATTTTGTTTCAACCTCAGTGACAAAAGTACAAGTACTTCTCTTCCTGTGCTTTACCTAAGAGAAAGAAGGCAATGTGTCAATATCCCAGTAGATCTTTTAGCAGCTGAGGTGGCTCTGCTTAAAGATCTGCTGGGATATTGATTCCTGTAGGGTGAGAAAATTGATAGAAGCATTCAACTCAATTTCCATGTTTTTTCTGCAGACCCTTTAGTAGCAAAGGGAAAGTAATTAATAAAATTCTATGATCACAAAATACAGTGAAATTTTGCCAGTCACTTTCAAAAATACAAAAATACCTGTCTTCCCATGATGTGCATTATGATTGTAAGTGTCTCAGGCCATAAATTTTTTAAAGCCTCTTGTAAGCTCATTTTATTCAGGAAACTGTTCAATAATGTATAGGGCACATCTGATGCAAAAAAGTAATGTTGGAAAGTATCAGCTTCCAACAACCCCCAACCTTCCAACAATATTGCTGCCTAGTAAAACTGTGTCTGAAGGGTCCAAGCAACTGATGTAACTTTTTGATTTGAATATCCCTCATACATGTAGGGGAGGTCACCCTGATGACCCTGATCCTCACCAGGGGCAAGGAGGATTAGAGTTCAGTCCAGAGTTCACTAAAGATAATAACAATGGCCAATGACAAATGCTGAAGAAACATGGAATGCTTAAGTCCATTCATCACAGGCTCATTATGAAAAATGCATCTAAGAATAGCTTTGATGTCATTAAAGAGTTGGTTAAATGAAGATGAAGTGTAAGTTTGGAGCTGCCACTCTAGGATTCTGCTTGGTGTATTCTTCAAATAATTTATTGTGGTGCAGCCAAAAGTCAAGCCTAAGAACCTGTGATGAATCTGAGGTTACAGTTATCTATAGGACTCCATATGAGAAGAAAGAGGATGGAATTGAATAGAATTGAATGCAGGCTCAAATTTGCATTCACAAACCAAGGACAGTCTTACAAAGTTGTGCAAAAGCCAGAGTATGAAGTCATCATTTGTTTTGAATTTTATTGAAATTAACTGCAAAATTAAGTTACCCAGCCTGTCACTTGTGAGCAACTGGTAGCTCACTTGAGCATCACTTATATCAAATGAAGAGCAAGTGATTGTTGCTCCCTATAAAATAAAATTTCCAAAAAGAGTATTGAATTGCACAAAATATTTGTACCTGTTTTATGGTAGCCAATGCAAAGCTATTTCACGAGTATATGCTTCACAAACATAAGAAACTCAGAATTCATCTTCACATAACAAATTATCCTTGTGGTAGGTAAAAAAAAGTCATTTTCATCATTTTTATCTTCTGGATTATGGGTATGAAGGACTTCACATAAGATATTATTTCAAATTTGGAGAAGATGGGATTCATTCAAAAAAACTTTTTTTTCAAAGCATAGGCTACCAAGAAAGATACACCAGCACATAACATTTCTTGGAGTCAAGTTATACTCTATGAAAAAACATGTTCAATGTGTCCTCCTCAGCACACTATTACATGTCATAGGGGAGTGGTGTAATTCTGCACAACTGCTTGCAGGGTATCCAGGGAAATGGAATAACTTCACATTCTGTGGCTGCCTTCAGGTCTCTAAACATGCATGGATTTAACATTGATTCAAAAACTTTGTTCTTTAGGTATCCCCAGAGAAATAGTCACAGGGATTGAGATCATGGCCTAACACGGCGAATGCTGTGTTAGACTTCTTTCACGAGAACTTTGGTACCAGAACGCTGTCTAGCAGATTTCCTGATATCCACAGCAGTGGATCAGTAAGGCCACCATTTCCCCCCCAGTCTCAATCCATGTGGCTATTTCCTCTGGGGATACCTAAAGAACAAAGTCTTTGAGTCATGGTTAAATCAATGCACATTTGGAGACTTGAAGGCGGCCACAGAAAGTGAAGTCTACTACATTTCCCAAGATACTCTGCAGGCAATTGTGCAGAATTTCATGGCACCCCTACAACCATTGATTGCACAGAGAAGAGGATACAGTGAACATGTTTTTTCATAAAGTATAACTTTCCCATGTTTATGGATTCTTGATGCCAAATTTCATGCATCTAACTCCATTTGTTCCAAGATTATAAATATTTATAACGGTCCCATGAATAAAAAAAAATCATCCTGTATGTATCGTATTTCAGCTCTGGATAGATGTGATACTAAACAAGTGTACCAGATAGGATCATAAATAACCTCCTGAAAGGAGATAAGGTCTAAATATAGCACTTCCCAAGGTCAATCTAAGAAAGAACATACAGAGACAAGGAGAAGAAAGGAGGTCTGGACACAAAGAGAAAATGAATGGGAGGAGCTCTCAATCTCAAGTCTTCGTGTCAGTGATAAAGGCTTCTAAACAGTCTTTCTCTCATCCTATCTAAGACTATGTGTGAGGGGAGAGTTAGATCAATAAAAGTGGGAAGAGGTGGGTCATTATACATCCTGTCACACAACACCCTTCTCTCTTTTTCTCACCTTATTCTCTCTCGACAACCCTGATCAATATATATATCTACGGAGTTTCTTTGGTCGTATTCCCTGCTAACAAGGCCTGATTTTCTTTTCATGACTGAATCCATCATGGTCAGGAATGAGCCCTTTGCATGACCATATGATGCATTTTCATGAGCACGATAAATTACAGAATCTTTATAATTACAGTGATCAGGCTGCAGGAATAGACCCGGATGAGGTATTATGTGCTGCTCGTGTTATGATGGAATACTTGTCTACCTCTCTACTTCCTTCGTAAGAAAATGCGTAGATGAAGATAGCGTGAAACGCGTCAAGAGAATCCATATTTACGACAGAGATTACCAAAAATGCATAGGGCTTTGTAATTGCAGTGTAGCGGTATAGTTCCATGAGGCTAGCGAGGATGGCATAAAAAAAAGGATATAGTAAAAGTACAACAATGGGTTGCATCTGAATAGATGGGGAGCTAAGGATGGAAAGAAACCTTGAAGTGTAGTCCTTGGAGGGACTCTCCGGTCTCCAAGAGATACTTAGCAAGGATCTCCTTTTGATACCGAGAGTTCGTGGCGACCGTCATGGGATACCACACCTGGACCAGGATCGTCTGGGTACACGGGGAACAATCTTTCAACGACTTGCGAAGATGAGAGAAGCAGATGAGTGCACGCAAGAAGGAGTGCCCTACCTCGAAGAAGTTGGTGAGCCAAGGGACCATGGGATCTGTGTTTTCCACCGTGAATAGGACATTCCGGGTAGGGACCACCGTCCCCTCCGGAACAGCCTTGATCCGCAACGGAATCCGACCCTCGTGCTTCTGCATGGGGAAAAAGCCGAAAAATTGGAGGCACTTCTCTCGCCGCTTGTTTGAAACTTGATAAACAAGATTACTGGTCTCCTCTAGAATCTTGCAAGACTGGCGTTTAAGGTCACATACGTTTTCTTACTCAAGAGGTCTGTCCGTTCAGCCACTCATGGATACACCCTTATATCATTCAGCTAGAGAATGAGAGAATTATTATTTATTTATTAACATCAAACGGTCAGCGGCCCTTGTACAAATTGTCTTCCACGACGAAAGTTCAAGGCTGGGACAACCTTACAAATATATATTCAAGCAATGAAGAAAATCTACAAGGTGAGGACCGGGTAGAATGAGGAAACTGAAACCGCCTGTGATCATTCGAGGAAGATGAATGAGTAACCCTGTCATAGAGTAATATCTGACTGAGTAACCCTGTCATCGAGTAATATCTGACGTTAAGTTATCCTAGCTCTACTTTACATCAGTCAGCTCCAATTGGCGTTGGGTCGTAAGCGGTTTTTCTAGTTTCCTAATTTGACGGGTGTTTCTCAAGATTCGAGCGTGCAAGTAGAATCAGCCTTTGTCCAAGTTCCAGGTTTATGAGCGGTGAAATAATTGGGGCTTACGGCCCTGAGCACAGAATAGAATCATCGATTAACCTCACGAAAGTCATAAAGGAGCACGTGCGCGTCGTTACATGAGAGAAGGGGAGAAGGGAGGATGGGCACAATGTTCTAGGTAGGAATCGTATGGATCAGCATTCCCAATTTCTTCTGACTGCAAATTTTGAAAGACATGAAATATTACTCCACTTCTTCTTGCAGAGGAATAAAATGTAATTTTTTTATGAACTACGATTCAATCCACGATACAGGGTGGTCCATAGAAAACCTATTTTTTCCCTAGAGGTTTGGATTCTTTGCGACCAGTGCAGAAAACTATGAAAATATATACATTATTATAAATCCAAGGAAAAGACCTTTCGGATGAGTCTATTTTTGGAGGAAAAAAACCTCTCACCTGAACTGAGTAACAAATCATTTGAAGATAAGAACATATTGAAGAAGCCATCAAAGGATTATAAATATATGAATCTAATGCTCGGTCGATTCTCCATCCAACTCACACACCTTCTTCTCGCATCAAGCTTTCAAGGCAATAAAAGCTGATTGAAAACAATACAATAAACAGAACACTTTAATCGCCTCTTCGATACGCTGTTTGGTGTTGTGCTTATTGTGACCGAAGTGGAAAGCAGTGTTGTCTCGGTCTTTCAAGATTTGAAGAAGTTGATTGTAGGTGTTCCACCATATGCGGAATTAATTCCGCATATGGTGGAACAGCTGGGCAAAAACCAAAAAATTGTTTTGAAGGCTGTATTAAGAAAAAAAAGTGTTCGGACTTTCGAACAAATTCACGGAACTTCATCCAGATGAGAGACTTTTCAGCAAAACTAGACTCATTCGAAAGATCTCGCCCGGAGCTTTCCAAAACCGTATCATTTGAATAATTTTCTTCACTGGATGAAAATATGCAGCCTCTAAAAAAAAAAGTTTCACTATGAATCTGTGATGAAGGCAGTGTTGAGAGGCACGATTGAATGTCCCGGGTTCGGTGGTGTACAGGTAGCACACCTGACCGGCAATCAGGAGGCAGAAGGGTTCAATTCCCGGCCGTCCCCTAGCTTTCTTTCGTCCTCTCTCGTTCATCCAACCTCCCTACCTTCAGTTCTCGTCAGAAATCACCTTGTACATGTTGACTCAAATCTGACACTTAGATCATCGCAATCTGTTGAGTGCGACCCGCATTGGTCTAAAAAAAAATAAAAAGAAAGTGGAATCATGTATTGGAATTGAAGTTCAACACTTCACTCGCCTTCTATGGAGAGCGAAAGGTATCTTGACGTGGCTTTCATCGATAAACCTTTGTAGGGGAACGGAGCGGGCAAAGGGATCCGCGAGTAGTGATTTAACTCCGTTAGCAATAGCGCTGGATAGCGGCCTTCATGCAGATACCTGAGAGTGAGTGGGGAGCGGTATCAACTGATACCATGCATGCAAGAATTATCGACTGACGCACGCATTCGTTACAGGGCAGCCGGAAACTCCGCAAGCCTGAATCTGATATCATATAGCTGCCCCTTAATAGAGAGTGGTTATCGTGCCAATTTGCGAATGACTTTTATGCAATTTTTATGCAATTTAACGGGGGGAAAAAGTGAGAAATAGAGATGTCAGAGTCAGACGCGTAAATTCATTGCTAAATCTAACGAATCAACAAGTGATAAAACAAAATACCTAATCTGCTCTTGAGAACCAACAGCGGACGAACAAGAATGAACACAGCTTGGGGACATGAAACCTAAGAAAGAGGCAAAGATCTATGAAGTAAAACAAATAAACTAGCACGGAAGTAAAGCCTATCAAAATAAAAAGTACCATCTACTACTCACTATCTACACTTTCGTTCCTCTTCTGTGCGAATAAAAAAAAATTATGGGGAGGGGGTGAAGAAATTGAATTGGACTCCTCTAAGTTTGGCCTGGGCTCTGGGTTGCTTCCTCCCCTTTGAGTTCATCGGACTCAAAACGTCATTGGGAACTTTACCAAATCCAATGCAGTTATTTTTCATTGTAGGGTAAAATACCCAATGATGGGCATGCACTCAGTGATGGACCACAGCACAGAGCTAAGAACTAAGCATGTGTAACATGAACACCTCTGAAGTGACACGTATGCTTGCATGTTGCTAGCGGTTTCCGGTCAATTCCCCGACAGAACATTTCCCCGAATGACCGAACGTTCCCCGTTTGTAAAATCCCCAGACCTGTAAATTCCCTATTGATGAATTCTACGATGGTGGCATAAAAGTAATGGATTTGCTTCTGAAAAGAAGTTTCCAGTGTCCCACATGCATTGGGGAGTGAGGGGGGAGGGGATGCGGTCGTCCCCCAACCGAGCCGAAACCGAAGAGAGGGAGGTCTAGGCGAACGGAAGGAAAGGGGAAAGTCGCAAATCTCATTCTGGAGGGAAGAAAATAATTTACAGGGTGATTCAAAAGTCACTATACATTTTATGCTCAAATAAGTTTTATTGTACAATATGCTATACTACTGAAACATACGTAACATTAGGATACTAATTCAGTACATTTCAATGTGGCCACCTTGCACATCTAGGCACAGCCCTCAACGTTGCTCCGTTTCCCAGAACACTGATTCCAACATGCTGGTGTAATCTCAGCTGCTGCGGCTGTGATACGCTGTTTCAGTTGTTCAATGCTGTTGATCTTTACTTGATACACCTTACTAAACCCCCAGGCAAAAAAATCTAAGGGAGTCAGGTCTGGTGAGCGGGCGCCCCACGACCAATCCATCTACCAGGAAAAGTTTGATTTAAGAAATTTCGAACAATGATGGCGAAATGGGGTGGTGCTCCATCCTGTTGGAAAACAACAGTATCCATGATCCCATTTTGTATCACTTGTGGCGCCAAAAATTGCTCTAACATATCAAGATATGTGTTGCCAGTAACAGTTCTGCGAACATGAAAGGGCCGTAGATCATTGATTTTGATATTCCCAACCACACATTCACCTTGGGTGAGTTCCGTTGCCACTCCTGTAATGCGTTTGGTTGTTGTTCTGCCCATATCCTGCAGTTGTGTCTATTCACATGTCCACAGATATGGAATGTGGCCTCATCGCTGAACAACACATTGTGCATCAAATTTTCACTTCTCACAGCTTCAAGCAGGTCTTCACACATACCTTGTCGGGCAACGTAGTCCTCAGCTACAAGGTTATGCATAATCTGAATGTGATATGCACGTTTCTTCAGTTTGTAACGGAGGGTTCTCCATACGGTGGTTTGTGGGATACCTAGTTCCCTACTAACTCTTCTGGTAGATGCGGTGGGGCTCCGTGTGATCGCGTCCTGTATGCTTTGCACGGTTTCTTCTGTTACGGCCGGCCTCCCAGGACGTTCCTCGTCATGAACACTACCAGTTCGCTTAAATTTATTGACCAGAGTCTTAATAGCCAGTCTAGTTGGGCCTGGTTTTCTGAATTTGCGGGAAAATTCTGTCCGCACCTCTTCATAGGTCATTCCTCGCAATCGAGCACAAACAATGGCTGTTCGTTCTTCTATAGTCAACATTCTTTCATGTTACCTGAAAAAAAATTTAATTAGTAACGACGTCACAAAAATGTATAGTGACTTTTGAATCACCCTGTATTTGTCAGGAAACTTGGTTCGTCTAGGGAACATGACAACCGATACAATGCCAGGTCACTGATAGAGATTCTCACGGGAAAGGAAAACTGAAAAAAGGCAACATAAATGGTTGCAGGATGATCCTCTCAGCTACCAGAGATGAGACGATCGACAAGACGTCTATCGAGATCTAAAATGGGACTATATATGGAGAAGTGGAGTGGCTTAGGAATCGGATCATTGCGATAATGGTCAGTCCTAGGACCTTGTAAGAGTTGGAGTTCGTGGATTCATGGAGTTTGTGGGAAAATAATTTATTGTTCCAGAGGGCTATGTGCTCAAAGAACAAAATGAGCAGGGATGGACGGAGAATTCTCGGTAGGTATACCGTGGCTCAATACCGAGCTATTTCGGTGATGCGGCGAGGAGCTGGGGGTGGGGGTTGGCTGCTTCAGCTACGAATTCTCAGGGAAAAAAAAAAAAACAAAAATCGAAGCGAGCAAGTCTTTCTATTGTGAAGGCGTCGAGTTAGTCACGCATTCGTATTATGCCCTTCCATTGAAAGCAAGGGGATTTCGATTAGTTCGTTTCAACCCAAATGGATGGATTCAATAGGCGTGCCCAGGATTATTACTCCGATTGAAGTTACTTGGAGGACTAAAATTCGGATCCCGGAAAAAAAAAACCGCAGGGAAGAAAAACCACCATATCATTGTGCATATTCGTTTTGAGGGCTCAGGCACACCGAGCAGAGGGCACAGTCAAGGCGCAAGTTGAACTCACAAATGGCGGATTTTGAGCCTTGAATTCGTAATTCGGATTAAATACAATCCTGTTACTTCCAGGAAGGCTTTGGTTTCCCCCGGGCTGTCAGCGTCACCGTGGATGGAGATTGTGAAGATATGATTGTGAACAAGGGTTTTTTTCTTCCTAGAAATGGCTCTGGGTATGGCGCTGTGGCGACGGTTTGATTAGAGGCGGTGTACTATGGTTTCCATACCGTGGTGACGGTATGAACATGGGCGGTATTCCACGGTTTTCATACCGTGGCGATAACATTGAAAAATGTAGAAGGGGTCGGTCTGATTATCACTAGAATGGAATACCGCGGTATGATGAAAATATCGGTATACCGCAACGCCCTAATTTGGAGTATAACATGCGTTTTTAGGAAGTACCTCGTACTGTCGGGGAAAACATTTCAATAGTGAGCCTCCTTTCACCATTAAATAAAAATGAAACTTTTATCAGGTAGGGTTGTCCTGTTATTTGTGTCATTCTCTTGCAACTCTTCGGAGACAAGCTAGGGGGTAGACCATATATCGACCCCTGAACATGATGGGGACTGGGTGGCACTTTATTTTCGGCTATTATCCTTGAGACAGAAATAGCGCCACTTGAGCAGCAACACTCAGATTAGGACTTCACTGTTATCTGAATTTTAGAAAATCCAGAAATAATTTATTCACGTACGAGACTGTGCGGTCGATCGCCCTTCATCCGCGACCGTGAGATCGCTGACATGTAATATCGCGGAACTGATCGTTCGTGGAATTGACCGGACACCGAGGACTAGAACTGGGTAGAAACCCCCCCCCCAAAAAAAAAAAAAAAATTGGAAGCCGCAGAAAAGCAACTGGCATATCGAGTAAGTGTTCCTTGGAAAGAATCCATCACCGACTCCTCATGAAACCCAGAGCAAAATGTACAGAAATAAAGAGAACTCGTGTTACTCCCAGGCAATGAAGGATAAAGCTAAGGCATATGTATTCCTCCCCAGCTATTAATTCAGCAAATGGGAAATGCCAGCTCCAGCTGGCGAATCTTCTCGCACCTGCAGGTTTTAGTCTTATTCAACTAGGAAACTCCTAAACCACAACATTGTGAGTTAAATGAAATCTCTGATGGGTGCGGAGAAAAAGCGCCACGCTGCTGGAATGTCCATATCTGAAAATCGGTCTAAGCTACAGCAGTACATGTGCCAACAGGTGTGCATCTCTAGTTTGTCCTTGATGTAAAGTTCCTCTCAGAACTTTCCTTATGCTGGTTTAGCCACACTTGGTTCGCGGTGAAGTATTTACAAATCCCTGCGAGTCCGAAGAGACTGAATGTGATGCATGATGGGGAGTTTCTGCACCAGGAAAAAAATATTCAACTGCAGTTTCCATTGAGGAATCCCTCTGAATGAAGTCTGAGCCCGCTTTCGTTCAGAAAACACACTTCAATACCGCTTTGTCTAAAAAAAAAAATTGAAAATCCAAGGTAATTCAAGTTTGCGACAAAATAGTATAATGTAATAGTCTACCCGGCCCTAAAAATCACACTTGCGGCTTCGATGTGAGGAGCATCGATCGTAAAATACCACTTAATCTCCTCACCTGATATGATGGAGATTTTTTACGTAAAATCAAGGTTGTCAAATTCTACCTAAAATCGTAGTATGGGTTTCAAATCCCGAATCGGAATCTGAATGACATATTTATTCTTTGTTTCCAAGACTATCACGGGAGAGAAAAACGAGGAGAAAGATGATCGAGAACTTATTATTACTCGTAGACCATGAGTTGGTCACTACGTGCCGTATATCCCGGCTTTGTATTCACTCTCAAGGTTGTCTGTCATTCGTTATCTCCGCGCGGTTTCCTGACTTTTTTTGTGACTCATGAATATCCAGGCCATAGGACATTAACATGTACGAGAAAGGAAGCGACTGCAAAGCGCGGATTAATAATGGCAACGTGTTCGTGTTCCTCAGGGGAGAAGCACTGAATGGAAGGCGACGACAGAGATTGAGATAAGCATCAAATGGAGTTTCTGGAGAAGATGGAGGGATATAAATAAAGACGGGAGCAAAAGTGGGGGCCCATTATCCCATGCGTGCGAACCATCATTGGGGGAGAAGAGGACAGAATGAATGCACGGGATTTCCCTATCTCTTCCCATTTCCGAGGGATCTAACGCATTTTACAAGGCCCGAAGAACCTCAGTAAACAACTTTATTCTTCTTTCAAGGTTGCTGGAGATACTGGAATTGATGCGCATTTCATAAGGTATTGAATAAAATCACCGCTGAGAATGGTTCCACCACATCAGGCTTCAGAAAACCGTGCTCTTTGACACTTGGATGACGAATTTTTGGAATTGCTGCTTCTAGCATTTCAGCTTGGTATCCTAATAAAAAACAATATGAGCAGGCAGAAGCTTCTCGCCTGAAGGGCAGGCGAGACGAAAATTGTACAGCGACTAGAAAAGCACTTTGTTTTTGTACTGTACCTCATGCCGCAAGTACCGTGCTCGGAAAGGGAAGATGTACTCTATGTAGTTTGAAGGAGCAGGTGTTTCTCTCCTCCCTTTCTCTCATGCACGAACTTTTCTTGGCTTATCTGGCACAACGCACCGGGTTTCCATTTTACGATCTGATCTGATGCGGTGGTGAATCATATAAATATTTATGCGCTGCTGTATTGACTTCGAAATTCAAGTTTTTTTTTTTCTTTTTCTAACATGCAAGGTAATTTGTAAGAAAATGGAAGTATAGACACGGGAGTATAGAATAACGATTCCATAAATATATATGGGTGCATCGTAAGAAGGAAATTGAAACGAGTAGGCTACTTGTGGAACAAATGAAAATATTTGCAGGAAATGAGATGGGAAAATTCCATCTCCTCCCCCCCCCCCCTGTATATTAAAAACTAAATTTAGCTAGTGAGGACATCCAATCATGGGCATCAACTAACCACAATGCAAGGTAGCAAATGATGTGTGAAGGAAGCAATTGCTTCCTTCACACATCATTTGCACATGTATTGCAGTACATTTTTTCCATAGTAAAAAAAAAATATATTAAAGAATGTCTTCTATGTGAAAAATTCCTCAAAATGACTTCACACTTCCCATAAAAGTACTGCAAAATATATGTTACCAACAGTAGATATTGTGAAACTGCAGTAGTGCTGACAAATTTCTGCCACTATCTTGACAAATTATTACCAATAAGCACAGAGAGTGAACAACAGGGATCAAGAAAGATGTTACCACTTCCAGTACCAGTAATTGGCTAATGCAGCAGCTTTTTCAAGGTGCCTCATTTTATGGTAATAAATAAAAAAATCAACAGGAAAGATTCAGTATCATTCCTTATTATTATCCTTCTCCACCCTTCTCTCTCTCTCCCTCTCCCAATTTCCATATTCATCCTGTTTTACCCTGTCCTTCATTTCTACCCCTTGTGATCTGTCCTTATGCATGAGGGACTCGAATCATTTCCACTGAATGTGCAGAGTTTTCAAATATAGAATACATAATCATTTAGCAGATTCAAAGTATTTTCTGGGAATTTCCCAGATGTCTGTATGCTCCAAGTACAAGGAAGGTAAGAAGGAAATATAAGAAAGGAAAGAAGAGGAGAAGAAGAAAAGCCAACCTCCAAAATATAGAGCCATCCTGCTTCATTAAAGATCTCACTCCCAAAGTGCATCTGGTATAAGTCTCGTGCTTCCTCAATCTTCTCTCTCGTCAAGACTTGACCGATCATCCACCGCTTCAGGATGTATTGGAGGCCAAAGAAGACAGTAGAAGGAAACTTCCCACCTCTGCTCTCAAAGTAGGAATATACCCTGGTTGTACCAGGAGGATACTGCATGTGATGTGATACCTATGAAGATCAAGCAAGAGACATTTCAATGTCTTCTCACAATTCCTTCAGTAAATTTTATTTTCCTTCATCTTCATCTCCATTGTCAAACCTATTTAAAAACTCCAGCAAAATGTATTTGAAAACATGGAAGTCAAATTGGCTTGAACATCAAAGCCTTTAACTTCCAAACAAACCATCTCATGCATTGCAGGATTTGCTCAAAGCAGTTCTTACCTTATAGGAATCAGCCAAGAAGAGGATGTTATCAACAGGTCCAATGTCCATTGTCTATTTCTGGACATCAGCAAACCCCCCTTCTAGGATAAGTTCTTGGACTCAACTCAAGCCAGAAACTTTCACTGCTTCGCAAGTTATAAAAGAGACCTAGGAGACACAATGACAATGGCACCTATACCTACACTGGTTTTTTATCATTTTTACGATGTTGTCTAACTGATTTCAACAATGTTTTTGCTCAACTCTAGCAATACCAAGGCAGGATGAATTTCAACTGAAGGAAGAGTGTCAAACTAAAATTGAAAAGCATCAAATCTGCTGTAAGAAAATATCTCACGTTAGACTTAGGGTTAACTGTTAGAACTATCTTCACATTACGGCTAAGCTAGTTAAGATTAGGCGGTGTACTACCACAAGTCTAGGCTAGGACTGCTCAGATAAGCCAACGTCCACCTGATATATCAAAATAGTTAGGTCTAGGCCTGCGCCGTTCTGAATTTGCTTCTTCTCATATCATGTGAGAGATCCAGCTGAAGATTCAACTCGAACCACAGACGTGAGGCAAATAAGCCTACACGAGCAGGCGGCGGGTAAGGGAGACGGGCTACCATTCAATAAAAAAAAAAGGTCGGCACTGCCAAAAACGCGCACGAGGTCCACGTGAAGTAGGCGGGGTGACGCAGACGCCACTAAAGGCTGGACAGCTCTTGTACTCTATCGGAAGAGTGAAACTATGGTTGCAAGCGGGACGTCCTATAGATGTCGCCCGGTAGACCTTGGTCAATTGCATCATGGAGGAATACGCACGTGAACCATGGTGAGTTGCCGATTCTTGGACATGGTTTTTCAATTGAATTCTACATTTGTTCACTTTTTTACTTCTTCATGAACAAAATATAGGCAGGCTGAACTTCCTCTTATCACCATTTCCATTCAATAGTTTCTTTGTCAATGTCAAGGATGCCAGGAGAATGACAACGGGGGGGGGGGGGGGGGGGGGGGGGGGGGGGGGGGGAGGGGGAGGGGGGGGGGGGGGGGGGGGGGGGGGAAGGAAGGAGAGGGGAGCAAGTTCGAGAGCAGATACATTTCATCTACTGATTCGTTCCTTTTAAAGTCATTTTGAGGCATTTTGAATAAAAGAAAAAATTTTTTTTTTAAATGTGATCAGGGGTCTGAATCCAAGAAAGTAATCATATATGAGGACTTGACTCAACAAAGCTACAGTATTCTGGATAAGCGAAGGGGTTGATAATTGTCAGACATATTGCCGAAATTAACCTGAAGGTGGATAGCAGAAAGTTATTTTCCAACCTGGGTATCCCAAGGTGATGCTTCTCAGTCTCCTGGGATTATATTAAATATGATATTAGATCAGTTCAAATTTCTAACTACTGCTGCTCTTTTGTTTTGTAAATTGACTGGCTATTGGGTGTCAGTGGTTCATATGTTCCTTACTGTCATACCTTCCTTACATATGATTGCCTTGGAGATACCATGTGTTTATATATCTTGTTCTGCCTAGCATTGTTTATCCTTTGGAAATACCTATATATAGAGTTGTGTTTTAAAAAGAAAGTTTAACTTCCTGGAAAGTATCACAGTTCAAGGTAGAGGTATACAATTCTATTCTCATTTGGTTTCACTGTATGTAAGGAAATGTACATACCAAGTACTTGGCTGCCAGACTTATAGTAGGCTAGATTCACAAAAAGTTTAGTTTGTAACTTATTGGATTTTGTTTATTACATTGCAATAAATAGGTCTATGATAGTCATCGACATGTACACCATAACATGAAATGGTAATACATTCTGCCATACAGCATCTATACAAGTCACACTTTATGTAAGAGCCATGATCGTGGCATGGATGCTGGAGACAGCCATATTCCCAGCATGTTTGGACAGTTCCACAGGCTTTGGGGTGGGGCCTTTGTCATTCACTTCCTTCCCTTTGTTCTTCTGTTTCATCCCCCATAGCTCTGCTATAATTGCCTTTCACTCTGTACATTACTTGCCTTATCCTGGAGGATGGTAGCACATGGGGACTGAAAGCACAATTTAAGTTACCAAGTTTTTTTTTATGGAAGTGTTTGCAGGCCAACAGGTCAATCAAAATTTACTGCACCTGTGGTTCCCTTTTCAGTCATATGGATTTTAAACTCAACTTGTGCTTCCCTTCCTACCATTCTGCTACAGGCCTGTTAAACCATTCAGTTTTGGAGAACATTTAGTACATATAGACTGTTTTAATGAATTTTTTAAATATAGTATCTAGACAAGAAAAGGGATACAATTAGATTTTAACACTTAAAAGCCCAAGTTGGTAGATATAAGTCGACACTGGCTTTTTCCACGTGCCTAGGTCTGTACACGTACATTGCATGCTTCAAATATTCATAGAAAATTGGGAGTCCATAAATATATGACTTTAGATGCCAGGTGCCATCACTACTGGTCTGTACATCACTTGGGGACCACCAGATGGCCTGTTTGTCCATGTAGTTCCAAGAGCAGCATGTACTGCTATCGCATTTGCAACATCAACCTATACCTTGACCTTAGCTTTGAAATCTACCTTACAAAGAATAATTTTTCACAATTAGTGTCTGCACTGTCTGCTTGTCTTTGCTGCTTTGCAGTTGTAATAACTGTAATGATGTTTCCAGTCAGTAAATGTCAGTATTTGTCAAATATCAAAACCTGTACTGTCTCAAAAAACCTTTTTAATTCCAAACAGGGAGGTGATTGAGGTGCTGCAAGCCCTTTTATTGGAAACAGGAATTTGGTACAATTACAAAGACTGAAAGAACATGAACCGAGGATACTCAGTTATTTTTGGGGGGAATTTTATGATCCACTGGAATAGAGTAATGATTTTACTAGTATTCCCAAAAACCACCAGGTAGATGGTATGGCTCACTGGGCAAATCCTTGGGCTTTTATTTTAAGTGTTAAATGAATAAAGCCATATGGGCCACTATGAAGTATATGATGGTTTGTGGTCAAATAAAAGAGGGATCAAATGAAATGGGAGTCTTGAAAGAAGCAATTTCATGTTGCGATGTAGCTTCCTCATCATGTAGCCTATTATTTGCTAAAGGATTGATGACTATCCATTCACAAGATTCTTTCATAACACAAGTACAAATTTTATTGCAGCCCATGGAGAATAGTGGACGATTGTGGTGGAGCCTTCACCATGGGTGCCATTGGAGGAGCTGTCTTTCAGACTATCAAGGGCTTCAGGAATGCTCCCAGTGTGAGTCTTGGGGAGACTAGTTCTAACTCACCTCTCCTCTCTCGAAAAAGATGTGTTACAGCTTGAAAGTTTGACTGTTGATTGACAGGGCATGAACAGGAGATTTTTGGGAAGTCTGGCAGCAGTAAAGGAGAGGGCTCCAGTAATAGGAGGAAATTTTGCTGTCTGGGGTGGGATGTTTTCAACAATTGATTGCACTTTGGTGCACCTCAGAAAGAAGGAGGATCCCTGGAATTCCATCATCAGTGGGGCTGCCACTGGAGGAATTCTTGCTGCACGGAGTAAGATTTCTTTCAGTCAGAGGAAATCATTCATCCTAAGGCTATCTCAGTCCCTTGTATAATCATTTATGAATAGGTGGGCCTGCTGCAATAGCTGGGAGTGCCTTCATTGGAGGTGTCCTCTTGGCATTGATTGAAGGTGTGGGAATCCTCTTTACCAGATTATCTGCTGAACAGTTTAAACCCATCAATCCTCAGATGGAAGATCCCTCACAGCTTGGACCTTCTCCACACAGTCCATTTGGAGCTCAACAGCATTACCAGTGACACTCAATTAGTACTAGATAGTCAAGTTTCCTTTCATGGTCATGTGAACCAGAAGTCACTTTTCTCTTGGAGCTGTCAGTTTCTGTTCATTTTAAGATGCAAGACCTCATCCCGCCAAAGCTATTTGGATAGAATGCAACTTTAGTTAAATGCCATTTCTTTGATGATAAATTTTTTTGTTTGAATTAAGCATTCTGTCATTGAGAGTTTTTCAAGTGACCTGATAGTGATGAGACATCAAGAAAAGATGTAAACATCCACTGTATTTCCAATGAAGAAGCACAATGAGAAGTCCATAAAAGCATGGAATCTGATTATAAATACTTTCATGATAGAATAGAATCCTTCAAGCACCAACCAACAGAAAGCACCACACATTTAATTTAGCAGTGAGTTTTTTTTCTTGGCTACAAGAATGTGGCTGCATTAGAGTAAACTTAAATAACACCTCTGCTTTTTTTTCCAAAAAATATCTATGAGTGGTAGATAAAGAAAACTTAAACCTCAAACAGGAAGTCCAGAGTAACCTGAATAGAAGCCACTCACTCACAGGATACCCTTTGACTGCTCTGAAGTGCAAAACATTTAATAAGGATGGCCATCTGTCTAAGTGAAACTAAATGCAAGGCAGCAAAACCGGGAAGGAGACTAGAACATCTAATGATGTGAATACTAAAGTCAGTCTGCTCAGAAATGTGCTAAGCTTGTTTGTGCTGGACGGACTAGTACTACTTTGTGCATATGTGCAAAAAATATTCAGAACACACAATGAGGAAATAAACATAGAAAAACATTGAGAGCAAGAGATAGAACACAGGAATGATAACAAGTAGCTGGAGTATAAAATGGAAAGAAGAAGAGCTGAGCATACAGTTTTTGAGGGAAGACATGGAATTTCTTTTCAAGCACCATGACAGATAGGACACATTTGGTAGTCTGGAATGCTCACAGGAACATAAATATTTAAAGGAACTGATACTAGCTATATATCTAAATGATAGCATCAAATGTTTGGTTCTTTGTTACCCTGCATAGGATCACGGGTAGTTGGGAATCCATAGAATCAGATCATGTCAGGCAGGATGACTAGGTGGGTGATTTTTTCAGGCAGCATGACTCACGTACGCGATGCCTGCTTTAGGTTCACATGCGGGTTTGAGACGTAGTTGGGCGTGCTGAGAAGGCTGATGCGCTGCTTCTGCTTGCGCTGCTCTGTCATCTGCACATAGCATGCACAAATTCAAGTGAATATGTCATCAAAATTTCTCTCTCATGGTGAACAAAGGCATTTCTTCTGACATGCACAGGGCACTATCACATCAAGAGAGGCATATACACATCTCATTTTATTTGTCAGTCCCATCTGGAATATATTGCTGGAAGAATATTACTCAATGTACCTGGAAAAATAGCCTGCTGGAATTTCAAAAACTCACATGACAGACCAATTAACAAGATAGTGGTCTTGTTGCTTTAACCTTCTTAGTGCCCGTGGGGTGATATTTTGGCCTAGCCCAGGCTGTGCAAAAACTGCCAAAGGCTGACATTTTGGCCACAAAATGTTCTCCCTTCTAGTTCAAAGGTTACAGGGCTGACAGAGGGCAGTGTTGTTATATTTAGTAAAATGTTATATTTTCAGCAAAAAACATGCATGGCAACTTTTGCATGTCCCTTGCTAGAAAGTGTGGCACTAAGAGGGTTCAGTGCTTCCAGTTCAATGCCAACAAATTTAAGATGGGCTCTTCTGTCTTGTTCAATTGATGCAGGATGATAAAGGGAAAATGAACAGTATTTCTTTTCTCTCAAATCTTTTTTCTGTACCATTCTAAAGGGAGCCTATAGACAATTGAAGCCAAATTCTCATGAAGAACAGGGAAGGGAGGACCTCATGTTCATAATACAACTGCATCCCTCTAAATGAGATTGCAAGATCACCACATTTCACCAAATATGACATTCCTGTCTTCAAGTCTTGAAGATGGACATTTTGAAAGGCACACTGAAGACAAAACATCAGGATAAGAATTCTACTGAAGCATGCTGGGCCTGCCTGCTACATTAATATTCCCCCTTGTCAATGATCTAACGGGTGCGGCAGAATAAATGGCGGGGTCAGTATTACGTCAATATATTGTCCATTTTTCGTCGCTTAAGTTCGAACTTTTTTTCTTCAAAGATTCTCCATTCAATTCTCTACAAAACGGCGCATTTGGTTTCGCATATGCTTGCAACCTTTCTTCATCAGATCGCGAAAAGTAAAGACCCCCAAAACCATGTTCTTCCTAAACGCGAAAATAGAGACGAACCAGCGAAAATCCTACGGGATTTGAACGGTGCCCTGGGTCTTCCCACAATCGAACGATGGTATAAGATGACCTCCAAACTGCTCTATCGAACAGTGGAGTCCCCGTAGATGTCCGCGCACGGCCCGATCGAAGATAACCATTCAGAAGTTGAAGAGGTCGTTAAAACGGAAGAAGCGCGTCTTTTCGAAAGTTGGTCAGCGAACTCGACATTTCGGTGCGGAGCACTCGTCAAATACTCAAGAATGATCTCCAGCTTCGGTCCTACAAGAAGAACCACTCCTTACCGACGGCCACGAGGCCAAAATGATGAAATTTGCCAATTTAGTGTGCAACAATTTCCAAAAAGGAAGACACGAAGCGCATCCTCTTTTTTAACGAGATGTTCGACATTGACGGTGTCTAAAACTTCCAAAACGATCGAGTGTGGGCAGTGGACAGCGCTGAAGCCGATGAGAAGGGTGGCATCAAGCAAAAACGGAATTTCCTCAGGTCATGGTCTGGTTCGGGGCTTATAGAAGGTTGTGACACCGCTGGTCAGCTTCGAGAAAGGGTCTGCCGGTCACGCTCGATACAAGCGAGAAGTGCTTCCGGTGGCCCGCAAAATAGGGCAAGAAGGTCTTCGGCGACGAATGGACCTTCCAACAAGATGGTGCAAGGCACACTCATCAACTGTCCCAACAATTGTGCCGGGACAATTTCCCCTCCTCTATCGACGAGGATCATTGGTCACCGAACAGTCCCGATTTGAAACCCTTGAACTATCCGATCTGGGACGAACTGGTCCATGTCATCAAGTGGGATAATGTGACGTCGAAGGGGACTCTGATCGATGAACTGAAACGGTCTGTGGAGCGAATTCGGCAGGAAGTCGTGTTAGAAAATTGTTCTGGTTGGACTGCTCGCTTATCTCGCGTGTCAAAAAATGGTGGTGATAATTTGCAAAACCAAAAATTCGTGGTTTTGTAGAGAATCGAACGCAGAGTCTTTGAGAAAACGTTCGTCTACGAGACGAAAAATGGATGATGTATTAACGGAATACCAACCCCGCCCCGCTATTCAGCCGCACCCGTTACATTTTTGGAAATTCTCCCATCGTGTGATTGTCTGAAGGGTCACAATGCTATAACCTATCGTTTAATCCATAACTGCTGGCAACTATAGTGTAGTGAGATGTTTGTTTTTCAGTGCTGATTGACACAATGTGTAAAATCAGACTGGAACGCTCTCAAGTCAATCCAGGTGGAAGGGAGTGGGTAGTGAAATGCTGTCTGACCTCAGGCTGGAAATTCTGGAGGACAGCCATAGCTTGGAACAGGCTTCTTCGATTCTGAGTCAACTCAACTTTTCTTTCCTCCAGCAACATTAGTATTTAAAAAATGCTAGCAATAATAATCTCAAATGAAGTAATTAAACAAATAAATTAATCTAAAAAGTGAAATTCTGAAATTGCTGATAGCTAGGGAGTAGAGAGTTTAGTTAGAACAGTAACCATAAGGAGATATCAACTATCATATCTGTGTGCCTCACTATACTCGCATATCTGCTCCAGCTTCAATAGGCTGAAAACATCTTCCCACATTTGCTGAGCTCTTAACACATATAACTGTTTTCACTAATCCATTTTGCCAGAGCCATATATGACTATAGCCATTTTCACATCATCTTCCTAATAGTTACTTATTTCTTCAAGAGATGTCATTCAAATGTCTCACAGCCAACAAGGGTTGCATACAGGATACCACACCCTTAGACATTACTGAAGGTATATTGAAAATTTAATTCATTTAAATCCCTGGCAGTGAATGAGTTTTAGAATAACCTTGACAAGGAATAATGTAGTATCAGTACCTGATGCCTCAGTTCATCAAGCTGATTGGACAGATGACTGATGAGGGACTGAGTGGCCTCTAGTTGAGCCTGCAGTGTCCTCATATCATTGGCTTCACCTTCTCCATCACTCGGAGACAGAGACATGGCACGCATGCGTGGGAACCAATCCAGATTCTTCTCCTGCTCACCCACAGTCAAGAATGCAATTCATCTTTGTGAATATAAATAAGTTGCATGGAAAAAGAGCATGAAAAGGGGGGGAACCTTGATGAGCTCATAGACGTAGGACTCAGGGCCAGTGAATTCGGTGGGATCCTTGACACGCACAAGAATGATGAAGTACAGGTAGTGCCACATATTATGCTCACTGCTCACATGTTCTTCAAAGCTCACACTTTTATTGTCAAATGATGATCGATCCAGCCCTGAGTGAATGAAAAGTTTTTGAAAGTGAAACATGCAGTTCAGGTCTCTAACTGGATCAGGAAATAAGAAGCATGAGGCACCACTTCAAATACCTATTGAATTTAACCATAATTAGTATGAACCTAGTCCTAGATTTGAGAATGCCCCCTAAGGCTAAACTTCCACATGAGTTTCACTCCTCATTCCAGAAGCATTGTACCACTTCAGAAATGGGTCTCCAAATCTTAATCTACTGAGGCCCTTGGGTCACAAGTGTGTACCAAATTGAACTACAGGGTGTCCAAAAAAAATGTATACACACTTTGATTGCTAATTACTTCTATGTTTAATTTCATAAATTCAATTTTATAATTTTATAATGAAGAAAAAATGTGAGAAAAAATTATGCATTAACGCATTAGTTGATATTTTCCAACTTCCAATACCACTTCAACACAAATTTCCGCTGCTCAAATGTAAGTCTGGGATTTTGCATTATTACAACCAACTTGCAACTGAAAAAGAGAAAAGGTTACTGAGTTATGGGTTGATGAAGTGTGTATACATTTTTTTTGGACACCCTGTATATGGAACAATCACATCTTGGGAGGACATTTGACATTAGCAAGAGCAATACTAGGAAAAAAAAGGTGATGAAAGGCTTGAGCTAGGGAGACATTTGGCGTGGTGTTAAAGTGCGAGCAGGGCAATGAGTTTTATTAAGCAGATGCTTTTTTTGGTAATAGTATAGTATGTGTCCACTTAAGGAATAGTCCTGGGGGCAGAATGATCATTCTGCCCCCAGGAGAGGAATGGAGGATTAGAGTATTCTGAAGAGCAGGAAAGAGTGGACCATTCCCTGGAAAGTACTAATATTAGTACTTACAGAACAATATATATAATCCATTGCTGTCATCATTGGCCCAATGGGTGCTACGAGGGTGGGATTGAGCATTCCAATAAGTGACATTGTAATGTTGGCCCAATGTTCAGCCAGTGTTGAAATTCAACATTCATCTGAGTATTCCAATAAGCAACATTGAAATATTGACTTAATGATATATGCTATGCCACCACAACAGTGGGAAGGTTAAAATTTAATGTTCATGCAATGCTGATTGATTGTTTGTTTGTTTGCTGGATCAGTACCATTGATCTAGTACATGTCCACTTGGTCAAGATCACCCACTTAGGTCCACATTTATTCCATGATACATGGACTGTCATTCTGAAAGATATAAGCCATGTGGACATGGTTGTCACAGGAGGATGCCATGTTTTTGCTTGTTGCTCATCCCATTGCCATAGGCAGCATTATAGAGGGTTTTTTAAATGTTCTATTTTAAAATAAATTCTCACTTCAATGACTTCCTCTTTGATTACTAATGTCTCTTCCATCTCATGCTTGTTTAGATTCTTGCTTAAAGCATATTCATTGAGCTGAGAGCACCATATCTGATTCAATTATTTACTTCAATAAAAGAAGGCTGTTCCTGCCTGTCTACCTGACTTGCTGATAAAAATTTTTGCTTGAGGGTCACAGCCCAATTGTGCTATTGAGTCAGTGCCCCATAGGTTATGTCTACGAGGTGTGGCTATAAAGTAATGAGACTGCTTTTATAAGAAACATTCCTGTACTGATACATCTAAATGAGTTTTGTCACCTTGGGAAGCCATGCACATACATCAACGATGCTGCCACTGTTTAAAATATTTGTGGAACTCTTATTTTGGAATCACCTTCAGAGTCTGCATCACTTTCTCTTGAATACTGGCAAATCTTAGTCCTTTCAAGATGCCTTCCAGTTTTAGAAAGAGCCAGAAGCCATTCAGAGCCAGGTCCAGAGAATAAGGTGGGTGATCAAGCTGGGTGATGCCTTTTTGTGCCAAAAACTGTTTCATTGAAAGCGAACTGCAAGATGGCACATTGTCATGGTGAAGAATCCATTCATTGGGTCAAGTTTATTTCCTTTCTACTAAAGAAACAAAAGTTAAAACAATGTTGATTTGTTCATTCAATATCAATGGCATCATTCATGCAGAATTCATTCCAGGACAAACAGTCAATCAGGCTTATTATTAGGAAATTTTGAACCAGTTAAGGGATTCTGTGTGCTGCAAAAGGAAAGAACTTTGGCCCAATGAATGGATTCTTCACCATGACAATGTGCCAGCTTGCAGCTCACTTTCAGTGAGACAGTTTTTGGCACAAAAAGGCATCACCCAGCTTGATCACCCACCTTATTCTCCAGACCTGGCTCCAAATGACTTCTGGCTCTTTCCAAAACTGGAAGGCATCGTGAAAGAACTAAGATTTGCCAGTATTGAGGACATTCAAGAGAAAGTGACACAGACTCTGAAGGTGATTCCAAAATAAGAGTTCCACAAATATTTTAAACAGTGGCAGCATCGTTGGCTTAAGCATATGGCTTCCCAAGGTGACTATTTTGAAGGGGACAAAACTTGTTTAGATGTATCAGTACAGGAATGTTTCTTATAAAGCAGTCTCATTACTTTACAGTCACACCTTCAATATATGGGTTAAATGACAAAGTGAGATGTGCCTTTTTGGACTTATGGCAATAGAGTGGGTCTTAAACAAGGTGGCTTGGCTTTGCAGGTGCAATGTGATGATACGAGCCAAGCTTGCAAGATAGCACATGTATTAGTTGAGTTTTGATAAACGTCAGAGGTCAATGTCATACATACAGGATAGGAGGTAAGTAGCTATAATCCTTTTTAATGGAGGCTCACAAGAAGCATAGAACCGATTAAGGATAGACCACAGAAGTCACTCAAGGTAACATACCACAGATGAAGCAGGTGTTTTTGAGGATCTCCTCCTTTTGTTGCTTTTCACTCCTCAGATCTGCAAAGGTGTCAATGATGACACCGAAGATGAGGTTCAGGACGATGATGATGACAACAAAGTAAAAGAGGAGATCATAGATCACACGTGCCACAAACAGTGGTTCCTGAAGAAGCCCAAATATAATACTCATATTATCTCAAAATGAAATTTGGAGATAAGGTGCAAATGGTGGCGAGACTCACAGTACTGCTGGGATTTCGTAGGACATCCCCAATCCCACCTCCATTTCGTAGGCCCTGGTTCATAGATGTGACAATGCACATTGCCAAGGACTCACAGGAACGCTCCTTCACCTCACCTGATATCTCTACCAGATTTGGGTTTGGTGGAAGTGCAGAGTTCCCAACAAGAGGTCCTTCATTAGCTTCTGCCAAGGATATAATTATAGCACTTGAAAAAAATGAAATATTCTAACAGTGGTTCACAATGGAGGTGAAATCATAAAATATACAAGAGTGACTCAAAATCCTGTTTCTATTCTGGAATAATTTTTGAACAGGTAGGGAGAAAAGAAACAGACAAATACTGTATTATCAAATAGCATTAACTGTGGGAACTTATAAGATGTATTTCAAAACTTGAATTTTCAACACCAAACATGCTCCAAGTGGCTTCCATTTTGATTTTGCATATTGGGGCTAATGTCCACTTCTCAGACCTATATGACCACTGCGTTGAGGTCCCATGTAAAAACTTATATTCCATCAGGCAATATGTTTTAAAGAAGGTCATTGACAATGTCCTCATCACACTCTGACAATGCATGAAGCCACCAAGAGCATATAATATGGGGAAATGCCAAAAAAAGGTATATACCATTGAAAATCTCCAAGATCATGTTTAATGATATTCAACTACTTCCTTTGTTCCTGTTGGGTGAAAAACTTACCAGAATTTCCAAGTATTGCATGGCTAATTAAATACCCTGTGTGAAATGGCTTCTAAAAATTATCATTCCATGGAACACATTTTAACTCAGAGATGAGGTTTCTTATTTTTATTACAAAAGAAAAATAGGATGTGAGGCTTAACAGCTCCAAAGATTGAATGGTCAAGTGTTGGTACCCAAGTAACACTTGAAATGAAGGACTACTTTTGTTCATAACTCTACCTATAGGGGATAAATGGCAAATAGAAACTATAAGCAACATCTTATTTAACACTTTCACCTCAGAGGGTGTGGCAGAAGTTTTTTGAAGTCTGCAAAAAAAGTTTATAACTTTGGAATGCAAAAAGTTAGAGACTTGCTCTTTTTTGGGCATTGAAGTATAAGGTCTCTATTATATTGTGGGAAATTATGTAAAAATTTGAAACATTTCAAAGGATGTACTATTGCATCCACTGTCCGATGCTAGTTAGGACTGGACATACATATATGTCCATCAGATTGAAAGTGTTAATTCACCAACTACTTGAAAAGCAGCCCATGATTAACAGGAGTAAATCTTATAGCTAATTACAAGCTGCACTTACTGTAAATTAAGTTTTCACACAAAATAATTAAATTACATCATTACAAGGAGAGAAGAATCCACAAAAAATACAATATAGTCATTATAATGTGCAGTGTTGTTATAGATATTGCCCAAAGAAGTTCAATCATAATTTTGGAAGGGACAGTTGGATGCACATGATATTTGAAGGTTGTAGGGCCTATAGAATTTTGCACTATGTCTACCAGACAGGGGTGCATATAAAAAGGGGGTTCTGTAGCTGCATATGCAAGTAATCACTGGAAAATGGGCATAAATAGGGAAGTGTGTTTGACATTCATGACACTCAAGGCAACATGCCACGCTCACAGTGCAACATTTTGCAACACTTTGCTGCTATTTCCAAAAACAGAACTCAATAACAAGAGTTATCCATGATTATTTGAAAATTTTCTAACCTGTCATTAGATATGAGAATGGTGTCATCCCAGTGACTAATCAGTGTGGTGTTCATCCAACTCATGTACAGGTTACATATATTGAAATAGTTGCAGAAACAGATTACAAGAAATGAAAATTTGATGTTCTATTCCTATAACTGTATTGTTTATACCCCTTCTTCAATGTTTATTTTAGCATACATAACCATAATGCCCCTATCCAAATATATCTAACATTTGGTGGTTACTTTAAAACAACTCTGCATATAAACTTTCAAGTGATAAGGGAGATTTTGCTCCAAAAAACTCACCTCTGGAGTATCGGTACAGAACCTCAGAGTAAAATGGGAGCTTTGTGTTAGTAGAACCAGAACTCTGCTCCTCTTGTACATGGACTAGAGAAAAATTGCAATCACTGCTTTCCATGAAGGAGATCAAATGAATTTTTTTCTCCATATGAAGTGTCACTCACCTTTGTTGAATTCTGGGTGCTCATCAACTTGCAGTAGGAAATCCTCACGGAAAAATATGTACCCAATGATGGAGAAGAGATAAACAAGGATCAATGCAAGGATGGCCGTGAGGATGATACTTCGCCCATTGCGAGTCACAGACCGAATCACATTCAATAGGGTCTCCTCTCGGTACACCACATCAAAAAGCTGAGCAAGAGCAAACAGGAGAAAGAACAAGAAAATAAAACAATTTTGAAAGGCAAAAAATCATGAGGCCCTTAGAGAAGACCTGCTCTTTCCCCCAACCAGTAGAATCAAGAGAAAAAAACTAGGAATAATACACAATACATAATAGTGCCCATCCAGGTTGAAGGGCATCTAAATAAACTAAATTTACTTTGATACTGTTCAGCATATTAAAAAAAAACTTGATGGATTATATATAGCAGCTCCAAAAGTTGCAGACAATTGTGACACTCAGTTTCTCCCTTTAAAAATCATGGGCCAATTAGTTGAACAGAGAGTAGTACTACATCAAGCCAAAACTCCAAACCAAATAGAGAATTGCCCTTTTCAGTTGGATAGTTTAGGCTTTGAGTAATGATACTCTCTGTTAAACAAGCATGCCCTATATATATGGGAATTGTGCTTTATGCTGTAATGAAAAAGTCTCATAATCCTTGTTCAAGCCAGCAGTTTATCATAATGTCATTGCTGCAAAGTTGGAGCTTGCCATCTACAAATAAAAGCTTATTAATATGGTCAAGAACATTAAGTGCAGATATGAGAAGTCATACTTGGATAATCCATCTGTGTAAGACAAAATGGAATTCTCCATTCACTACATCAGACAGCTAATGTTCATGACTAAATCAGTTGAAAGGCCAATCTTGCTTTTGAGCTAAGCAAGATCCATTGGCAATGTCTTGGACTCACAAGTACTGAGTATAGGAAAGGATGGACAAGGAGGCCAAGGATGCAGAACACCAGATAGGACATGTGATACATAAGTTCAAAGTCCTTCAGAAGTTGTGGGACCTCACGACCGAACATCCCCTGATTCCCCATGATGCTCACCAAGTGGATCATCTTTACCACTACCTGCAAAACAATTCCAAAAGCATGACATTCGGTGTTGCGATCATTGTGAAATATGAATGGGTAGGGATATCTCAGACTCATTGCAATGTCACATCACAAATGATATTGGGTTAGTACTACATGTAGGATGTGAATAATGTAGAAGGAAGAAACATGACATATGGTCATGGATGTTGTTAAGGAGGTATGTTGAGAAAGTCAGCTGTGAGTGCAGCAGTTGATTGAAAATTAATCTTGTTCTTACTTTGGAAAGCCAAATGACTCTTACATTGAGGAAACCTAGGAGAGTGAAAAGGGTTGCAGACCAAGAGGAAAAAGAATGAATCAGAAATAAGGTCCAATAGAGAAGAAAAAGTAAAAAAGACTTACATTGATAACTCCAAGGAGAGCGAGTGATGGCTCTGGACCAAGAGAGAATATAAGGCGAACGATGACAGATGCAATGAGAGTGCGGATGCCAGAGGCTCTGGGCACAGCCATGACCATTGCAGCTGAGATCAGGATGAGAGCCCACACCAAGCCCGAAAATGACTGGCTCAATCCTTCCATGTCATTAAAAAGGCTTTCAATGACATTGCTTCTGCATATTTTAGCCTAATAATCCCCTCCAATCAGTATGCCATCAAAGTACACTTCTCAGGAAAACAATAAAGGATGATGTTACAAATGAGATTTCCACCAACTACTGTCCATTATTACCCTCCATTTAAAAGTAAAAAAACAACCAGCAAACACATAACTCATACAGCAATTACATGGAATATTAAAGGAATCTCTTGATCAGACCTTTTTACCCTTTTTTGCTGTGAAGTTTCAAATTGCTCAAGAACCTACCATTGCTATGTTTTTCTCAGGAATACATGTGTGAAACATGTGTGAAACTTTAAACTTAATTTGGATTATAATGGAGCATATTTAGTTGTGTTTATAGGGTCCAATATATTCATTACACTTCAAAATATGTTTACATTTCAGTTTTCCTTAACCACTCCTGTACTCATGTGTCAAAATTGTGCACATTAGGCCTGCATTCATCAACTAACCATGTAAACAAAGGCCAAACTCAATTCATTTGCTGTGCTTCCTTTTCAGACTCTGAGCTCTAAACATGGTCAGTAGGTGGTACTTTCCTCACAACTTTCAACATTTTAATGATATCTGGAATCAGTATCCTGAGGCTGGCAGCCTGGAAATCAGCTGTTAACTACCCACTTCAAAATATAATTTTCAATACACAGGTGAAATCTAGTGAGAAAGCAGGCTGCCAGCAAGATTCGAACACTAATTGGCACCAGCTAGATGTAAACCACATCAGTTCAGTTGTATATACTCGACAGCTGCACTGAATAATGGAATGTGCCAGTTGATTATACTTGGCAGCCACACTGTTGGTGCAAGCCTTTGCCATTGAGCATACTAAGCAGTTGCAGTGAAAGGGTTAACAGTTCTGCTTCTGCTGTAGGCATTTCTTAAAATCTGACATAAGCCCTTCTCTCTCACTTTCACATTTTTCCAGGCAATTGCTCATGTCATCAGTCATTCAATCTCTCTGGCTATTAGCATTCAGTAGTGACAACGAATCCTTCCATGTGCTGCTCATGTCCTGCTCTTGTAGATCTTTTAATACTGGTTCTGCAAATTTAAAAACTGCAGTGCATCATGGGCATGTTGGAGGGCATGGTTGCAAATATATCTGCAATCAAAAGTTCTCACATTCTACACAGAATTGGAACTGTGGCTTACACCTTGCCAGCCATTTAACCCATTGGCATTGGAATTATTACACCATTTGCATACAATATGTTAGAATTTATTTTGAAAAATAATCATTACTTTACAAGATACAATGTCTTAAGAACTAAACATGAGTACAAGGCTTAAAACTGCTCGAAGGTGGTTTCACAAACTCACTGAAGGACTCATCATGAATTTTCATCCTAGTGGAGTACTGTGCCTGGTAGCAATACTATGAGATGGTCTCGTAGAACAATGCCAATGGGTTAAAGGTACTGAGAAGATTTTCTCACTTGGTAATGAAGCAGTGAAGGGATAGAAGAAGGCCATGATGAGGTTGATGAGGACGGCAAAGTTGAACAGGATGTGACTCCAGAGTGACATGTAGCTGCTTACCCAGAACAATAAAGGTTGAGCTGAAAATTTTGAAAACAATTCAAGAGAGTTCAGCCAGCTCTACTTCTCTTGGTGATTCACTCCTCCTATAAGGTGACAGGATAGAAACAGTGATGAAGTATACCTCGTAGGTTTTTCTGCCATGTCATTTCTTTGTACAGGTCCTCAGAACGGTCAAAGAAATCTGTGACTTTGGAGCCCTGGTCATCTCGCTCAGCAGTGTGAAATACTTTCACCTTGGTCTCTTTGGTTAAGTACTCACAAATCTCTGGAATCGGAAACACAATCTGCTCCATGGTCCGGTCATGACGCACAATCTGGAAAATAACATTTTTTTAAATAAAAGACATACAACTATTTTTTCTATTTGAATGGATATGAAAAGGCATACTTCAATCTGTGCAGTATGACTTGCATAGTACTGCAGGGCCAGAGCCATCTTCCCCTCAGTAGCCTCCTCAGGTGGGTGAAGCATTGTGGCAAGGTCCTTGTTATGTTGTGCCAGCTGATGGCATAGAATGTAGATATTGTGGCCCACCTACATAAAGAAATAGATTTAAGACAAACAAAAAAGTATTTTTAATGTGCTCATTCTGCTCAAATTTAAACAACTTATGCACTCAGCCAAAAAAAAATTAAACTCCTAGGAGTTGAGGTACAATGAATAAATTTGATATAGGAACTTATAATAGTGAATAATGAAAATAAATAAAGTTTCAGGGTCACAGTATGACACAAAAGACCAACCAAATCTCATAGTGCATGGAGGGGTCCATTCATCCCTATTGAATTCACTTGTACCACATGACTATTGTTGAATGTGCAACCATGAAGAAATGTCAAGGGGACAGTCAGTTCTACCAATGTTACTTGATGGGGGTCAGTTGAGAGTGGCATGCATGGTATACACCATTGCTACAAATTAACACTGGGCTGAACTGAAGGCTCAAACAGAATGAAAGGAACTTTTCCCTCTTAGGGTAGGGTACATGGCATGTCTCCCCTATAAAGAACCATCCTTCACTATTTGAACTCAATTGCTCATGACTCTATGTTCATGTGTCAAATTTCATTAATCCATTGGAATAATTACACCATTTGCATGCCATATTTGTGCTGAACCACATTCTCAAATTCACATGTTATTTGCATTTTGCATGCACAATGGAGAATTTTCATGTAAAGGTTAAAACAATAGAAAACACTTCCAATGCTGTCTGTCAACATTGGCACTAAGTGAACAGTTCATGTGTAAAATATAGATATGAGATGGTCTTGTAGTTCTGAAGAATGGACTGGTAGTGATACTATGAGACAGTCTCATGGATCAATGCCAATGGGTTAACAAAGTGAAACTCCTTCTTAATGTGGCTCTTTTTTGACAATGAATATATGATCATTTTCAACATTCAACTGCTGTAAATGTAATAGTTTTCCTTGGAATGCATGCATTAAGGACTTTCAGAAATAGTCTTGCTGTTTCCTATTTTTGACAATATAAGCTTTCCAATTTCATAATCAACTTTATGGAGGAGCATGGAGAAAAGATGGGTAGTTTCTTTGCCCTGGTCCACACTATGAGCAAGTTAAAAGAATATGAGAATAGGATGTCCCTGGTTATCTTCACAAATATGCTCTTCACCCAAGCAATTTTGTTCTACCCATGTATTGGGTTTATGAGTCTCAAATTGAGTTTCACAGAGAATACCCTAGAGCTCCTGATGAATGCAACACCGAGTTCTCCTTTGAGATGCATATTCATTCCTTTAGTCACAGGCTTAAAATATGAAATTACACAGAGCTAAGGCTTTTGTTCAGAAGACAATTATCTTGTCGAAGCTGCAATGTCATATGAAGTGTCCCAAATGTTTCAATCTCAGATTTTTTTCTCAAATGCTATGAATGCCATGAAATTGGAACTTAGATATGTCCTAGTAGGCATTCTCTGATGAGAAGCTCATGTGATCTCATGGAAAGACTGCTTGTCACTATGGAACTCCTGATAAGTCAACTCTGATATGGCCAGTATACTTAATGAGTTCTTCGCTTCCGTTTTCACTGTGGAATCCTACACAGCACCGACTTTGGAGGAGGTGACCTCGGCGCGCATCGAGGATATTTCCATCACCGAGGAGACGATCGTGAACATGATAGGGAAGTTAAAGGTGGGCAAGGCGACCGGCCCCGATGGGATTCCCAAGAGAGTCATTAAGGAAACCGCGAGGGAAATATCGGTTCCACTAAGAATCGTATTTCGAAAGTATTCGAAAGCAGCTTTTCGCGCGGGGAAGTACCTAAGGACTGGAGACTAGCAAACGTCGTACCGATCTTTAAGAAGGGCGAAAAGAGTCATCCAGGAAATTACAGGCCGGTAAGTCTCACGAGTATCCCAGGGAAGATCATGGAGAGCATACTAAGGGACCATCTCTTGGATTTCCTCGAAGGAAACGCGCTCATTCGGGACTCTCAACACGGCTTTAGGAGGCGTCGAAATNTATCAAATATGAACCCTCGTCAGCTGCTGGAAGTGGCTTGCCGTGCATACCATCAGGAAGCTGTGGATGCTGAGAGTGAGGTGGATGATGATGGTACAGATGGGGATGAAGGAGTCTCTCCCAGAGAGGTCTGTCATGATGCCAGCAAATAGCTGGCTGAGTGAAGTTTAGCCTTATTTGTGAATCTGCTTTCAGGTTTGCTATCATGGATGACATAGGTGAATAGTCAGAGGAGACATAGATAGATTGAAGCTTGAAAGGAAGTCTTGGAACAGAGGGGTTTGTTATGGGGTGGGGGTAAGGAAGGGAAAGGAAGGGAGAAGACTAAGAGTTTGAAACTTATTTAGGCCTAATATGAGCAAGTTATGAAGATGAGTCAATCTACTTCTGAAACTAAGGAGACACTCCTAATCTGAATGCAGTAAGATGTGGGTAATTCTGAGCAGGTTGCATTTAAGTATAATCCTTTATGGGCTTTTCATTATCAAAGCAGAATGATAATGTGACCGGAGTTGTACATGTAGGACTCTGTTATGAGGGGGAATTACTTAATGCTAGAAATGAAACCTATATTTTTTTTTCCCAGATGGAACAGGTACTGTATCATGAGATTGTAAAGATCTCTGCCATGAGTTCTTGAGGAACTGTATAACTTCTAAACATATCTTCTGCTGCTTCTTGGAATTTCAATATCCCTGAGAGTATCCTGCATCATGCAAATTACCCTCTGTTTGACAAAATATAAAAATTTTACAAAATGTGCGGCTCAGGTCGAGAAAGGAATTTTTTACTTGCAGAGTGGTGAACGCGTGGAATTCGTTAAGGAACGCTCGACTTCGACACGTGATACACGTGATATCGAAATGGGCGAAATCGCCTCTTGATATCACTAACTATCCTGAATCCTGATCATTTTCTGCGGCTAATTAATGTAATACACTTCCCTCTGACCCGTCACATTTTGTAAAATTTTTATATTTTGTCAAACAGAGGGTAATTTGCATGATGCAGGATACTCTCAGGGATATTGAAATTCCAAGAAGCAGCAGAAGATATGTTTAGAAGTTATACAGTTCCTCAAGAACTCATGGCAGAGATCTTTACAATCTCATGATACAGTACCTGTTCCATCTGGGAAAAAAAAATATAGGTTTCATTTCTAGCATTAAGTAATTCCCCCTCATAACAGAGTCCTACATGTACAACTCCGGTCACATTATCATTCTGCTTTGATAATGAAAAGCCCATAAAGGATTATACTTAAATGCAACCTGCTCAGAATTACCCACATCTTACTGCATTCAGATTAGGAGTGTCTCCTTAGTTTCAGAAGTAGATTGACTCATCTTCATAACTTGCTCATATTAGGCCTAAATAAGTTTCAAACTCTTAGTCTTCTCCCTTCCTTTCCCTTCCTTACCCCCACCCCATAACAAACCCCTCTGTTCCAAGACTTCCTTTCAAGCTTCAATCTATCTATGTCTCCTCTGACTATTCACCTATGTCATCCATGATAGCAAACCTGAAAGCAGATTCACAAATAAGGCTAAACTTCACTCAGCCAGCTATTTGCTGGCATCATGACAGACCTCTCTGGGAGAGACTCCTTCATCCCCATCTGTACCATCATCATCCACCTCACTCTCAGCATCCACAGCTTCCTGATGGTATGCACGGCAAGCCACTTCCAGCAGCTGACGAGGGTTCATATTTGATAGGATCCTGCCATAAAAACAGCAAGACAATGGCATGGCCAATAGTAGATATGAAAATATAAGAAAATTAATAGAGAAAAAACAAAAGCTCTCGAAGGTGACAGCAGAATCAAATGAGGATGTGAGAATTCATCATTTTGTGGGAGTGCATTAAGTGCTACAGTCAAGCTCTGAAAGTGCATCATGATAAATGACCCTCATAACACTGCATGCCTATCATCACCCATCTGCATTACAGAAGAGTGACGATGATGATGATGATGGTGGTGATGTAAAGACACATCAACCAGGAAAAGAAGACAAGACTTGGCTTGTTCTCTCACCTAGCTTAATACCAGTAATATTTCTAAGCAGCTAGAAACATCATCCTTTTAGATTTGATACCAAGAAAGTAGCACAAAAGTGCTTGAAACCAAGAGTCTCAATAAAAGTTTATAATGTCAACATACTAGTATGTGCATTAGCATGATTATGTGAATACTTTATTTTTTTTTTTACCAGTTCTGGAATGAAATTCATCATCACCATATTCATGGCTGCTGAGAGACAATTGGTGTAGCCAGAAATTTTTTTATCTCTATTCCTTTTTCATGGCTTTGGGAGTGGTGGGTATCAAACCCTTTTTTCATCCCAAAACCATCAATACAGATAATGGATGAAAATCCTGGTTGTACCAGTGTCAGAGAGTTAGAAACTGTTATACCTGTCAGCATTCTCTGAATCAGCCCGGCTCTCCATGATGGCAAGAAGAAGCTTGGAAGCAGAGTTCTTCAGATCCAGGACAAGGTCCATGCGGGTGCGACCCAGTGGGTTGATATCATTCAGAATCAGGGCAGTAATGATGTCCAGGCCATTGGATTCATGCATGGCAATACAGTTCTGGTTCTCATGACATGGGCCCTTAAACACAGTCAATGAAATGCAAAGTGGCTCATGCTGGTGAATACCTAGATGAAATCAAGAGTTCAGATTTTCACTGAACACTTGAATCTCACCAGAATTTATAATAGCTCTCAAAGACAACATGCAGCAATGTCTTGCCCTGATTGAAAGTGTAAGGTGCAATAAAAAAGCAATATGCAGGCACATTCTACTTTGCATTGGGGTGAGTATTCTCCAGGGAATTCTCCTAAAGGAATATTTGACTGGAAAGGTGCAAGAAAAATTAAATGGGGCAAAATCCCTAAAACATCACTGCCAACTACCATTGGACTAGATTGGAATGCTATAAAAAAAAAACCTTCAAGTGTCATAAATCAGGATCTGGATAGTTTTTTTTTTAATTTAAAATGATTGGGATTAATCAGCAAAATACATACATTGCAGTGCATGAGGATAGCAATGGAAAAGTCTTCATACTGAAATCAACTCATGAGCATATATGTCATTAAAGTTGAGAATGTACTGTATCCATATTTCCATAAGGACAGTATGTTACCAATGCAGACCAGACATTCTGTTTCTTGATTGACAAGTTTTCCAGGCCCAGTTCCAATCCCACCACTCCAAAAATTATGAGAGATAGAGACACAAATTCTTCACATTTGCTCCCCCAATTATCAAGAGGACATGTGTCAATGAGGTTTGAAGGATTAACTATTTAACTCCTGTATATACAGGTAGTGTATGTACCTGATGAGCAGCAGTCATGGGCTCCAAAAACACATGCATGCATTGAATTCATTCCATTCCATGTGAAGAAGCCAAACAAGGCATGAAGCAAAGATGGTTGGAAAAGGATCTCACCTGGCAGTATTCAACAAGGGTCTCCAAAGTCTGATTGATGAGGGAGAAGTTATTTTCATTGATGTAGAGACCCAGGAGACCCAGTCCACCTGTTGTGGACCCACAGATGCAGTCCAGGAACATCAGTGTCTCTGACACCAGATTGTAATTCGTCTTGTTGTTTTGACAGCGCAAAAAGTTCTGCATGTTGAACAGGATTAAGTAGCCCTGTTCTCCACTTTGAATGATTTAGCTATAAAATATAATAAAAAGCTAATGCTGACCTGCATTTCTGAATTGTGATTCTCACAGAGGAGCTGAAGGAACCGCAGGATAGGCTGCATGACAAGGACCTTAGGGCTGAAGACATTTTCAGAGCGATCTCTTTGCTGCCGCTCCTGTCTCTCTGCCAGCATATCCTCTAGGGCAGAGCTTGTTGAAACTAGTGAAAGCTGTCCTTCATCACCTGCACAAGCACAATAAAACCTGCTTTAGACTAGGCAATTTTTCACAACATCTCAGTCATTCTTATATCACTGGCTGCTCTAGCCCCCTGTAAAGGAGGAAGCCCATGGGGCAACACCCATTGATGTCCCAGAAAGCCTCAAGGCTGGAGAGCTGTCATTGCAGTATAAAATGCATCATTGGGCATATCAAGGGCTGTATAACAGCAAAATTGCAATAATCATGAAAGTTGAGTTAATGAAAGGAATTCCCCCCGGGGATACCTACATGGAGAAACACAACCCCCCCCTTCCTGGAGAAAAAAAACTTGTGAAGTCAAAGGAAAAAAAATAGAAGACAACTGTGGACCTGAAAATAAAGTTCTTTGAGGAAATGATACAGGAACACCAGTAGCACATGCAAGATTTTACCCTGACACCTATGCAATTCAAAAGAAATCAATGTAAATGTGGTTCCACTATGATATTCTCCACTGAATAAATTTCATTATGATTTTTTCTCTCTAAAAGATGGTGAGTTTCATTTCAACGAAGGCACCAATTTGAACAAACAGAATTCACCTGGAAACTTGAGGAATCCCCCACCTCGAAGAAAAATAAGGAGGACTAATTCAAGCATCAAGGCATTCATTCTATCACTTACTCATTGACATCAAACATCAATAGCAGAAAACATTTCTGAGCAGATACTTAATGGTAAACCAAAATGCTATCTGAAGAGGATTGTTGTGGCTATAAATCCATAACTTTTACCTGTGTTGGATGATGAATTTCGCACAGCTAGATAGGCCTGTGCTGTGGACATGGCTGCATTAGTCAGCTCTTCTCTCATCTCATCAGTGATGAGAAATCCATTGGGCTTAGAGGAACCTACAATTATGAGAGAATGAGTCATCTGGTCATCCCTGCTTGCAGGGAAGACAAAGACTTTCAGGCTCATCTTAACCTCGTTTGGATATCCGATCATAGTCTTTAACAGGATCCTTTTCTTCCAGAGCCTTGGAGGTGATATCTGAAGTGTTCACACTCACTGTTGCCTTGATCACATTCTGTGCTTCCTGCATTTTGTCATAAAACACCTAAATCGCAGGGTAGAAAAAACATGAAACACCAGTTTATTAACTTGCACAGTGAAAAATAATTCTTAAGCTTAAATACAATTTACATTTAAATGTTTTACTGTACTCTGGGATATCCCACAGAAATTCATTAATGCAGGCAATCATCCCTTAAAGTATGCAGGGTTGAGTGGAGATTTCATGTGAAAAAAAAATTTATAATTTACTCAAAGTGTGAATGGAGAAGTTAAAAAGAAACTGTTGCTGGAGGGAGCACAATGGATCAAAGCAGGTCACTTTGTGAGGAACTTTGTACAGGGTGCAACAAAAGTATTGATAGAACACCATATGTGAAAACATACACTAATCCACCAATATCATGCACTTGAAAGTCACAAATACTCCAGGAGCTGTCCCTCAGCTACCAGAGACAGTGGAAGTCTAGCATATTGCAGATGGCATATCAAGGCATAAAGCATTGGAGGGTCACGTGGCATTGCAGTTGAAGCATTGGGTATTGCATTGGCAGCTGAAGCTGCCAATACAATATCCAAATACTCCCTTACGCTGTGAAAAGTGACTTCAGTTACTTCCTGCAGTGTTGCTATTGGCTGTGCATCAAAATAAATTACACAGCAAAAGGGTTAAATGTGTAAATGCTTCTCCCTTGTAAAGGGCATGGACCTCCCAAAGCCTTGTAAAATGAAACTCGCTCAGGTTCAATGGAACAAGAGAGCCCGACAAAAAGCTGCTAAGCGCAAGCACTAAAGTGCCTTGTTCATTTGCATCTTCCATGTTCACATCCCCTGCCACATGCACATTCTGCACTTGCCAAATCCTTGGTTCTCATAGGCCATGCAGCTGAAGACTGAGGTGGAAGGCTGAATAAGGACTGACCCTTCTGCACTATTGTCAAGAGGGAGGAAAAAAAATAATTTCCTTCTGGACAGGGGAAAATTCATTATATCCTGCATAGTTTCTATTAGAGATGCAAGGATATTGAATTTTGGCCGATATCCGATATACTGATAATTCCGATATTGGAAAAGAACTGATACCGATATCTATATATACATTTATATTTGCACATTCAGGTTAGATTTTGAACAGTGAACAATCTGATAATGCTGCTTTATTTCCAGGAAATATGTGTTTTCCCCAGAATAAAGCTGCATTATCAGATTGTTCTCTGTTCAAAAATCCACCCTCAGGCATTAATCCCTCCACTTTTAAGTTTTATTTGGGATCAGGTCTGATGGGGGAAAGCTTGGGGTGCACCAGTGGTGCACCTCATGCTTTTGCCATTTCTCCAATAGTGAGAAGAAATGTTTTCTTCATGATGAAGCCAGGCTCCTCAATGTGGATTTTTTAAATATTACATTGGATTTGCATTAGGCATTTTATTTCCTATGTTCCATCCTAGAACTTGCAATAAGGTGGAATAGCAATTACTTCTTTTTTTTTTCAAAGTAGCACTCAGTTCAGAAAATGTCAAGAATGTCAAAGTTCCCTCCTTCATACCTCTAATGGACACCCAGACAGACATGACTGACAAATTGTTAACACATCAGGTAATTTGCCATGAAGATGAAATGCGAACATAACTGCTTTTCAGGAAAATTTATAAGCAATCAATCATATTTATTACATTACAGAAGTTTTTATCTACAAATATATTTATGTAATGCATTATACACAGTCCAGTCATATTAATGTGACCACTACCTAGTTTCGACGTCAACTTCAAATCACCAATCACAGAAGGCAGGCGGCAGCACTCGCAGTGGAGGGTATCGCAAGGGTGTCGGAGGAAAGCGGACAACAGTACAATCGTTGCCGTCATGCCGAAACGGAGCGATTTATCGTCCGTCCAAAAGGGCCTGGTCATAGGCTTCCGGGCCAAGGGTGGCAGCATTTCCGAAACTGCTAATTTTGTCAACTGTTCGCGTGCCGCCGTGGTGAAAGTGTACAGTGCATGGCAAAATGGCACTGTCCAAAATCAGCGACGTGGCAAATGTGGAGCACCACGGGCCATTGATGACAGAGGTGAACGACGGCTGCGGAGATGCGTTCGGGCGAATAGACGTGGAACCCTTGACCAACTGACTGCCCAAATGAACCACGGGGCTACCAACAGGGTCTCCTCAACGACGGTTCAGCGAACGTTGCTGCGTATGGGCCTCCGTAGCAGATGCCTGGTTCATGCACCGATGCTGACCGCTGTTCATCGGCGACGAAGGCTTGAATTTGCCCGCCAGTATCGCAACTGGACGTCCACTGAGTGGCGACAGGTGGCTTTTTCCGATGAATCACGTTTTATGCTCCATCGGACAGATGGACGTTGCCGTATTCGGCGTGAAACGTCTGAAAGGAAACACCCTGCCACACTTGCCAGAAGGGTTCAAGCTGGAGGAGGGAGCATGGTCTGGGGAATGTTTTCGTGGCATTCGCTGGGTGCACTCATCATTGTGGACGGCACGATGAATCAACAGAAGTACGCATCTGTCCTTGCGGACCATGTCCACCCCTACATGCGGATTGTGTTTCCTCAGAACGACGGCATCTACCAGCAGGACAATGCGACGTGTCATACAGCTCGCAGTGTACGTGCGTGGTTCGAAGAGCACGACGATGAGTTTACCGTACTCCCCTGGCCACCAAATTCCCCGGATTTGAACCCAATCGAGAATCTGTGGGACCACCTCGATCGGGCTGTTCGCGCCATGGATCCTCAACCGCGCAACCTCGCGCAGCTGGCCACGGCACTGGAGTCGGCATGGCTCGCCATCCCTGTGGGTACCTTCCAGAACCTCACTGACTCTCTTCCTGCACGTCTCGCAGCTGTCCGCGCTGCGAAAGGTGGTTATTCCGGCTATTGACCNCAGGTAACCATGACGGACGCAGACAGACAGGCTGGAAAGGTCTAAAAGTGGTCTCTATCGTTTTCAGGAGACTCATTGATTAGTATCATAAGGCTTCCAAATAGGCCTATTTGAATTCGTATGCGATTTCACGTTACTTTCGCAATCATCATCAGCTCCGGCTCCGGCACCGGTCAATGGGTACGAGTTCAAAATGCGCCATCAGTCTACCGGTCAAATATGGCCATCGGCACGGTCCAACATGAATATAAAGATGATACCATTTTTTAAAATCGGTGGTTCCAAATGGAACCTCTGGGCAGGAAAGAGTTGAAATCAGACTATAGTCTAGTGATTTTTGTACGAAGGTTTTGGGATCCATCTAGGCCTGGGTTCTTCGCGCTAACATAAGCGATGTCTATTTTCGCAGAAAGTACGGAGTAGGCTATGGTCAGGAGTCAGGAGAGTTAGTGATATCAAGAGGCGATTTCGCCCATTTCGATATCACGTGTCGAGGTCGAGCGTTCCTTAATTTTGGGTAGGCCTAACCCTCTTAAAGCTAAATATTTTTGTATTTTTGTTATTATTTTTATTTTTATTTTATTTTTTTACTATCCTAGTTGCTTACTGTCTAGTACCTACGACAAGATTGCCCCCCACCTTTTAGCCTGTCCATGAAAGCATCTAGTTTCTTCTTAAAGATAGTCACAGAAAAGATAGTCACATGGTAATGGCATTAGGCCGAGTTAAGTAGATGACGCTTCTCATCTCTCTCTCGGGTGACTGGGTAATGAGCTAATGTCCCGTGACAGGGTGGCCTGGGCTCGAACCTAGCCAAGTCAAGTGCATATTTCCTAGTTCAAGCGCCAGCGTGCTTGGGAAGGGAGTACCCAAGCACAGAGCGCTCCTATCTCTAGATGTGGGACGTTGAGGAACCGCGGCAGTGAAGGTCGAATCCCAATGCAAAGGGGAAAAATGCTTATATTTTCAGTAGCCTAATACTTTTTTTTTACGGGTCATTTAGGCATTTTTAACCTTCTGCAGTGTTTTCACTTGAGTTGGACATTTTTTCACTTGACTTTGACACTCATGCATGAGGAAAGTCCCATGAACGTGTGTTCGAGTCAAGTGAAATGTTATCTAATGGGAAAAAGGTGAGAATATTCATCATTCGCTTTACATACTTAGCGTTTGGCATACTTCAGGTGTATTTTCAATATCGGTTATCGGCAGGTCATATATCGTTTTAGGCCGATATATCGGATTCACCTAATATCGGCCGATACCGATAACCGATAAAATATCGTTGCATCTCTAGTTTCTATCTGGGGACAGAAATTCTTTCATTGTCAGAAATTTCTTTATATCTACTTCAGTTATATTAAATTTTTTAACATGGGTGTCTATGGACATTCAGCTGGGCAACATCAAGGATTTCAGTATGACTGGTTTTTCATTATATCAGTGTTCACTATACTGAGAGTTGACTGTATTGATTGCTGTAGTCCTATTGATAGGACTGCCCACTCACCTCATCTCAGGCTCAAGTTTTCCATTGTGTAGAGAGGTCCCTTGAAGGTCAAGCAGGACCTCTCAATATTGACCCAAATATAAATACATAAATGCAATTTAAAAACTTACCATGGTATGCTGTCTGCAATGCAATGCAAGACAAAAATTGGGGCTGAATGGTGTTTGCTAGCTGAAAGAAATCTGGAAAATTTGTGACTGAGGTTTCCAATGTTTACTGATGAAATGTTGACAGAGGGGGCACTACTTTTGTTAATACTCCTTGTGTATATGAACTCAATTAGATGTAAGTGTGGTTCTATCATGATGCCCTATGAAATACAACCCAATGATGTCACCTTGAAAAAGCTTTGAGAGATATCACCCTCCAATAGTTTCCTCTTGAGTGAAGCCTGGATGACAGGGTTTCCACCTTCAAGGAGAGCAATCCCCAATGCCACAGACTCAGCAAACACACTTGGGGATTCTTGGGACCTGATTATGAGCTGGACAAGAAGTTCAGATGCACCTTCATTATTCAGATGGCACTGCACTTCTGACAAAGTTCGACCTGCTCGGCGGAGGAGAATTCCTGGAAGAATCAAAATCAGTGATGAACTCTAGACTCTGGCTGAAGACAATCTTTTACTGTTTTCAGTGCATTCCGAGTTGTCTTTACAGACTTACCACCTGGACCACGAGCAAGAGCAAGATTGTTCTGGATTTTGATGCAGTTTGATGAAGGGAACAAGGGCTGACAGAGGTCTGACTTAGGGTCTTGATGGATTTGGCCCAGGTACCGGGTAAGGAGGCTGCTTCTTAGGACATCACCCTACAGAAGGTAGAAAGTACATTAAATGGCTGTAAAGGAGAAAAAGGTGGTGACGTTAGCCATTTTATACCTGTATTCATTTTCCTGACCTGCCATGACTGCCTTTGCCAATCTCATACCAACATACCATGGTCTTAAAGAGGATGTTGAATAATTTTGTCTGTGAGGTATGTCTACTGTTTACAAACTGTTTACAGGAAGGAAAGTTCAAGTTCCAGCAAATACCAATAACCAATCATCAAAAAGAAAAAACGTGTGGAGTATCTAATAAGAGTTAGCAAATCTCATCTACATGAATGTGGACAATAACTTTCATAGTTCAAATTCTAGCACTGACTTTTTCACCATAATCCATGTCAAATGCCATCATGTCTCGTAGAGTGACAAGAACCCGAATGCAAAGTCGCTCCTCATGCTCATCCAACAGCTGTTCAGTGTGACGAATGAGGCTGTAACAAGAATGACACCAGCTTTTTGATCTGAATTCTTCTACTTCTTCCTCAATGTACTTTTCTTTGTAGATAAGTTCCATGAAAAAAGTAAGAAGACAAATTACCGTCCAATGAAGCCTTCCTTCTCACACTTCTTTCTCACTTCTGAGTCTTGATGGAAGAGGCACTCAGGGCGATAAAGGATGTCAACCAAAACGCTGGACTCTGCTTCAACCAGAGGCTTCAGCTGATCTTCTAACAAGGACACAATATCATGCAGACCCTCGATCACACTACGATCACTACGCACCAGCTGGAACACAGCAAGAAAAAAGTGGTCATGATGTGCATGGGTTGCAATTGATGTGCAGTTGATTTGAGCAGACGAATGATGAAGTCACATAAAATGAACTTCAAAGGACACCTGGGATTCATCTCCAAATAAACTTGACCAATGAAAAATACCTGAGGAGGAGGAGGAGATGCAGTTGACAGGGGAGAGATGGGTCCATCTCTCTTGGGCAGGCGAGCAGCTTGTAGCCACTTGTTGGTCTGACGAGAAATCATGGCAACCTTGTCAAACATGGCCTGTACCTGACCATCAAGGTCTGTTGGAATGGCTATCCCTCGATTTTTTGCTAAACAGAAACAATGAGCCATTCAGATAGAAAACAATATTAATTGAAAGGAAATTCATGCAAGGTAAAATAATGACTCACCAACATCAGAAAGTGTACGAATACAGTTCTCCACATTGAAGCGTTGGGAAGCAGAGAGCCAGGTACACTGTGAAAGTCTGAAAGTGGACTGGAGCAGCTTCACAAAAACAGGCTGTCGAGTCTGTAATAAAAATAAATATGCTTGAAGAATTTCATACTTTGTAGTTTAAGAATATAGAATATGTCTAATTATAATGCAGTTCAAAACCTGCAAATGCTGCAAAAATCAGAAGGAAATGCAATGCAAGGGAAGTCCAAGCAGAATTCAATATAAAAGACTAGGCTGACTGAGCACAAGATAATATACTTCACAGTTTGGCTATTACTAAGCTGGGCCAAACAAAAGGACCCTGACTAATGGAAATCTGTCTCAAATAGATAGATATGGTTCTATGGGAAGACAATAAATGAATGAGTTATAGCCTAAGTCAGAATCCAAGCAGAAACCTGAAGAAGAAATATAAATGCTGTCTTCCTGTAGCTGAAATTTTCCTGCTACAGACACTCTACACCTATTGACCAGCTTCATGCCACAAACTCATTGAAAGGAAAAGTGTCATGCTACATTTGATTCATGGGAGTTAGTCTCTAAATTATTAAAGGAGAAAACAGGGAAAGAATACCTTTACCTTTGTGAGGGGAGCATGAGAGGAATGCAGGGGATTCCAGTATAGTTTGGCCTCGATCAAATGCTTCTAAAACCGCATCACCAAGGGGATGGGAGAGAGAAGGGGAAAATGAGGGAAGAAAAAGGGGTAGCCCCTGCACAGGCTGTGAGATGATGCCAATCACCACAAAGCATGCCCTCATCCAATGTAATGTGTATACTATCATATTCTAGACAAGCCCCCAGTCTCATCTAGATTACAGTCTAAATCAATGGAAAACCTGATCATAGTGTGTCAAGTCATGAAATCTTTCCTCAATATGAAGCAAACAATTGCAAAAAACATATTAATTTTGAATGGCATTTCTACTACTTCTTGAGCTGGGCAGAGTGGTGAAAGAATATCAAGTGTCCTCCAATGAGGAGAAAATGCTGCAAACACAGCTTCTAATGAAATGCTCAAAAAATGCCACGATTAAGTCAATAATAGGTGTAGAAGTGTGTGCACATGCATTTAGTTTATCTACTGGAGATGTGAGCATTTACAAAGGAAGGCAGAAGATGAAGGAGTATATAGAAAAGATATGACTCTCTACCTTGTGCCAGTCGGTTGCAGTGGCAGTGCCTAAGGCTGCTTTGAAAGGGCTGGAAGCATATTTCCCCTGGAAGCAGATTTTAGACTGTGAAGCCAGGGAACTACTACAGTCTACTCCAGAAGGAGAAAGCATCCACACAGCAATAGCAACAGCAGCAATAGTAACAGCAGCAGCAGCAATAGCAGCATTAGAAACAGTAGGTGAAGTACATTTGATTTATTTATTCATTTTTAAACTTAGAAAGCATCAGCACTTCTGGTTGGTATTTCAATAGCCTGGGAATGAGTAATAAGAAAAGGGTTCTTTAAAAATTTTTTTGTGTTGAAGGAAAGGACAAGTTCTAAATTGAATATTGAATTATTTTATTTCTCAATCCTATCATGCAAATTGAAAAACTAAAAGCAGAAAGCACATTACTGGAAATTATATATTGCATATTTCTATTGAAGAGCTCAGAAAGGCATTGTGAAATGAAATAAATAATTCTTACAAGTTTCCCAATGGCAAATAACTTGAAGGAAAGGCTGTCTCTGCCAAAAGCATGTGATGTTATACCTGGACTAGCAGACAAAGAATAAGAATACCTGAACAGTAGTGCTCTGGTCTGAATAGGGACTGCTGAAGAAAGTTGAGATGACATTCATGACTGAATTTGTGACATAAGCCTCGAGAGAAGTATCAGCATGCTTGCGGTCATGTGGAGCTGTTGACACCATGGCCATGTCAACCAGGAAGGATTCTTCAAAGAGACGCCACATATGATAGGATGTGTAGATCTCCTTCATCTCCACCTCCGTGTCAATATAGCAGTGGTTCAGGAAATTTATGTAAGCCTCCTTCACCTGTCAGTAATAAAGGCCATCAGAATACTGAATACTGGAAGTTTAAATTAGTAATGGCAATTTTGAGAGTTGGTTGTGTGACCTCAGAAATGCAGTCACGGTGAGAGACAATTGTGACAATGTCATCCAGGGGAAGGAGACTATGGCACTTGATCTCAGTGAAGACATTCTTTCCACCAGTGCATAGAGCAAGAAGCTTCACCAATTCAATATGATACTGAAGAGGGCTGCTCTCATCATGTCGATGGCTTTCTGAACGCATCAGTTCCAGAAATTGATTGAATGATGTCTTGTCATTGTAGAAGACGAGGACCTCTTCTCCAGCATTCACCAGCTGTGAAGGAATCCAACATGTTCAAAGACTGATGTAGATCACATTTTCTCCCATATTATCAACCTGTACATATTTTCAGAGTGTTTCCTCCAAAGGCACTGACTCTTCCTGCATTCAGCACCAGTGCAAAAAAAACAAATTCTCACAAAATTGGTGACAAATCTGAATTTCTGAATTTTCTGGAACATATATGCAAGCAAATGATGTGGGCCCACTCATCTGACCAACACCCAATCATCATAAAAAATTTATTATAACAGTTTTCATTACATAAGTGATAAAAATGACTGTTGATATTTATTCAGACAACTTAGGTTCATGCAACTTTCAGAAAACAAATTTTTTGGTGTTTCCAACATAATGTGAAAACATCACAAACCTAGATCATCCACAATGGATTTTATAAGGCGTCAAACACGACCCTTTTTTTTGCACCACTCAGTATATATGGGTGAAGCTGGAAGAGATGACATACAGAGGAGTGGGCTTCTCAAGTTAGTGTGAAAAGAAAAGAAAAGAAAAGGCCACTTTTGGCCTTGACATAGCAAAATCATGAAGAAAATTCAGGTTGATGAATTCCATATTAAAAGGATAGAACAAGATGTGGTTCTGGAATGTCAACAATAGAAATGGCTGAAAATGGATATGATTCTTCCCTCCAAAGCTGATACTGAATGCTTCTGGAAATTCCCTGCCTTTAATATTGGGTTGTAACATATATTCCTGCCGTTTTTATATTTTGTTTGTTTTCACTCCATATTTTTTAAGTTTGGCAAAGTGGATATAGTCATTCGAAAGAGCGTTCTTTCCTCTACAAACTTATTGCCACCATTTTTCCAAATAACTTAATTTTACTTAACTTTCAGGTATTTGAAATGGAAATTCCATTTCAAATACCTGAAAGTTAAGTAAAATTAAGTTATTCGGAAAAATGGTGGCAATAAGTTTGTAGAGGAAAGAACGCTCTTTCGAATGACTATATCCACTTTGCCAAACTTAAAAAATATGGAGTGAAAACAAACAAAATATAAAAACGGCAGGAATATATGTTACAACCCAATAGTAAGACTCCCCCAATACCATAGGCCTATCTTGGTGAGAGAAGGAAAAAGAATATAAAATGAAGATCCAATTATCTAGGTCATAGAGGTCAGAACAAGTCAGTCTCATTGTAGTTCTCATAAGACCTCTTGGGTGGATCCATGACCTGTAGCAACACAGACAGGTCTGGTAGTTGATTCTATACCTGTCCATTGAGAAACATTTTCACATTGAGGAACATATCACATACAGAACTGACTCTAAACAACAACTGCCAAATAATGATTCTATTTTCAAACAGGCTCACTCAAGAAGCAGGCCCACTTCATTTGACTGAATTGAACATGTGTCTCTTTCATGACTTGGTAAGGAAGGTGAACTGACCTCCTGCATGACCATGTCCTGACAGCGTCTGATGAACTGTCCATCAGCCCAGACTATAGTCTGGAGAAACTTGAGGTACTGAACATGTCGACCATGGGTTTCTATGCAGTGGACAAAGTGAGTGATGACCCTATCGCTGACCTCACTGCACAGTGCCTGATTGTCCATGAAGATTGTGCACATGGTCTGAGCCTCCAAAAGCTGAGGAAAAATTCATAGAAAGTTCAATTATTCCATTCTAAGTATGGCAATTCGTAGTAAAGAAGGGATGCAACTCACCCCTGGATTGAGAAAGAGTTCAATATGCTTGTGGAGTAGAGACTGATTCTGTGGATTCCCCAGACAAAAGCCCTGGAGGAACTGATGGGCTAACCGCATGAGTTCCTTCATGCGAACATCCTCCTTCTTTTCATAAGGGATGCGGAGAAGATCTAGGGCAGCTGAATGCACTCCCATGTTCCTCAGGAGACGCTGCTCATGACGCCTTGGCTTTAGCTGCCCTGTAGATGACTTGGTAGCACACAGTGCATGCATGCGAATCAGGACCTAGAATGATGAAAATAGCATTGAACAACAGCTCTAGTTTATAATAAATGAATAAAAATGTGGAAATTTCAACTGTGTCAAACCTGTTGTATCGTCTTGTAGTTGCGAGCTTGTGAGGGTTCTATTGGGGGACCAAGATCCAGGTCAATAGCAGATCCTTGCTTGTCAGAAGGACTGAGAAGCGCAGGTGGGAACTTCTTCCCCTTTGGATGCCCATCATCAAGACTCTCCCGTTTCTTCCGTTTTTTACTTGTGGCATGCTCCTCAAACAACTTGCACTTGTACACCCACAATTCTGACTTCTCAACCAGTAGACGCAGCTCATCCAGGTCAACCTTGATCTGTTTGTAAGACTCCACATCTTGGTCTGATACAAGCAGCTGAACCTGTACGAGCAGAAAATGCAATTTCAAAATAGTACAGTTATTCTAAATGTTAACTAGGGACATTGACCATTGGCAATAAACCTCCTGCTCTGAAATACTTGTGTGCAGACATCCTTGATGTAAATCATGGACATACAAGAATTTCTCCTTGAAGTTCATTCCAACTTTAATTCATATTTTCCCTCTTTATTCAGAGTTTCCTTTTTTTGAGAATTTGTTTTTTTTGCACTGGTGCTGAATGCAGGAAGAGTCAGTGCCTTTGGAGGAAACACTCTGAAAATATGTACAGGTTGATAATATGGGAGAAAATGTGATCTACATCAGTCTTTATTTTTTTTTTTTTTTTTTTTTTTTTTTTTTTACAGGGAATGAGGTAAGCAGAGTCTAGTCACTCCAAAGGTCTGAAGAGACAAGTTCTTTATCCATCTTCAACTTCTAATTACTTTTGAATAAGTGCTCATAGCCTTGAATGGGCAATATCAATTAGTGAAATTTCAAGTGTCTATTGAGAATGCATCAATTTATGCACAATCCATGTTTCAGGAAAAAGTTCCTTTGAGAACAGAGATACGTAGGTAACAGATGTAAGTATTTTATAATCATACTCTGTATACAGAGTGATATGAAAATTGGAAATCATGGGATTTTAGTTGATGGATTATTTCCTGCCAGGACTATCTGGATTTCACCTGCCTACCTGAAAGGTAGGTAATGCTAAAGGGTAGGTAATGCTATAATGCTAAAGTTGCTTTTTCATGAAATCTAGTTTGACAAAAAAGTGACCCAGAGACTCAACTTGGCCCTAATAATATTCAGAGGAAACCTATGGTAAGTAGGTGAGTGAATTTGGGTTGCCCTGGGTCAATTTTCATAAACTTGGGTAACTCTTAAGATAATTAGGTTCATGTGGGGTCAAGGGGTCAATATAGATAACTTTGGGCTGATCTAGGCCACTGGGTCACACTAGGGTGATTAGGCACAATTTAGGCAGCTGCAGGTCATGTGGATCAGGAAATAATCCATACACTACAATCACGATTCCAGAGTGGCAGTTCATTAACTGGAACCAAAATACACCTACCAGATGTTCTCTCCTAGGATGTAATACTGGACTAATACTCTGCATGGTTTCCATTTCCTGAGACACTGATGCAGTGTATCGATTATTCTTCATTGGAAACAGATGCTTCAATGATTCTTATTCTATTAGGACTGTCCACCTAGCACTAGAAGTTGCTTCATGCACAGTTCAATGACCTATCCTTGTCAGCAGATGATATGAGCTGCATAGGTCAAGTTTCAATCAATTTCAAGCTGTGTTTCACCAGAACAGACACCAAGAAGAGCACAAGTTAAATCAGACCTTTAATTGAAGTTCAAATATCATTTCCTGCATGCAAGGAGGTAGAATGATTGTCACCTGTGCAACAAGTGCATCCAGGTTGTTCATGTGGGACACTTTGTGAAAACACTTAATGAAAACTAAGGGTCCAACCAATTAATCACCATAATCAATTAATTAAGTCACTCTCTCTTACCAACATTACAGAGATAACTGACCTGTCGAAATGCCTGCAAGACTTCCTGTCGTTGACTGAAGTGACGAAAGAGAAGGTGCAGGGCCCCAGACACAACTGGCTGGTTTTCATGCATGGTCAAATGCAGAAGAACTCGGAGGAAGGTCCTCCCTCCATCTCCATCAAGATCCAAGTCAATTGTATCTCCACTGAATAGCATCAGAGACTTCAATGTAGCTAAAAGCTTGCTTATCATAAACAACATCTAAGACCTTTTATCAGTAGAATAAGCCTACTTTTCTCCAAATATTCCTTCAGCCTGGGTGCCAATGATCTCCAAATCAATCCCTTTCTCAGGCATTGAATCAGATAAGACTTGAGAGGTTGCATTTGTAGTCTGACTGCTCCTTTCAGACTCTGAAAACTCTCGCTTGAAGATGGACAGAAGGCTGCTGATGCGATAGTCCAGCCTCACATTCAGGATGAACTGTACAATTCATATAAATGAGATGACTAAGATCACATCTAAATGGCCAAAGGACATAAATATATGAACATGAAAGTACCTGTAGGATCTCAATGATTTTGAGTCGGGTGTCCATGACAAGAATATCCTCAGTCTTGCTGGAAGATGCTTTGGTGGGTGGAGTTGGAGTTTTCCGCATCCCAGTAGCACCAAGAGCGACACTGCTCATTAAAGCACCCATCTCATGAATGGTCTTCACCACACCTGACTTGGCTATGAAAATAAAACAAACTGATTCATCAGTTCATTTGTAAGCAATTTCTGGAAAGTGTATCATGGACCACATACCTCGTCCTGATTTCAAGTTGAAGAGCTCAGACTCGCAGGCACAATCAAGAATTCGTAACAGTGTTTTGGTAAGTCGCAAGAGATCACTGAAGCTGTAGAAGCCAAAGTAGATCAATTCCCTAGCCAACTTCACCACCTGGGGAAGCAATCACAAGCAAACAATCCTAGGATTCCAAAAAACTAAATAAACTCAATAAAAAAAAATAATTGAGAAAAGAACTCACTTCATAAGTGAGTTTATTCTGCTCTGGGTCAGAGAAGCTCCACATCTTAGCCACTACATTGCAGAGATAGTCCTCGACAAACATGATGGTTGAACAGAACCTTGCCTGTACAGCTTCCTTGTGGGAATCAGGTGTTTTGTTCCTGTCGTAGCTAGTATATAAAAAAGAGACAATTACAATATTAAAGAGCACATCAGTCTAGGAATTGCAGAGCACTGAGTTCATATTACTAACAACTGATAAATATCAAAAATTAATGTACTGCTGCAATGGGACAACACAAGACCACATGTGGTCCATGCAACAATATATACAAATATTTGTGCAGCTCTTTTCTGATTTTTAAGGAATACCAGAGTATATACAGGGTGTTCCAAAAGCCACTGACTCACTAAAGTAAAGATGGAGACAAGATTTATAGGTATACATCAATTGCCTTTCACTTGGCCAAGAATACCCCAGGTACCAACTCCTGCGTCAATAATTGATATGACTTCCTGCGACCTCAAGGAACTTCGGATCAGCATCCCAAAGCTCTCACCCAATCAACAGATGGCACTTGTGCTGGTTTCACACTCCATTTAGAACTCTTGTAATGACCCTTGCACAATATATGGAGTGGAGCTGACCCAGAACACCCTACTTGAACCTGCAGCACAGGTGTTCAGGTTATTGAGGTCAAGACAACTTCTTTGACAACTTCTATACATGAACCCGAGGTCTCTTCTATAGCATGGAATTAAATGCTAGGCATGTGGCTCTATCCTGCATCAGCACAGCCTTTTATTGCCTTGATCTTCATGTAGCTCATGTATACATATGTAGAATGTTTTCACAGTAGCTGGCATAACATTTTCCCCCTTTTATGCAGATGGGTCAGAAACCTTTTTGAACAGCCTGTTGTACTCTGTACTGACAATAGACTAGTAAGAGCACAAAGTGCACAACATGCTTTAAACAATCCAGTTTAATATATCCAGCATTGAAACAGATACAGCAATGTACAGTAAATTGATGAGGTGGGAAAGATTTGACAAGGGGATCTTGGCATTGTTATAGCAAACAGCTTATTCATTGATCTGTTGTGCCTCCACCATGCTCAACAATGTCTTTCAAAAATTAATGTTGCTTCCTCAATTTGTCACAATATTTTAAATCTCAAACTAGTGTATACTTATCAGCAAAAAAAACCCACACCAAATGTAAGTCCTCTCTCAGAGGGACAGACCATTGTAGAGAGTGCTCCTTTTCCCTTTACTTCCAAAGTTATGAATATTTAAAGATTTCTAAATATTTTGTTGATCACACCACCTTCATAGTGCCAAAGAAATACAAATTCTTCTGAAGGGGCATTACAACTTAATTCCCTCTAATTTCAATATCCTTCAAAACTATTGGATGCAGAGGGGTGAAACTCCACCAGGTGAAAGAACTCACTCTCTTGTATGTTAGGGACTGTTTTGTTTTTGGTAGCCCATAAATAATACTTTACGAGGAAAAAACTGGCAACACAGTTGGGAAGTTCACGTATTATTCCAATGTATACAGGTCCTTTGTGGATAACCAATGGGTCAACATGTCCTGATATTGGATCACAGTGGGTCAACATCAGCTCCAGAAAATTTTATCTGGAAATTTACTATATTTATATCAAACCCAGCAGCTGCTGCAGGAACATAACATATATTAAAACATACTTGTTTTCATGGCTTTAATGCTATGACCACAGTTTTGAACACCATTGAATTGTCTAATTTGACAGGAAAAAAAAGTGGTCAATGATGGTCCATTGATCATGTAATCCATCATTATACACACCAGACAAATAAGTTGGGCAAAATCTGATGGGAAAGGCAAAACCAGGAAGTAGAAAAAAAAGGAAATATGAAGAGGATCAGGAAGAAGAGAGGGTAGAAAAAATAGGGGGAATTGAAGGAACTACATAACAAAATGAAAGAAGGCAGAATTGGCAATGGGTATGAATTACCAGGTGATAAGAGATTGGGAGGGGGAGACTTCACTCTCAATGACATATGAAAGATTACTGGGCTTGGCGAGAACCAGTGGCGGATACAGAAATTTTTCATAGGGGGGGCGGTTCCCAAGTTCCTAACCCCCCCCCCACCCCCCCCAGTCTACCATCATTCCTCTTCCTTTCACCTTTTTTATTTTTCATCTGGGGTAAGAACTTGAGTTTCTATTTCACTAGCTCCAATAAAATGTAATGCAGATGCTATTTTGAATAAATAAATCAAATGCCAACCTGGCCATAGGGGGGGCGGTCGCCCCCCCCGCCCCCCCCCACCTCCCCCCCCCCCCCCCCACCCCCCCGTCTACCATCATTCCTCTTCCTTTCACCTTTTTTATTTTTCATCTGGGGTAAGAACTTGAGTTTCTATTTCACTAGCTCCAATAAAATGTAATGCAGATGCTATTTTGAATAAATAAATCAAATGCCAACCTGGCCATAGGGGGGGGCGGTCGCCCCCCCCGCCCCCCCCCCTGTATCACTGGCGAGAACATGAGAGCATAAGGATAAGAGGACTGAAGGATCTGGAACAGATTTTTCCCAAAGCCAAGAGCCATGCACCATGATGTATCCTTCAACATTGATCACTCTCTTCAAACATGTACTCATTTGTGATGCATACAGAGCAATTTGTGCATGCTGGCAATCTGCAAATAACCTAGGACCTTGGTCAACTATTCACATCCAGAAATGAAACCATTTAATTGAATTCATTTGGCTATTCTGAAGTGCAAAAAATAAACAAATAAATAACCAAAACCCTTGGAAAGGCTTTGTTATTCTGTTATGGCACTCAGCATTAGCTAAATGCCAGGAACTGTACTTTTAGTAGGAACTTTTAGTGGGCAGAGCCACCCAGTATGGGCAGCTTGTGATATTCAGCAGTAATGGATCATCAATGGAGGTTGGGAAGGTCTAGACCTACTCTGCTTCCATTGATGATCCACTATTGCTGAATATCACAAGCCACCATTGCCAAGCAATGTCCCAATAGGCTCTGCCCCTGGACTCAGTGGGATTAAGCAGCCCTTAAACCATGACTCAATCTGAAAGCTCTCTTAGCTTGCCTGCTTCACCTAAAAGAAAATCCATACTTAAAGAGAAGAACCTTTTCTACTTCTGAAGTTGGCACAGGTGAATGTTTTTCCAGACTTTATGAAATACGTAGTATATAGTTGATTCTCCTGAAGGGGATAGTGGAAAATAAATAGATGGAATTGTACCTGCAAGTCCAGATACCATTTCAAGAAGAATCTAAATGCTAAAGCTGCCTCAAAGCTATTAACCAACAGTTGAAGCTGTCCCAAGTAGCATGGGATCACCACATGGATGTCCCACATCCCTCAGTGGACATCCCACAGACATATGTGGGATTTGGCATGTATGATGTCAGTATTCCTCCCATCCCTGAGACATCCTGCCCATATAGGAAGTCTCAGGAATTTCCTGTTGTGCATTGTGGTAGCTTAAACTATAACTATAAAACTTAAGAATGTTAGAATTGTCACACCAATTGCCAATGTACAAGGGGCATTCAAAAAGTTCTGAGAATTTCTTTATAATTTCCTAGTAACTTCTTTATTCATACTGTGACTTTTTAACATAGTTCCCCCTGAGTTTGACACACTTCCTCCAGTGTGGAATCAATTTCCTTAGACCATCATAAAAAAATTTTCTGGAGTATTTCTGATCCACCTGTTTGGTGCAGCTTTCATTGCATTGAGGGAATCAAAATGCACTCCTCACAAAGGCTTCTTCATATCACCAAAGAGGTGGTAGTCACTGGGAGCCAGATCTGGCAAGTGGGGCAGATGTGGGAGCAATTCCCACCTCAGTTCTGTTATGGCTGCTCTAGTTAAGCATGCAGTGTGGGGCCTTGCATTGTCCTGCTGAATAAGTGGCCATGAATGCAACTTCCTAAGGCGATTTTCAATTAGAGCCTGTCAGAGAGGGCCCAAAAGCAGATTAGAATAGTATTCTGCATTCATTGTGGAACCTTTTGGTAGGTAGTCAATCATTGTTATCCCTTTGCAATTCCAGAAAACTAATCATAACCTTCCCCAAAGAGGGAACAGTTTGAGCCTTCAAAGGAGGTCCTTCTTCAGATTGGCACCACTCCTTAAATTGTGATTTGGTCTTGGGATTGAAGTAGGGAAGCCACATCTCATCTACAGTGATGATACGATCAAATAAACTCTCCTCATATTCTAAGCTAAGTTGAAGCAGCTCTCAACACGTTTCCATTTGATCAACCTTTTGTTCAAGCCACAACAGGAGAGGCACCCATCAGGCAGAAACCTTCATCATACCAAGATGTTCATGGAGACTCTCATGAGCCTTTCCGGTGCTGACCCACAGCGTAGCAGCAAGCCCCTGAATGGTAATTTGTTGATCTTTCATTAGAATATTTTCACCAGTGGTAGCATTCAAGGGTGACCGCTGCAAGGGTCATTTTCTAAGGTCTGGTGACCATCCATAAACCACTCCAGCCATTGGTAAACAGTACTCTTTCATTCTGCAGATTCTCCAAAGACAGCCTGCAGCCTCTGAAAAATCTTAGAATCGCATGTACCTTCTCCCCACAAAAAAAAAATAATCGCTTGCTAAGCTACCACCTCATCCATGGCATCAAAAAATACAACTGAACCGAGATGAATAACTCTGTTCAGGAGATTACTTGGGCAATAATACTGAATTAAATAATAAACAAGGCAAGCCTTTATCCAAAACCTCGGATCAGAATAGGTTAAGCTCAATTTCCTTATGTATGCTGATAGAATTCCCAGAACTTTCTGAATGTCCCTCATATATGTATGCCCCTTTGACAGGACATATTGGTTGATCATAGCAATAATCACCTGGAAAAGCATCATACATACGGTTATAAACATGCAAATGGTTATAAAGCAAGAGAAAAAGCCAGGTCCTGTAAAGTTCAATGTGCTGAGCCCAGGATGGAAGAAAGCGTGCAATGAGGGTTATTCACCATGGAAAAGCAGGAAGCATTGGGGTAGAGCAGAGTGGTAGACATCCACATGAGATGGAATCCCCTAGTACACAACACCCTCCTGCATCACAGAGTGAGGCAATAGGCACAGAAGAGAAGAAAAACACAGATTAGGACATGATAGCAAAAGTCAAACTTTTCTCCCAATACTGATTACCTCATCTCCCAAACAGAGCAGGTTAAAAAAAAATCCTTCACTTTTATGAAGAAAGTGATAAGCATTAAAGAGAACTTACAACATTGGTAAGCCGATGAAAGGAACAAAAAGCAGGTCATGTTCATATCCTCATGGGGGTGTAAGAGATCCTAGAACCTAACTTTCTGTCTTTCCTTTTTTTAGTCCCTATTAGAACTTAAATAGACTGTGTTTTTGAGAGATTTCTTAAAAGGAATGTGGTTGATTCATGAAATTTCCTAACAATCTGCATTAGGGGGCATTGCTATTTGGTTGCACCAAATAAATTTGACCCTCACCCCCTGCTATTATTCAATTCAGAGATCCTAATAAGCAAAAACCATTGTAAAAACACTTAGCACACCTGACAAAATGAATATTAATGTATTAATTAAAAAAAAATTTTCTCGCAAACCTGAGGCCAAAAATGGAAATTTCCTGGGAAGAATATGCAAGCAGACCACCTGCCCATGTGTCTCCATTCCTGCAAACCCCATTCGCACTTTCACAAGGGTTTTCCTATCCTGGATGGCACTCATGTAAGGTTCACTTTTGCATTTCATAGGGTGGATCATATGGATGCAAAAGAGCCCCCAAAAATATATATATATTAGAAAATTCCCTTTTAGAAATTGTCTCCAAAAGACAGTCTGATTCAGCTATGATTGGGACTCTAGATTTCTTTGCCTGACCAGCAACACTATGTATATCACCTGCTGAAAAGATGAGTCCTTCCTTCAGGTGTGCTACACTGAATTTTAAAATATTTCCAAGCCTGTAGGTAATGTTTGTCTGCTGTAAATTAAAGTTTGATGCAAGATGACAATTTCACTCACTCATGAATAGATAGCTTGGTGGGGATCTCAGACCAAAGTCGGGCATATTTGACAGGGGTGACCTGTTCTTGTGGATCCCGGTCCACATGCATGTGCAGCATGAGTCGACAGAAAGAGGCCCGGAGCTCAAATGGCAAATGCTCATCTGCCATGCACCTACAGATCACATTAAATATATTAAACTTTTGGACCGAGGGTATAAAAGATGACAGTATGAGATCTCACTTGAGAATGAGATCAATGTCCAAGTAATCAGAAAGGTTGTTGATGGCCAAATACTGTCGATCCAGGCACATGTTTGAGAAGAGGTCCAGCTGGTGACGATAGTAGTCCAAGATAGCCCTGTCCTCAGCATCACCTGCCTCTGCCCCACTTGCAAGCTCCAGTATGGACTTTGATTGCTGTGCACACCAATTTCATTTCCATGAATGCTCTTGATATCATTCTGACAATGAAAGCATTTGCCCACCTGTCCATTTTCCCAGAAGAGAACAACTTCCTCATTTTCCTCAATGGTGATCAAAGGTTCCAGGTGCCCCTCTACACTCTCAACTTCCACTTCCACCTCTTCTTGGGTGCGAATCATCCTACAAACACATAAGCACTCTTGGCTATGAATCTGATTGACTTGACAGGACTAATATCAAATTCTTTAGTCACAATGAAGCACTTAGGTGAATTTATTCAGAAAATGACCATCATGGTCAAGGCTCTCTCAAATGACCTTTTTATCAAGAAACTGAAGTGAAAATTTCTGGGTAGCTACCAAAAAGGTAAACTATGTTAGAAACTCAACAGCTTAAAAATCAGACATTTTGGATTTTGATTTTGCCCAACAGGGAAAAATCTACATTCAAATCAGCTTCTGACTTTTTTGGTAATGGGTATTTATATTAGATGTCACTTCACTTCTTTTTTTGCAAATTTTATGTTTAGTAGAGGCAGTAGGATTATTTTCCTTTTGAGGCACTGTTTATTTTGTCAAAAGTATGGTTCCTGGACCTGGACTTGTTGAGCATTGTAAACTCAAGGTAGAAAGCTCAAAATTTTCATTTGTCACTGTAAATGTCTACTTGCTTTAATCACAATAATTCCAGTATTAAGGACTGCATTCTTACCCATATAAAAATTTAGAAAAAAGTGAAGCAACTTTTATCACAGATACCTATTGCCAAGAAAATTTGTCAATGAAAAAATTTGTTTTGATTGGGTGAAATGGTAAGAAATGACCGATTTCCATTTTGTGTTTCTTTTACTGCTAACTGTAGAGGGAGATGTCCATCCACATTAAAACATTCACAACCAGTTGGTTTTGGGTGGTAACTTTCTCCCTGTACATGCCATTTTTTCACTTGGTCATTTTTCAAGTTACTGCACAAAACATACTGTATTTGACCACCATCTATTCGAGTTATTGGCGATTAAGTTGAAGGGGGCATGAAGACATCTATTGATGTCATTGGCATTGGCAACTCAGGCTCTGTGAAGATGTCAATTGATATCTTTGGCAGTAAATGTGTTAAGTTGCAAGCTTCATTGGACTGAACATACCGTGTTTCTATCAAGATGTCAGCATTGGCCTGGCTGAGGACACTCTTGCAGATGAGTTCCTGAGTTACAGGTATGGCCTGATTGTTGCTGATGCACAAGTCAGAGAGATAGTCAAGGAAGCGGGAGGCCCAGCTACGCTGATTGGCCCTCACCAACCCCACAAATGTCTCTATCTCTGCCCCTGTGATGTGCTTCTCCAACAGTTTGCGATTATTGTGTAAAAGTGCTGTGATGGTATCTTCAGCCAGGATATCATATCCAATCTGTTTCTGCATGAAGCCAAAGTGTTTCGCAATGTATTCCTGAAATATAAAAATCAGGCAAGAAAATCACATAAAACTTCCCCTCCTGTGTCAGGCTTCAAACAGAATGGTTCTGAATATGACCTGGTTCTTGCGGTAGTCCTGTTGACTGAGTCGAAGGTTACGGTAGCACAGGCGAAACATGTAGCGATAGGGAGCATGATGAGAATCACTCAATTCTTCTATTCTCAACATGGGACCAAGCCTGCTTTTGTCCTCTGGCTCCATGAAGGGAGCCTACCAAAATCACATCATTCTTTGATGAGAGAAATCAGAACTAGAGGCTACAAACAGTAAAGCAACAAACCTGTAGGCAACGAAAGATCTGCTTAAGGATGTACTGTTCACGGAGCAGTTTCTGTCTGTCTCGATTTGGATTTTTTACAATGAAGTCCAAGGCATCACTTCGATTCTGCTCTCCCTCTGCTCCTCCAATGAAGTATATCAAATCTTGGAGCAGCTGTGTTACTGACCTATCAAACAGAGAAAAATCTTGAGCAATAGGCCTACTACAGCTACATAAAGTATATTGTTCACACAAACAATATAAGAAAAGAGAACGGTGGAAGGGACTGGATTACCTTCGATCATTCTGCACCACAGTTCCTGTTTCAAGCTTATTAGCCATATTCTCCAAAACCTTGCAAGCATCATTGGCAAAATCCAAGTCTCGCACTTCTTGTGCTGTGACAGGGACTATGGCAAATGCCTCCTTGTCTTCCTTTATTAATGCAGAACCCACCTGAAATAAAACCAGGTCAGTTTTACCAAAATCATCAATATCGAAAGGATTTATTAAACCAAGTAGTCACACCACTGGATATGAAAAATAACTTGCTGCAACCTGATTAAAAAGGAAGGTGAGAGAGAGAGAGAGAGGCCTACCTTCGACATGACTGGTTTCTCCTCCTCTTTGTCAATGGGAATTGAAGTACTGTGAACCCAAGTGTTGGTACAAAGATGCTTAAGTCTGACATAAGCTGACCGAGGAACAAAGGAATCACATCTGGTGATGGTGGTTGGATCCAGTTCAAAAATACTGGCAATGTCATTTGAGTGAGGAATGGCAACAAGCTGATAAACTGGGAAGTCACCTAAAATGACAATATGGATTTGATTAGTGACAGCACTCTAATGCGCTAGGGATCAGTAGAAAGCCTCTGCTTCTTTCTAGATGTCAAGTGCATGATACCTTTCAGTTTGGTTCTCATGGAATCCAAGGCAGGGTCTTCATCCACTTCAGCTGCCAAATACTGTCCAGTCGCAAGGTGCTTAAAACGAAACAAAGAATTCCAATGTCCTGCCCCTCCTCTACAAGGATCATGCTGGACCACCTGGATGTTCCCAACAAACAATCTCAGTTCAAATTCAAGCAAAGGTCAAGATTGGACCAACTGTGCAAGAAGTTGTGTTTATTCAGTGTTACCTCAACTTCCCACAAAGCCTTGCTAGAAGTAGCTGATGTTGCAGCAGCTCTAGCTGTAGTTCTCAGGAACACATACTGAGACTTTTTATATTCATCCATTGTGAGAAACTTTTCCTGCTCAGCATGAAAGAGACGCACAACATCTCCGCCTTTCAGGACATCCTCTGCATTATCACTGTTCTCCAGAAAGAGTACTATCTTCCAACATGTGGTGGAGTTCACTGCATTCACCTGGAAACATCAAAATCATAGCACAAAATAAGAAAAGCTACAGCCTTAAGCTTCTCCATTCCCTGCATATTCAGCTTTTTTTTTGCAATTTTGACCAATGCTATTGCACTTTCAAGAATTTATTTGTTTCCATTTACTATGTCTGTTCCAACAAATCATACAGGATGAAAAAGTTAACTACCTTCTCAAGCACTGTCTACTGCCTTAGGGTAATTCAGAGACAATATCCCACCAATTGTACAGTTGAACTCTTCACACGTCAGATAAGCTGCACAATGAAAGCTCAGCCTCTTATGCTACATTTTGTCAACCTCATAGTTCTGAGTAGCTCTCTGGAACATTCTTCTGAATTTTTTTTTACTACTAAATTGCTTCATAATCAAACACAAAGGCAGCTTACCTCTTTGCAACCTGGATTATCAGACAGTTCATAATTGGGTGCAGCATGAAGGTTCTGCTGCCCAGCATTCACTGGACTCAGAATGACTTTGTCCCCAACCACAACATTGTCACCAGTTGCTCGGAGCTTATAAAAGGGCATTATATAGAACCAGGACCCTTCATTCCCAGCTGAATCCAAGTAGACTCGCATAGCATTCTTCTCCAGGAGTGCTGGAAGACGCTTATTCACAGTGAGATACTTATTGGATTTCAGATGTAACAGCTGCAAATGGAAAGTAAAAAAGTAAATTGAAGGATGAATGAGTTCATCATTTTGGATTTTTATATAAATACACCAAAAGGAGATTGGACTGACCTGAATAACACTCCCATATTGAATTACTGAGCCCAATACCTTCTTATTTTCAGAATCATTCTGCTTCTTCTCAATTTCTGCAGCATGCTGAAAATGAACACCACAAAAAAATAGAATTATATATATATATAGAGAGAGAGAGAGAGAGAGAGAGAGAGGACTTTCCAAACTGAAAATTGATTGTATAATCTGTCTTCATATAAAAAAGTCTGCTTACATGTAGTCTTTTCAGGAGGACAGCATCAGTTGTAGATGTGGCACTTTGCTTTGCAGCTTTCCAAAATTGCTTCTGAGCAGAATATCTGTTCATGGGACACATCTGGAAGAGGCAATCTGAAAGAACCAACATTATGCCCTCATGAATAAGAAAAAAGGCTGTGGCTTTGACAGGATGCTCAGACAAGCAAGACTGTCAAGTGGCTTACTAGACAGAATTAGTCTTCCATTGAATAAGGCCCAACTTACCTCGAAACTTCTTTGGTGGACATTTCAAATCCCCTGCTTCAGGATGAACAACCACTCGGTCATCTACCAGACTAAGAAAAACATCCCAAAATATTTTTATCAAGATGATAATGCCAGAAAGACTAGACCAAGACCAAACGATGTCAACATGACAACCCAAAGAAACTCACCCAAGAGTGCTGATAAATCCATTGACACCACCTTCAGCAAACAGGGACACAATGTCTCCCATGTGCAGAAAGCTGGCTGAGCCCATGATCTCTCCCATTATCACTTCCTTTTGATAAATTTCTGGTTAGCACAAGAAAATAGGCCTGGCCTTTGAGTTCAGGCCCACCTTGCTGCAATTGCAATTCATTAAAATGGAAAGTATCTCAAGGGAGAGCATACAGGCCTATTCAGTTGACAAAGGCCAAAACTGCCTTTCCCGAGCATCCTCTTCAATGTTGTCCATTTCACTGATCACTTTACTGCAAAATATTTACCACAGGCAAAGCCCTGCTGTCACCCATGTCTCTCTTTTTCCTCCACACAATAGGTTTGCTTCCTTCACCGAGTACACCTGTTTGGGTTCGTAGCCAATCTGGAAACAGATGCTGTCATATGGGAAATGCAAACACTTGCAAACAGTTCTCTTTTTTGGCATGTTGCCTACCCTAGAATGAATAAGCAATCATATAAAGGGCTAGGCCTATGAATAGGGAGAACATAAAAGTCTAGGCTTAGGGTCTAGGCTGATATCATAAGAGGGATTGGCACAAATTGTTCAGCCTATGATAGCATGTTGTCACCTTATGTTACACATATATAGGTCAAAACATAACATTAGGTCTCAGCTACTCACAAACAACTGCGCGTCAAAACGCTGCTAGAGGTCAGGATTCATATCGCAGTTCAAGAACTATAATAAATAGACCGCAGAGAGTATGATACACGATATTATCAGGAAAGATGTACTTGTGAAGCTTGAAATGAGATGCCACGGCTATCAAATGCCATGTGATCCACCATTGTCCCTTACAGAAGCTCCTCCCCTGTTCCCCTCTGATTGGGTCAATCCAGCAAACATGTCCGCCTACAGGTAAGCACGTGATATTCACCCTCTGAGGTGACGACGAAATGGTCCTTCGCACGAATGCCAATAAACTACTTTTGCCGGGTCTCCGACTGGTAAATTTGACCCCTGCACGTTCTCTTAAAGGTGGGAGTAGCCACGTTACTACGAGATACTTAGGGCTGGGCCTCAGAGAAATTTCAGCTTTGAATTTTCCTTTCAGGACGGAAGCGGTTTTACGCCAACGTTTCTGTCACTTCTTCGTCAGACGGCGTTAGCAGCTATGAGGTGAATCTAGATCAGAGGAAGCTGAAAACTCCTATGGGGAAGGTGTTTAAGGCGCCCAATCGACCTCTGGCCCTGGCTGTGGCAGAGGAATGGAATGCTCAACGCCCAAGTATCAACGTGAACCTCATGCATTTAGTGAATGGCTGGCATTTTTCTCTGTGGACCTATTCTCCTCCTTTATGAATATTTATTTTAAAATTTCCCACCATTTGATTATTTTGTGATACTTTCCTTTCTACAGACAGGGTTGTGCAACACTTGCTTGGACAATCCGTCAAAGCTGACCAAAGAAGATTTGATAGGTTCCATCCTCAGTTACCTGGAGACTGATACCATCCTCTTCCATTCTGAGGTAGCAATGAATCTTCTTAGTAGAAGAGAAGCTCAATTTCTCATTCTTTAAATTTTGATCAGGGCTTCTCTTAAGTATTCTGGAAGGTGGTTTTTCAACTGGTGAAACAAATATGGTGAAATTGTATAAAATGCAATTGCTTATAATGTAGTAATCTTTCAATATCCCTCCACATTTGCACCCTGGAAGCAGATGAGAAGACAAAAGAGAGGAAGGAACAGAAGACTAGGGGAAGAAAAGAGATAAAATATTTTTGTTGCATGGGCCTACATGGTTGTTTTTGGAAAAATCCTAATAGCTAGTCAGTGCAGTTAGCAATACTGAGCTACCTGTACTGGTATACAATAATTTTGGCCTGGAGATTTCATGTTTGTGAAAGCAAGTGCTTCAATTCCATTGTTCTGTTCTAGAGTGCAACTTCAGTTCTTGGATCAAATGTGACAAAGTTGAATTCAGATCTTCCTTCCAAAAGAAAAAATAATTGAATTGACATCAGGTTCCAAAAAAAAAAGGAATACAGGAATTTCATTAAGTACTAAATCTGTTATCAGAGTTCCTTTATGCATTTGAAAAAGCATGTGCATAAAAATCTATAATTCTGCAAAGTATGTCCTCACTGGCAAGTCATTAGTGGCTGGTGTCTTAAATACACATTGCATTGAGGTACTGACAAAATGAAAATGTTTACATGTTGTTGGATTTGCATACTATAAAATTTATTTTTGAAGGAACCAGAGGAACTACTGGAACTGCAGAAGAAGGAGTGGGATCCCATCATACAGTGGTTTCAAGAAAAATTCTGCAGTAGTATTGAATCATCTTCCATGATCTCATGTCCTTTGATTCCTATAAAGGACCTTGAGACTTTGAGAGCTTACTTGATGGCATACAATGACTGGGCTCTTCAAGGTTGAATCTTCCTTCTGCCTTGTTTTTTTCTGTAAATTTACAAACAAAATCTTTATTCATTTTATGAACAGTGAGCATATTTTGATTTTGCATGTAGGTTTTCTTTTTGGGGTGGAGGCATTGAAGTCATTCATCTTGATGACAGCCACAGTTGAACGTCTTGTGAGTGCTGAAAAAGCTGTAAATCTGGCTCGATTGGAGGCTGAATTTCAGGTAGGTAACAATGTCTGAAAAAGTATTGCATTCAGAATTATTTGTAGCATTTCTCAGATTGTGGGTTGTATCCCCTGGGCTGCTCATGAAGAAATTACAAGAGATTTTGAAGATGGAGCAAATCTATTTTCTTTCACTACCCTTGCTTGAATCTGATTTTTGATGCTGATTTTTCATCAATAAAATTCAAAATTTGTTTTTTAAGTCACCATTTAAGATATTTCAAGTGTGAAAGAAAGCATTTTGTAGCAAAGTCTTTCTTCCTTCCATTTCATGCAACTGGAAAAATTTTCTTGAAAGCATCACGCCTAAAATGCACATTGAAAAGTGTGCCTTTTTTTTGGACCACCCTGTATATCCCTTTTTCATGGGCCCAGGAAATGTAATGACAACTTTGATGTTCCTCAGGCTCTATGCCCTCCATCACTGCTCATTGGGCAACTGGGGCTGACGTGAATGAGTTGCACTAAACCCCTATCACTCACACCATTGAGCATAGAGTAGCTTAGGCTTGAGCAAAAAAGGGTGGTATCCAAAAGCAGCCAGATAAACTGTCAGCCTAGGAGAATACTGCCTGTAGCCTGCTGGATTAAAACCTGGACCTCCCTTTACTAGCCCAAGACCCTAAACATAGCCACAACACTGTGGTAACATTGAAAATCTTACATCTGTGGCTTCCTTGGAATTTTTTTTTTCCCCAATATTATCATTTATTGATTCTTATCCTTGGATAAGAAAAACCAGAAAAAAAATAAAGATATTTCCGAGAAGCCACAGAAGTAAGATTTCAGTTTTAAAGCTGGTAAATTTCAGGCCATTTATTTTTATGGTGTAATTCATGTACTTGTTTTCATACAATTCTTTGAGACCTTTTATCAACCCAAAATGTTTGAGAATCCCCATTCAATAATTTTCCACATGTGATGAAAGGAGGAATGCTATTTTTATTCTCACAGATCTCAAGATGGGGGAAGGTGGAATGGGCTCATGACCTTGAACTGCATGCCCTCAGATCCCGGCTGGCAGCTGCAGTCCTCTTTGTTCATTTTAATAGTCTAGTGGAGACTGTGAAGCATAAACAGCATGTGAGATGAAATTTCCATTCTGTGAAGAACAAGTAGTGCATCCAGGTATTCAAGGCATAAAGGAATGGAAGTATCCCCCTTGAACATGGAAGAGTCCACAGACTTTATTCGGTGTTTGCATGGACTTCGAGGGTGAGAATATGCATTTTGCCCTCAAGTTCTTGATGGTAATGGTCATAGAAGTGCAAGATCTCCAAAATGCGGTCTCGGTGCCTCCTTTCTTCCATCCTGTGAGAGCCAGTCAACACCTACTGGATCATTATATTACCAACACCCTCAAGAGAGAAAGAAGCAGTGATTTGCAAATGACCTTGTCTTACTTGTAACATGAGCTTAATATTTATTCCATAGTAGAAGTCTCCTCAGTTTATGGACCATTGAAATAACTTGCACAATGTTTAATGTTTGTACACATTCATTTGCAAATCACTGTAAGGAGTTACCTTTGGAAGTTTCTGACAGTGCTGTCTTGTTTGTGGCTGAGCCGCTGTTGGTACATCCCTTCCTGGTACTCAATGTTGTCAAGATCAACCGTTAACAGAATTTGATAGCCTTCCTCAAGTTCCTGAATTCATACCAATGTTGAAATAATAATAGTTCATTTTTAATACTAGACTCAAGGCATTCTGCCATTACCCATATCCTTCACAATCACACACCTTAAGTGACTTGTTGAATTCTTCAGCCTTGGACATGAGGTCTTGAAAATGTTCTTGCATTCTATCTCTAGTCTCTTCCAGCAGGGAATTGAAATCCACTTCAAAATTTTCAATAATTTCCTGTGAAATGCAAAAAATGATGTTTTAAATTCCAACAAGTCATATATGGTTGAACTACGTTAGTAATGTAACAATTAATTAATTTTTAACCTCCAGTTGATCCGTGAGATGAACTTCCATTCCAACGAGGAGATTCTTGAGTTGATTGAGGGAAGTGAATAGTTCATTGAGATCTGGAGGAAAGTGAATTGAGAGTTCTCCTTCTGCTTCTTTTTTCATGTATTCATCCACCTGGGCAAACATCCGATCCCGTTCTAACAGGAATTGATTCACGTGGCTATGGAGAAGCAGGCAGTGCCTTTGTGTTTTAAGAAACTTCGACAATCCATTGTCAAGAAGAAAAAAAAAATTCCAGCAAGATCGCTGTAAATATTTTAAGAAAGAGAAACTATTGGGATAAAGTGGCAAATACTATATTGTTACCAACAATTATGGATCCAGAATTTTTTTTTTTTTTTTTTGGGGGGGGGGCGATTGATGATTTGGATTTGTGAAGACCAGTCGTCAACTAAATCTTTGAAAAGGGAGGGCTCAATTTTATGATAGCTGAGTGGCGATTCCCCCCTCCCCTGAAACTGCCACTGGATACAAATTTCTAGGCGTTTATTGAGTCATGTCCTTATTACTTTTTTTTTTCACTGCCCTACCTCCTTCCGCCTGTGCACCATTCTGTGGTCTAGCCAAGGGAGAAAATATGCGATTGAACTCAAGCAGCCCTTCCGCAAGATTCATAATGGCATATAAGAGAGTTCAGCTGTATGCTAAGATTGTCCAGAAAAGTCGACCTTACAGAGAAGCTTGTTCGATGCAGTCTCGGTCTGCTTTCTCTGCGCATCGTCGCAAATCCTCAATGAGGGACTCGTGGATCCCGTGCCTTTCCCTTCCCCACACTCTCATCGTTTCGCACTGCCTCTTCGCCACTTCCTGAAAACTGAAAAAAAAGTCACCTTAACCTTCGATGAGCGTGGAATCCGAAACTCTGTTTTGGGGAATGAGTCTGGTGTGATTCACAATTCAATTGCCGATTGATGTACTGTTAGGAACCGATAAAGAAATGTAACTTGGAAACTCCCCAAACAAAGAGAACCATCTCTTCAAGATACAGCATGCCATTGCCCGTACGTTTTCACGAGATCACCGATGAAGGCAGATTCTGTTGAAAGAGGTTGGATGTACATGGCTCTCTTTTCGTGGAGACCCAGAGGGAACTCGCTGATGCCATCCACGAATGCCTCGGCGTCCTTGACGCGTTCCTCTCGCTCCCGCTGTTCCTTCCCCCCTTTCTCCCTCTCCTTCCTCTCTTCCACCTCCAATTTTTCCACCGAGATCCTGCTTCGCGCAAGGGCAAACTTAATATTTGACAACCTTAGAGGAAACTTGGTCTTTCTTCGTTTCAGAGCCATTCACTTTCTTTTCTTTACAGTTATTTTCCATTTGCATTTCAAGTGTTGGGACGAGTGCTCACTTGTGAACCTCAGCAGCATGGCATCTCTGCTTCTCAGAAATGAGCCGATAATCGAGGAAAAGCAGGGATTCCAGATGAGCAACGGAAAAACTTTCATAATGATCTTCGTCCACACCGAAAGAATTCCCTTTGAGGACCAGCGACCGAAGCTTCTTCAGGTGTTGACGAATATAGAGAATCTGAAATCAAGGGAAAATAAACACTTCCACGTTTCAATTGTGTGACCATCTTCCCACGCAATTCATTCTACGGCAGAAAAAAATGCTCCAGCAAATGCTTCTTACTTGTAAGCTCTTCTTGTAAGTACTTCACATGTAAGCACGGATACTTAAGAATCTCTTAAGAGTAGTTTTCAAATAGACCTACCTTTCTCAAAGTATCATTCCAATTGAGGATTGAGGAAATTAAGACTGCACCTAATTTTCAGCTTACCTAGTTCAATTATTCGGAAGAAAAAAATTTTCCCACAAAAATTGAGTTTTGAGCGCGTTAGCCTCGAGGACTCTAATGTTGAAAGGCTATTTTTCAAATTGCAAGTATTGTTCAAATTGTATCAAATTGTAATCAAAGTATTCAAATTGCAAGTATTGTAAGTTTTGCAAGTATTTATGTTTAAATAGTACAAACGTATTCAAATTAGAGACTTGTGTCTAAATTCGACAACGACCTTGTGATGGTTATTTTAAATCCCACTCCCCATGAACAAAAAAATATTCAATTTCTGCCTCTGAGAAGTATCTTCACTACAGTGACTCCAGTTGAGCAAGATATACAGTGTATCAGAGAATGATGATTGGTAGCCGAATGAAGCTACTCTTTTTTATGACAAGTTTCATGCAGCATAACTAACAAAATTATTTGGGGTATAGATGAAGATCGATGCCTTAAACCCGAGAAGAGAGACCGTATCTGCGTTAATGACGATGGGTTGTTGAAATGAACGATATGGTCTCCGTGACGCCAGTAACCAGATGATGTGTGAATGACGTGAACGTGGCAGATGGCGCTCCACGCTCCAGTCCCGCCTCCAATGTGGATTTAGTTTTCGCTTCTGGGCCTGCTTTCCTCGTTCACTGGGGCCATTACAGTCACCGCAACCGTTTTTTAGTGACGGACACGGCAGAAGGCAAGGAGACAACCTTCGACCTGCAATATCGGTCCCGTCATGCAAGAAAGCAAAAATCTTTCGGCTATGCAGCGGTCGAAAAAAGGGAACATGACGCTGCTTTAATTGCAACGCTCGATGAAACGGGGTTCACTCATGAACCGGCATGTGCAGATCCTCATCGTACAATGCGCATCACGCACAACTCCCACATATCCAATCGGTTCGATCGGCGATGCGCGTCCCGTCCCTGTCATGATCGCGCGCACATTAATTATTGACCTCACGATCCACTGAAGCTGAAGAACGAAGGGACTTGGCGGTCTTCTGACCGCCCTTCTCACGATGAACATGAAACCCGACGGTCGTCACCGACGCAGATGCGACTGCGGTGGGAAGAAGGACATATTGTTCTGCCGCTCGAATTCCTAGCGACTACGTTCCATGAAATTTCTCCCTTCTTAGAGCTTCTAAGCGATTTGAAATAACCAGGAACCGGTTCTCGATCTATCCCCACCAGTCCATTCCTTGACAGTCAGTTCCTCATATGGCAAATTCCCCGATTGGTCAGTTCACCCATGTAACAAATCCGCGACCTCCTGGGGATAAATAAATTCCCCTCCCTCTCCCCATTCTGCCTTTTCTCCCTCCAAAAATGCCAACACCAGCTGGCTCCACCTCATTTCACCGCAAGTCACTTCTATGTTAGACAAATGACTGCTGACATTTCGCTGCAAACAATTTATTCGCATGCGTCAATTAACTGTACGTCATTTCACTGTGATACCCTTTTCACTGCATTCACTTTCGCTGCAAAAATTGTCCTAGAAATTATGGATATTGAAATAAAACGGGTTAATAATTGAAAGCAGTGAGATGAGATAAGCAAAAGAAAACGAAGAAAGTCGCGCCTGCATGAAAAAGCCCCACGGTGAAAAGGGTGCTACAGGGAAAGGGAAGACAGTGAAGATGTATATGCAGTGAAATGACGCACGGCAAAGTAACAACAGTGATAATGATCGCAGTCAAATTGCATACAGAGAAGAGTCGTGCCACGACACCGGCTATTGCACCAAGCTGTCTTTCGTTGCATGTTCTTGGCTTCATTCACAATGTTCGCGCGCGCATGTAATTTTCCAGGTTCTAGGGCATGATGGTGTTGCCCTCGCCAGCTCACGATCTGACCTCCTGCTGTAGCTCTGTAATAGCAGTTTCCTTTGTCCCTTTTGAAAATGGATTCCCAATGCGTTCTCCGTCCGTTCTTGCTACTTTGTTCTTCCTGAGGACATAGCACTCAAGAACGAGTAGATTCTTTTAGCCCTGCAAGGACTCCATATTCTTACACTGTTCAAGGACTGCCTGCTTAATGGTCTGCTTCTTAAACCATCTGCCTTTTTCAGATACTCCCATTTTCGACCTGGATCTTGTCAACTGTCTCTTCTCTGGTTGCTAAGACGATTTCTGTTCCATTTTCCTTTTTTTTTATTTCCCGAGAAAATTTCTATCAGTGACTGAACGGCATTGTATATGCATTGATAGGCATCCTAGGCGATCCAAGTTTCCAGTAGTCGGGGCAAAGAACGTAATGGTAACCTCCCCGCCAGGGTGAGAGAATTTTCCCTTTTCTTCCGTTCTCTCGTCAACTAGGCTCTGCTGGGAGGCAGCCCCCCCCCCCCCCCCCCCCCCCTCTATTGGGGCGCCTATTGGGTATTCCTAGATGCATGATGTGCGTGACGGGAGATAATCCATGAAAAAAAATTGTTATTCGTATTCGTCCATACAGTAGAATTGTATCTTTACTGCCGTATCGTTGTACCACCAATGGGGAATTCATTATTTGTACTTTACATGGGGAATTATCTAAACGAGAACCTGACTATTGAGGAACTGACCAGTCAGGGAATTTACCATTTGGAGTATTAACCGTTGGGGATTTGATGTACGGGGGATTGACCGCACAGCTGAAGGAACGGCCACATAAGAAGTCACATTAAGGGGAGGGTAGCGTGGATGGAAAAGGTGGGGGGGGGGGGCAGGGGATCTCTTGGACATTGTTCTCTTGCATTTCAAGCGACCTTTCCTTCTTCCTTTTGCTTATTTTTTTTTTTTAGAGAGAGGGAGGGCTCTTCCACTGCCCCCCTCCCAAGCTACTTTGCTGGATAGGAACACCAAAACCTACTTCCTTTTCAGTGCTCTTTCAGTTATTTCTTCTCTCTCTCTCTCTCTCTCTCATGAATACGGGGATACCTTAATGCGTGTGGAGCTAAGGTGGCCGCCCATGAACCTCATCGTGATAGCATATTTAGTAGATTCCATCTCATAATGGCTGTATGACCAAAAGATGGGTACGCATGGTCGGATCGAATATCCTGATTTCAGCTAAACGAGGTGAGAGGAAGATCTCACATGTGTCGGTGAGAGCAACCACACTCTGTCTGGTGTTCTACTTTTCCTCGATAGTTGAGTGTCTGTGTATCCCTCGTATAAGCTTGGTCTGTCTATATGAATTAAGACTATTTGCTTTCCGTTTCCATGCATAACAACATAACGAAAACCATAACAAAATGACCTTTCTAAACAATCAGATGAGAAGGTTTCCTCTGTTTTCCTTTCCTCTCACGCCACTCTAATCTGCCCTTCCTTGAGAGACGGAAGGGGAAAGCCCCGCGATAGCGGTTCCTCATCCTTAACAGAGCATTTCAACTTCCGCTTTTTCCTTAATCTTTTCATTTTTCTTATTCTATGAGTGTTGGTCACACATGAGGATAATGACGTACCAAAAATGAGATGGTGGCCTATGTTTCTGAATCTTTTCTGCTTCCTTCTAGCATATTTCTTTCTCGTTTTTCACTACGTATTTCTCACGAACTCTCGTTTGCATCGACATGTAGTTTCGTTCATAGTTCTCAGCTGGTCGAGCTATCTTATCAACACGATGAACCAAGAACAAGAGACTCGATGGTATTGTAATGTCCCCCGAAGTTCCCGGACGTATCCAACTGTACTGACGATATACAGTATGTATCTCACGTGTCATATTTTCTTATCTGTGGGGAAGAGGACCGATCCCGGAGGTACTGGAAGTGCTAGATCGATCTGTGGCAAGGGATGCAAGTCCCAGAAACCCCGCTATCAAGCAAAAACCAAGTTAGTGTAATAGTCATTGGATATAGAGTGCTCCGGCTGCAGCTGAAATCGCGACTCCAAGAAAGAGTTGCAATCTACTAACCTGGCGAAGAAAATCGTTACTTTTCTTAACTTCTTAAAAAAAAAGCGATTAAAATGAGGCCTAACACGCAGGCCCTGACTAGATTGATGTTAACATTAGGATGATTTTAATGTCCTTTGGACAGAAGGCGCTCTTTAAAGATAAGTAAATAAAATAAAATAATTATTAAAAAAACTTGTCGCTCCCCATTTTTCCTTATTCTTTCATTTTCTGATCCCATCATTGCTCACAATACCACGATGTTATCAGGGAGAATTCTAAATTGTAAACAAATTCAATATAGGTGGAAAGTTCTCACCTCTTCTACGATTAAGTTTAGAATTTATTAAATTCGAGACTCTTGCATGAAATTCGAGAGGTTGATCAAGAGAAGATGGGAGGGGTCCGCCGCTTAGTGTTTTTTAAAATGGTGTATTATACAGTCGACTCTCGATAACTCGAAGTCACGGCGTTTCCCTTCGAAATTCTCATGAGGAAACTGCGTTTTCCCCCAATTTTAACTCCGACTGCCGTAATACAAATTAATTGATAACTCCAAATTAATTCCAGTACTATTCAAATATTTTCCTGTGCATATCCACGGACGAAGTTTACATCAAGGTCATCCCATACGAACTCAACCAAGCAGTGCGCTTGACCACCTTTGATTTAAGGATAACTCTAGGATTTAAAACTCAAAGCGATTGCAGTCAATCTAACATCCCAGGAAAAAAAGGAATCGACTCCATCGGATCTGCAGTTAGTGAGATACCACCCCGAACTTTGGGGGGAAACGGAAAACCCCCATGGACGGCTAAATTTCCATCCCAGGAACCTTTCATCATATCAGGGCGTGCAGTAGCTTCAACCGGAGGTCTTAAATAGCTGAACAATTCGCTCCATACATCGTTTGAGTTTGAATGAGATATCAGGATCATAGTTGAGTTTGAAATGTGAAATTTATGCAATTTTCACTCCAGAAACATCCTTATGTGACGAGGGAAATGAAAAATCTCTTGTTACGGGTTATTTTACCCCTCTCTGAGGTGCATCCATAAAGCAAGTTACTTTTTGGAACTTTACACAAAATTTCCTAAAAATTCATCCAAAAATGCATGACGCGGAAATATTCAGCCACTTGAGGAAAATGTGAATTTTTAGTTTTAGAATCTCCAACTTTTTCGGGGATGCTTTTGGGATAAAAATTGCCTTAAAGTTGACATTTTAAACTCAACAGTGATACTGAAATCTCATGCAAACCACAATGATGTATGGAGCGAATTGTTCAGCCATTAAAAACCTCCGGTTGAAGCTATTGCTTGTCTCCATGTGATGAACCTTTTCCAATATTGAAATTTTGCCGTCGATGGGTTTTGCCGTTTTTCATCTAATTTCGGGACGATGTCACGCTAACCACGGGTCCGATGGACGCGGTTCTCTTTCCCTGTGAAGTTAGATCGACTGCAATCGCTTAGAGTTTTTTCATCCCTAAATGCGGTATGATCGGGCGCCATTTTATATTATATTGGTTGAGTACGTACTGAATGACTCATCAATATAACTCCCCTTTCTTCAGACTCGGTTAACCCAAGAATGCGATGATTCACGTATTCGGTTCCCACCCTGATCAGTTGGGAAAGTCAAGGCTGCGATGAAGCACGGGGTGCTTGCGCCTACCCCTTATCGGTAATAAACCCTGGTGTCAACTAGTCAGTCAGTGTACGTGAATCTCGCTGTCGACCACGGCTACAACCTCATGCTATTGAAATTTTGCGGAGCTTTGTTGAGGCCACGTATGGTTTGACACGAGATTTTAGAAGCAATCGCGCACTTGGAAAATATCGTCGAACGTGAGGGTGCCGCGAAAACACGCCGAACTCTCCTGACTGACTTTTTCAAGTGATTATGCTAAAATGAGTTAGTGTTGCAAGTTTTGCATTATTGTATTGTATGTACAATGTTGTAGAGCATAGAATCCAAAAAACCTCTTTAACTCGAATTTCCCTTGAGCTTCGAGTTATCGAGAGTCCACTGTACTACCACTACCATCACGTGTATGTAAAGAAGGCTCACAGCATTTTTACTTGATGAAGTAAAAAAAAAAAGATTAATCCATCACGAGACTAAACTGTGCCTTGGAAGTCAGTGAGGGAGTTTTCTCCGAGGGAGAGGACAGAGAGATCCTGCAGCGGGTGAAGATTTTCCATTTTTTGGATCCGATTGTGGAATAGGCAGAGATCACGAAGATGCCGGTTCTCCTCCAGACCCCGAATTTCCTGGATCCGGTTGAAGGACAGATCTAGGCTCTCCAGCAGATGCAGGCTGTCAAGATTCTCCATGATTTCGATATCGTTGTTGCTCAGGTTCAATATCCTTAGGTTCGCGAAAGGCCACAAGTTTTCGATCCGCAGGATACCTGCACGAGACCAATGCATTTTTTTTTAGAGGTAGCCGTCGGATAGAAAGGTGCACTGACCACACTAACAAAACAAAATAATTTTTGTAAGCAACGCCATAATATCAAGTTTTGTACTCTAAATATTATTGTATTTGCAGGTTGAGTCAAAAAGGAAAACTCAGCTCGTTTTACTTATGATATCACGTCCTTAACTCCTTAACGGAGTAAACGAATAATAATTTACATTTTGTATCCTGATTTTCACTTCATGGAGGCATGGTTAAAGTTAAAGTGCTTAAAATATGTATTTAACGAATGGAAAAAATTGTCAAATATTCGATAATCGTGAAATACGGTTGCGGAAATTGTGAACACCCTGTGATGAACATCAAGAAGGGTTTGGGAGCTGTATGGTTAATCATTTTTTATGGTTTTCGTCGTCTCAAAACGAGCCTGATTGGAGTTCATGAAAGAGGAGGAATATTAAAAACAAAATTACATTGATCATCTGGCCGGTCGAGTGAGTGTGTGAATAAGGCCAACAGGTCTTTCGTTTTTAGTTACTTTTCTCAATTTTATGAGAATACTCATTATGCAATTAAGATAACTTGTCATATAATTCTGCTTATTCTGCTCAAAACGGTGATAACAATATAGGAATAATTCAAACCAATAAACTTTCAGAAACTATGATCAAGAAGGGATGAGAATTTCACGCTAATAGTCCCTTCAGTCGATTTTTAATTTAAATAAATGCCGAAAGATTCGACTGTGTGCAGTGAGTTTCTGGATTATAACTATTGACCTCGTGCACCGATTGGATTGGGCCCACGAACTCTTACTTTTTTTTAATAAATACTAGTCAAGATCTATGTAAAGACACCGATGATGTCAGTGGGCACAAATTGTACACGCCATAGGGTTTGGGCCAACTCCTTCGCAGTGCAAACTTTCCTAACGTAGGGAATAATTATTGAAAGCATGAAGTTAATTAGTAAAAGCTACTCCATTCGGCACAACAACGTTGTGTGAACATGAAGCAAAGGTTGATTTCTCAGCGTAACAATGTTGCCTCAATGTTGTGCAAAAGGTTGCCTCGATGTTGAAGCAATGTTGAAATGAATCACAGTTCAACATAGAAAATACGTTTTGCCAATGTTGAATTGTTAACGTTTGGGCATTACAGTACCTCCTCCATTTCCTGAGTCTGAACGAACGCTAATATCGATTAGATGACGAGATTGAATGGGTATTAGGTTGATGATTGCACTTGGTTAAGTTCTGTCATCCCACGGAGGAATCCCTCCGGAAGGTCAAGGAAGGATCCCCAGGTGGGGTGATAGTACTCGATTGTGCACCATACATCCCGGAGGAGTCTCGCTGAGGTGATATTTCCTCTCCTGGATCAATCCGAATTGAGTACTCACATGATGCAACTCCTTCTGTCTAACAGAGGAACTTCTTGTCTAGCATATATCTCATCTTAGGCGAGGAGCCAGACATATCACACTCAAGTCCATGTATGAAAGACATGTTAAGAGCCTACGTCCATATAAGTGCAATGTACCCACACAGCACAGGGATATCCCAGGGATGTCCCTAACTGGACGACTTGTCCCCATGTCTTTATATGATATCCTGAAGACATCTCCTTTCGGACGGTTTCGGACATCTCGCAAGGGATGTCTTCGGGACGTCTTTTAGACATCTTCAGTCGATATCTTAGAGATATCCCTTTTGGGATATCTTTAAGACATCCTTAGTCGAATGCTTCTGGATATACTGACATTGTGATATCCCTGAGATGTCCCCACAAGTAATGTCTGGGACTTGCCCCAAGGGGATATCCCTGGGACATCTCTGGGATGTGCTATTTCTTCAAGAAAGGGACATCCTTGGGCCCAGACATCGCACTTGTCCCAAGGGAATATCTCTGGGATATCTTTGGGATTTCCCTGTGCTGTGTGGGGTAAAGACTTGCATGTCTCCTCGGATACCCTGGCCTGTAGTACTTGGAGTCTCCTTCTACCGGGTTACTTCCTTAAACGAGTCTATCTAGGAATTTCAAAGCCTTCCCTTAAGTTGTACGTGGGAAAAGATCGGGTACTGTATGAAAAATACAGAGGACTCATTCCAATGGTACCAGAGTGAGAATCGCTAAATCGGCGCTTAGGCGCCATCTCGCGCCGATTGGTAGAACCTATTTAAATGTGGAAGTCTCAACATTTCAATCTTTTATCAATGTTGACACAACGTTGTTGTGCCGAATGGGACAGTATTCAATTACAAACATTTGGCTTCTCAACACGGCAAAACATCCTATTTACTAGTTTCTGCTATTTCTTCGTACTGATAATCCATGTCTCGTAAGCTTGTATGTGTATGTGCCTTAGTGTAAGTAAAATTATAGCTAATAATTAAAAATCGAATCAATTTCCCTCCGATTTGCCCAGACTTCGCCTGCATCTAGTTCCATTGAACATACACAGACCTTCTGGCATGGAGGTCCCATCAGGGTCTCACCACGGTAGTACAAACGTTACGCCAGCACATGTGGATTCGTAGCATCAGCATCAAAACCCGAGTAGGAGGGCTCAGGGTTCCGTTAAATGGTGTGACCGCATCGACGATCAGACAGCATTGAAACCTGCATATCGGCGGCAACCGTGCGTCATCCGCTGTTCCTTGCACCTCCCATGCCCCTACGAAAGGTTCGTGCACTGTCAGGCGTAGTGGAGGATATAGCTGGTGCGACCCTCCTATGATTTTTATACACAATACCAGGCCCGCTCGCACTGATCCTGACGCAGGTGCGGGGAGTCCACTTGTGCCAACGTAAGGTGCGTACTTACATGAGGGGGGCGCGGGGACCCTGACTGTCGGGGACATGCTGAAAGCCATGTTTGCTTATTTTTTAATTGAGACTTTCTTGGACTGTATATCCCATATATTTCGACTGCAAAAAATTCTACCAGAGAATTATGAGAACCTGTCACACCTCAACTGAATCAGCGGTTTTATAATCGCATCTCAAAACCAGAAATGAAATTATTTGTGATGATGGGCTCACAGCTGAATTCGAGGTGAAGCTCCCGAAGTTGATCCCATTGAACGCCGTCTTCGAGAAGGATCTTGGACGAGGCACTCGTGGGATCTGGAACGTCTCTGATAGCATCTTCCAAGAGCTTCTCATCTATCACAGAAGGCCGCAATCTCGCATAGATCTCATCCATCTCGTGAAAGATAGTGCATGAGCTGTAAATAAGAGGCGACGCGGGGCAATTACTCACCTGCACACCAAGCTCAACGCTTTATCAATGCAGCAAACGCGACATCTGCATGCTCTTTTCTTGAACGTTTAGTTCCGGAAAAATAATAAAGATGTCATTGCGAGTTAATCATGTGCCATGGAGTCACGCAGTCCATCGTAAATCCTGGTGGTGACTGCGTCAATGTGTTGGACTACGTCTTTCGCCTATAAAATGGTGTTGAAGATTACTGTGCTAGAGAAACTTAGATGGACCCAATCCACGATTCGACGCCCTTTTTATTTTTGTTGCTTGAGACGCTTTCTGTAATTGAAGCTTAGCCTTGGTTGCAGAAATTGTACCATTGCCCTTCTCATGAATGCCAATGTCATGGGATTTCTTTTATTATTAACTCCAATTTCCAGTTCTGAAAGGTGGTGAAGTGAGGTGAAAAACCCATAGGGTACCTTAACCTCCTCCTATGGCCTTAGCCAACCATAAAACAAAAGGTCTGGGCATCCTGAGTCCTAAGTGATTTCTTCAGAGGCAATCAAACTTGACCCCCACCCCTTACCTTCCCAGTGGACTTTCCCTTTTTAAAGATTTCTGTGTACATTTTTGTCCATTCCTAGATTGGATGAAGGTTTCACTATCTGTAAATTTTGGTTCAGGAGTAGCATTTGCCTGATATTTATGCTTAGGCCCAAGTGGCAGCTGCCTCATATTATGTGTATCTCATTAGGTGAAATATTAGTTGTATGTGTTGAGAAAAGTAGAAGCCAAGGTCTCATCAGTACAGGAAGAATGATACATAGGCTGTTGACCCATGCTTTTGCACATCACTTGTCAATGCTTTTTGACTAATGATACTTCAAAAGCCAATGAGTTGGAGTTGGAGTCAATGGAAAAGACATGAAACTGCAATGACTACCATTCTTTGATAATGGAGTAATACTGTAGAATTTCTGTTTAATTGTCTATGGAAATAATGGGCATTTTGCTTTATAGTAAATGGACCCTCAAGCCCATTTTGGTTTTGGGGAAAATTTTTATTTTTTAGATTCTTAATTGATAAAAGTTATCAGTTTAACTTGCATCCTGAACTATCTTACATTTATTTCCTTTTTATCCATGCCATAAACACATGCCAACTTGATCTCCTTTTTGAAGAAAGCAGGTACCTTCATGGAAACCATGGCCGGAATAGGTAGTTCCATAATGGAGGCCATTGGAGGGAACCCTTTCAACACCCCTGTTGGTCAAAAGATAGGTAAGCACAAATTTTGTCTCTTTCCTTCCAATGTTCTTGGCAATCCATGTGGTCATTTAAATACCTGGTTTGCCAATGCCCATATAGGGCATTACGTGAAATTTCCATCAAAGTTTGTGAATCAAGGACAAAAGGGGTGTATTGAGTAGAAATAGGCAGCATGCTGTGGGGGGTTGGAGTAGAACCAGCCATTCTTGATCTCCTGTATCATTTTAGCACATATCCTAATTTCTTTATCAGTTAAATCTCCCTTTTGGCAGACATCCAAATTATTGAACCCAGTATTTTGCATTAAGCTTTACCAGTGACATACACAATGGAAGAATAACATACTAGTTGTTATTGGTAATTGAATGATTGATTTTAAAAATGTAAGTCTCTCATATATATAAACCTGTTAATTTGCCTCCTTCATAATGTCAGCTCCAAACACATTCAAATACTTTTTGCAATAGCTTATGTGAGTGTTTTACATATACTTTTATTAAAATTCATAACCCTTTGTTACCCCATTCATCTAATAATTTCAGGCCCCCTTTTACTCTTAGCTAATCCTCCCCTCTTCTAACAGGAAAAACCTAATTTTTTTATAAGCATCAGCTCATTTACTTATTGTACCCATGAGGCTTCAGGCTGAATCATTGGTGCAAGCTGGGAAAGCACCCATGAAGTCTTGATGAATGTTATTTAACAAGAAGTTGTCTCTAGGTGGACCACTCTTTCCATTTTCAAAATCCCTTTTGCTCTCTCTGACAACCACTGACTTATCAAATTAACCCTTTCTGTGACAATAAATTTTTGTGCAATAGTTCGGCTACTGAGTTTTACATATAAACTATAAGTGGTGACATCCGATGATGGTTATTGGTAATTGTCCAGCTTTTGAACAATATGTATGAAAAATATTAGAGGCTTTGTATGGATCGTTTTATAATTACAGCAATTTTTGTCAAACATTAGTAATGGGACAAGGTATGTCCCGGTATCAGTGAAAGGGTTAAATCATCCTGCCTTGAATACCATGCATCTTTTATACAAGGAATATCATGTGAGGGACAAGTCCCATTCTTTTCTTCCATCTAAGTACAATGGTAAAATTCTAGCAAATCATCAAGATAAGAGTAACGCCTATTGAAGTCATGCTGGGAATTCTTGATGAGTGAGTCACAAATAGATATTGTGGAATTCCTGATGAGTGAGTCATAAAGTGAGATATTTTGACACTGATCCTTGATCTTACTCTTACTCGAAATTATAGTAAAACAGACTGGCAGATAATTATCTAAATTACCCTTACCTCGCTTATTGAAGATCGGTGCTGCATTAACTACTTTCCAATCCATGAGAACTTCGCTGCACAATACGCTCTTCTGAAATATTCATAGTGGTGCTGGTACTATTTCACATAGTTATTTGAAAATGTCGATTGGGCTCATATCAGGACCTGCCGCTTTCCCCCATTGAAGCTTGCCTAATTCACTACAATGTCTTCCTAGTAATAATGAAATTGTCACAGGCCATGTGGTTGATCCTATAATTTCCGGTGCCCTCTCTGTGTGCTTCGTAATTACGGAAGCGAAGTCATTTAAAGCACCTAACCACAGTCTTGTCATCTGTTGCGAAATCATCGGCGTTCTTTATTAGGAACGTTAGGGGCGAATTCATTGACCCAATTGAATGCTGATTCGTACCACTAACATCCTGGTAAAACGCTTTAGCGCTAATCTTATCCTGTTGCAATGTGATTTTCCCCACATTTCAGTGAGTTTTTGTACCTATTGAGAATCGCTTGATACACCTATTGCGCCACCGTCCAGGGTTGCTCAGAATGTCGCGACAATTCGGCATCTCTGGATATACCGAGCTACCCTTTCTAGCACTCCGTTTTATAATTGAAAGTCCTTGGTCGCTGTGGAATTGCAGATAATAGTGCTGCGTAAAAAAAAATAAAATAAAATACCAGCACTTTTCAAATTGATAGCAGAATACATCATCGGAACTAGATTCAAGTCTTTTAAGCAAAAATAGGCTATTGACTCCCCCCCCTCAATATTCATGATTCAATATGGCCTCCATACTTTACCTGAATATCCTTTATGCGATTCTAATTTTATGTTCTTACATCCAATTTTTAAATTATGTTACCGGAAACAGAACCGGCTTAGTTAACTTTGTGTTTGAGTCTTTGACCTCGTGGGAAGACGATTCTCTACATAACCTGCATTGCTCCGGTACTGGTAGTCCTAATAGACTTCCTTTCGCTCTGCTTGAAACCATATGTTGATCTCTACTTTCCTATTGTCATATGAAATCTCTGTCCAGTGGTGGATACAGAATTTTATTTATTTATAAGGGGGCGGTCACCCTAGTTCCTACCACCACCCTTAACACCAATACCACTCTCCGTCCCCGTCCTATCGTCTTTTTCATTTTTCGTCTGGGGTGAAACTTAGGATATCTATTTCGCAGGCAATAAAAATTAACGAGATGCTTTTTAAATTAAAAACATAGAATGTTGAATCTCGCCATAGGTCGCCCCCCCCCCCCCCCGGATCCGCCACTGCCTCTGCCCGCTTGTTGCACTTTTTACTGAGTCCCAGCTGATAACGTTATGGTCTAAGTCCCCATTTTATCATCAATTTGAATCTCTAGCGCATTCATTCCCAACCTATGAAGTAATTATTTTTAGTTGGTCTCTCAATATACGAGGGTGGTTCAAATGGATAAATGGACTTTTGTTTTTAAAAGGCAGAATAATGCATGTAGATTAATAATTTTAGTTAGAATTTGTCTTCATAGTGTTGTTAACCCATGCCCACAATTGCATCTTTCCTGCTTTAACACATGAGCTGAAAATCAAGATGGCGGCAGTTGAGGTAATAAAGAAGGTGGAACAGCGAATCATTGCGAAATTTCCGGCCAACAAGAACATAAAAACCGATTGAAATTTATAGACGATTGTCTGCACAGTATGGTGATGATTCACTGTAAAAAGGAACTCTTCCGTCAGTCAAAATGAAATCCTCAACTCGCTTGATTTTCGCGTTGTTGAACGAAGTGGCCGGTCTTGCAGCATGTGGTTAATTCTGTACGATATCACACTTATCTTTAAATGATTTGCACTCGTCAGATACGGATGTCCTTGACAGGCAGTCATTGTCATACTGTGCAGTCAATTTTCCATAAATTTTAATAGGTTTGATGTTTTTGTTGATCAGGAATTTCATAATGTTTCGCTGTTCCACCTTCTTTGTTATCTCAATCGCCGCCATCTTGATTTTCAGCACATGGAGTAAAGCAGGAAGCACGCGATTGTGGGTATGGATTAACAATGCTATGAAGACAAATTCTCCCCAAAATTATTAATCTACTGTATATATATTACTCTGCCTTTTGTGAACAAAAGGCCTGGTCATATTTGAACCACCCTCGTACTAATCAAACAGGGCGTGATGAAGCGCATTGAAAAATTACTTATCCTTGTTAGTTCCCGCGCTGGAGCCTCTGACAGGGATAGGGACTTGGGAGATGGAAGGCAAGTGGCTACGGCATGGGGCGCTGGGTTCATTTGTCAAATCGACGCAAAAAAGGCAAATTTACCTGACTCTCCGATATTAATGAAAAATTGAGGATTTGTTGGGTTCATTGAGAAACTAATGTTTCGATAATTTTCAGCTCCATAGGTTAAGCGCATTTTGAAGTGCTGTAATTTGAATATTGCCAAGAAGTGCCGATTTTTGACCTGGTGGTCATCACTTACAGTAAGTCATAAGTTTTGTTTTAACATAGAGAGATGAAAATAGTGTGATTTTCTAGTTATTTTAACCCTTTCAGACCTGGCGTCCATTCCGATGGACATTGCATTTACATTGTGTCTATGGAAATTTCTTAGGATTCTCGTGACTTTGCGCTCCATATTACGCTACAATAGGCGCAATTATGCATGGCTCAGTTCTATCAGAAGCCTTCTTTCACCCATTAGTTTTTTAATCTTCAGTTATTTAATTAAATGTTTACTATATAATATATGATATGGTAAATTTATACAAAATATGAAATTACATATAAAGCATGAAAATTTCAATTACAATCACGAAAAAGCTCAAAAATGCAAAAAATGATATTCCGATAGCGACCTTAATTCAGGTATGAAAGGGTTAATATCCTTTGATTTGATGCGTGTATCTTGAAGTTTACGTGAAAAGTTGGTCATTTTTATTTTTTCCCAAAAATAACCATGGCATTCCGAACTTCTGGACACATCGAGTTTCAATTTAGGTCTGCCTTGGGATCAAAAGATACGAACAATAATGTGCCAGTAATTTATAATAATAATAAATTGTAGAGAATGCGCTAGAAAAGTCTGGATGCATCTGGTTCGTGCAGAAGTTTGTGGATGAATCTTTCACCCGGGGTAGTCAAAACTATCATCCATATTCAAGAAAATGTATAAGAGTGGAATGTATGTACTGATAATTGTAATAATGCATTATGCATTTTCTTATGTGCATCATATGTACAGCGAAACGCGTTTACCCCCAGATATGCCTGGCGTTCTATATGTACGCCGGCGTGTAGAGATGTGCTTGAAAATGTCTTCCTCTTTTCATTGTCGATCAACAGATGGATGTATGCACACACTATATACGTTTAACGTATCAAAATACTGCTTATTCTTCTGACTACCTCAAGTGAAAGGTTTATCCACAAACCTCTGCACGAACCAAATGCATCCAGACTTTTCTAGCGCATTCTCTGCAGACTTATTATTATTATTATCAATTGCTGTCACATAATTGTTCGTGTCTTTTGATCCCATGGTAGTCCTAAATTGAAATTAGGTTCTTCCAAGGAAAAAAGTTGGGAATGGCATGGTTATTTTTTGGAAAAAATAAAAGTGACTTACCTTTGAGCTATGTAAACTTCATGCAACGCAAATATCAAATGGCATTAAAATAACCTGAAAATCACACTAATTTCATCTCCCTAAGTGAATTATTACAAAACTTATGGGCTCTTAAATGTTGGCCACCGGACCAAAAATCGGCACTTTTGAGCAATATTCAAATCACTGAACTTCAAAAAGCTCTTGGCCAAGGAAGTTAAAGTTTGTTGTGGATTAGTTTCTCAATGGACCCTACATATTCACGAAGTTTCATCAAAATCGTAGGGGGTCAGGTAAATGGTTGTGCTGATTTCATATGGAATGACCATCTCATAGACGTCCCATACCCAGCAACCGCCCATGTCTCGCGTGTAAAATGTCTCTCAGTGCCCTGATCGTTCAGGAACAGAATGCATTGCAACTCAAAAGTAATGGAGGTATGCGTGAAAGTGTCGTTTTTCTTTTTTCTATTGAAATTTTTTTTTGCCACGCACAGGATTTCGCGGAAGTCCTGTAAAATATCCTGCTCTATCGGTACACACTTCCGTCCGTCCATTGCCCAATAAGTGGCTGTTCCGAACGAGAGCCTCCACTCTCCCATTCAGATGTTACCGGTCGTTTAATGAAAACGGCAGAGAGCGTGAAGCATGAAAAATGTCCCTGGAACTTCCGGGGTGAGTCCAGGCCATCTGAACAAAATGCATTTCCTTGACCAAAGAGAGGCCGTACTGCGGGGTAAGGAAGAGATTAGCTGAAAAGGGATGTCGGGAAGGGAAGGGAAGGGAGAAAAAAGGATGTTTAGCCGAACTTGGAGGGAGCATCGAAGTGGCATTTTAAGTGGGGAAAAATTACTGCGGAAAGAATGAGAATGGAGAGATTGGAGAGATTCAGAGAATAGGGGAGAGGGGGGATAAATATGAGATGAAGGGAGAAAAGGTGATCAGCGGAGCGTAGAGGAAACAGTGCTCGACAACACCGGATGAACTCCGGAAGAGAAAGCAAAAAGTAGAGAAAGGAGAGAGAAAACCTTAACGGCGGCACTTGCACGTTGACTGCAGCCTCATCTGTGACCGTGAAGCACTACACTTTCGTGACTGAAAGATGCGCTTGAAAACCATCTATGGCTCCATCGGTAAGCTTTTTCCCCATGGAATCGAGAAGGGTTATTGATTTCAAGTTAAAGCGACCATGTGTCCCATTTGATGACCCTAGGAATCTGAGAGATATCCTGCTGATGTCGGAGATGTCTTGTCTTGACTCTTGAGGCAGATTTGACTGAAATCTTAAATTGCTACATGCTTGCATTATGATTCCATCAAGCATAACGTTTCCTTGGTGAAAGTAATAATTTTATAAGAAGTCTGTCATATTTTTTCTTCTAGAAATCAGTAATCTCATACATGTTCTCTTACAAGAACTTCCTATTCAGCACAGGAAATAGATACTCCAATGATAGGTTGTAAGTGTGAGGGTTACAGATCACACCTGTGGCTTCTTTTTTCTTCCTTGGCCTTGTACACAGTTAAAAATAAATTGGCGTGAAAAAAGATTTAAAAAAAGATAAAAAGTGTGAAAAGTAATAATTTTTTTGAGATTTTTTTCCACATTTATCATTGATTCTGATCCTTACTAAAAATAACTTGACCCAGCCTTGATTTGGCTAGTCTTTTTCTTTAGGTGTGCCATTGCCTTGTAGCTTAGGTAGGCAACATTTGTGATGGCTATCACATTATTCAGTAATTGATTTTGCCAAAATAAGTATTCTGATAGAAATGATGTGGCCTTTGTTCATGATTGTCAGATTCTGAGACTCATCTTAGATCCTGAACTGGAACATGGTGACACTATAGTATGAGTTTCAAGCCTAAGTGCTCACCTTTGATGTTTAAAACCATTGGATTTGTTTCTTTTAATTGGTTTGTATTAAAAAAATTGATATAAGGATTTGATAACAGGAAGAGGAGAGCAAAAAATACAGACATGTATATGTAAAAAGGGTATGCAATAGGAACATCAAGGTTTCTTATGTTACATTTTTATGCAGTGCTGTTATTTATATACAGGGTTGCTATTAAAGAAACCATATAAATTTGTTTGGTCATACATTTTGAAGTGGCTCTCAGATGGAGCTCTTATTTGACAGAGAGGTTGATGAGCCTAAGAGGCTTTCTATCAAGTCCACCAGATGGTGGCATGTATCAATAGGGGTGTGCTGTGCTCATATGCACAAAGGCAAGCATTGAAAAAGGGGTATCAATTGAGAATTATGTCTGGCATTTGCAACTTGCAAGGCAACCTGCCCACGTTCATAATGCAGCTAAGTGTTGCATTACATTTGTGTTATTGCCAGAATGGAAGCTTAGTAACAGTGATTATTTGCCATTTGCTTATCTAGGAGGATGGCATAAGCTGATGGATTTTTGCCATCCCAGTGACTGCTATCCACAAAACATTCACCCAAGTTGAGTATAGGTTGCATGCATTAATGGAAATAGATGGCATTCATTTTAAGTACTTGCTGCCCTATTCCTATCTGACAAGTATAGAAAGATCCAAGATGCTTCAACCTCTCTTTCAAGTATCAGCTGCATCCAACTGTTCCATGTAAAGTTATGATCAAACAAATTTGAGTGTTTTTTTAATTATTATTAGAAAAACCTTGTACATGGATATTTTTTTTACATTTTGATGACTACCTCTTGACTGTTTTGCTATACTATTTTAGTAACCAATACTATAGAATTTCTTCCATGGTAAGCTCAACAATGAAATTTGTACAATCTGGCAGTTCTTCATAGGGGGTATATGTTTTTCCCAACATCCAGGGAGGTGTATATCCTAGACCCTAGACTGTAGATGAGAGCATATGCTTAGATGTAGAGGTAAAAAAACTGTAAATCAATTTAAGAATGGGGAAGGCAATATACTCATGCTTTTGATGCCAAAGAAAGTGTTCATAGATGTTCATTGTGGTTCCCATTGATAGTAATGATTGTCTTAAGGTGTGATAACACATTTCACACCACTGGTCGAAGCATGTCCTGAGGTATAGAGTAAACTTCCTGGTGTATGCTTTCCTTCAACCTGTGGAGTGTGGCTAGGGCTTTATGGTAAACTTTACCCTTATGATAGCCCCAAAGCCAGAAGTCTGCTGGGGTGAGGTAAGGCAATCTTAATGGCCAGGATTGTTTAACACATTGACCGCCAAGTATGAGATATCTTGTACTACATTTCCATATGTCAGACACCTAGCATGAGATATCTCTGATTTCTAACATTGCATGATGGAGTACTAGATATTACTAATTGCTTTCATATTTTTTCAAATTTCCATGACTGTGAGTAAAAAAAATATGGAAAGATTGGATATTAATAATTATTTTACTTTTTTCAAATTTCTGTGGTGTGTGAATAAAAGAAAATGGTGGTGGTCAATGTGTTAAAGCGTTAGCTGATCACACAGTCTATGATGTTATCATAACACATGGAGAGACTCTGTGCGTTGCCTTCCCTGTATTCAAATTGGTCTCTCTACCAAGTTTCACAATTCTGTGGCAATTGGTATGCCTGGTGTGGTCTCCTGAACAGTGTCTTTCGAAATGCCCAGTATTTATCCCACCTTACCCTTATTTCTCAAACTGGCACCACCACCCATCATCTTGTCTCAAACCTGCCTCCTGGTTGGTAATTTGGCCTCATTTCCCTTGATTTGAAATATGCTATTTTGAATTCTTGTTTATATCAAAAACAAGTAACCAATTATCATAAACATTGATTTTATCAATCAAATTAAAAAATGTAAAAGTTCTAACCCCACTTATTTGCCCTTGCTATCTGTGACAATTCAGACATTGCTGTCTGCCTTCAGTGTCTTACTGTCTAATGTCTATCTAACTTCACATAGGATGACATGGCCCATTATCTCAAGGCAGCCTCTCATGCCTCATGGTAATTTGGCTATATGTTTTTTTTGCATATTAAACTTGCCTTTTTCATTATTATGTTATTGAATAATGCCTGCTCCATAGTTCATTCAACTACAAACTTTGAATGACATTGGTAATTGCAGAGCAGGCTACAGATGCCTCCTTGGCATCAGAAAACTGGGCTGCAAACATGGAGGTATGTGACATGATCAATGAAACAGATGATGGCCCCAAGGATGCCTTTAAGGCCATCAGGAAAAAGCTGCAGCAAAATGCAGGGAAGAACAACACTGTCATCATGTACACCCTCACGGCAAGTCTTTTATACATTTTTATTAGTCTGCTGCTGTCTGTTGTTTACATTGGTGGAAATATCCTGACCCTTTTTCACATGTAGCTCTTGGAAACCTGTGTGAAGAACTGTGGACATCGTTTCCATATTCATGCTTGCAGCAAAGAAAGTATTCAGGAGCTGGTTAAATTAATTGGTATGTTACAAGCTTAATTAAAGCTGGAACAAGAATATGACTCAAATGTTACTTTGTCCTATATTTTTTATGTGATTTACCACATCAGGTCCCAAGTATGACCCACCACATGCAGTACAAGAGAAGGTGTTGGGGCTGATTCAAAGCTGGGCTGAGGCTTTTCGTCATGTCCCAGACCTCCAGGGAGTGGTACAAGTATATAATGATCTACGAAGCAAAGGGATCCAATTCCCTGCCACTGATCTAGATTCTATGGCTCCCATTCAAACCCCTCCCCGAGTAAATGAAATCTATTCTCACTTATACTAATGAAAAAAACTCGCAGGGAAAAAGATGATAGAATCCTTGTGTTTCAGTCAGTTGAACCTCCTGTGCAACAATCTAATACAAGAGGAAGGGAAGACCGAAGTGAGGCAGAGGTGGCTCCACTGCCCATCACCCTCAATGATGAACAGCTTGGCAAAGTGCAGAGTGAATTGGATGTTGTCAATGGGAATATTAAAGTTCTTGATGAAATGCTTGCAGAACTGAAACCTGACAAAGAGCATCACCCACAAGATCTACAGCTTCTTCATGTATGCTTTCATTATAGTGGTCTCCAATTGGGTATAGGCTGCTCTGTATTTCAGTTATTCTTTCATCCTTTGCATGCGTTGAAATCCCTACCATGTCCTTGGGCAAGAATTTGATCTTTAATGCATGATGGCATTTCATCTAGTTTCTCTGCAATTTTGGTTCATAATTGATGGAACATTTTTTAGCTTTAGGGATTTATATTCATAAAACCCTCTATGAGAGATCTTCATATTTACAAGTTTATAGCATGCTTGACTTGTAGCATCTTATAGGTACTTTATGTTTATAGAGCAATGAAATAAGATGACATCTCTTGAAATTGCTGTCTTGGATAATGTAGGAACTATATGAAACCTGTCGAGCCATGCAGCAGAGGGTGGTGGGCCTCATCAGCCATATTACAAATGATGAGCTCACAGCTGAACTCCTTCGCATCAATGATGAACTGAATGGCCTGTTCCTGCGCTATGGACGTTTTGAGCGCCAGCGCAAATCTGAGGGAAAAGCGAGCAGTGGTACTTCAGCTGAAGTGAGGAAGGATTCAAACACCAAACCCCTCATTGACTTTGGAAGTGAGGACACATCAACATCAGGTGTGACGGGCCAACTCGCTTCCCTCAGTATGTCCTGTCCTAACCTTGATGCCAATAATTCTTACTTAATTGATCAATTATGATAATTTTCTTGTCTGTGAGGCGTGACAGCTGCTGCAACAGGACACGATCAACCAGCCAAGCCATCCACTCATTCTAAGAGTGAGGAAGACTCAGAGTTTGACATGTTTGCACAGGCACGATCTGCTCCTGCAAAGCCCAGGCAAATATTTATCTTGGAATGAGGATTGATGCAAGCCTTTTTGCAGAAAATTTTCACAAAACATTGCTTTCTAGTGGGAGCTCATATGCAGACAACATCAACATCGATCAGACCAACAAGAGTTTGGCTGAAGCAGCTCGATCACGACTTCACCCTGAGGTAAGCCCTCCATATACATAGTACATGCTTGCTGCTTAGTGTTTGAGAATTGCCACAGTACAGGCATTGATTTTGTATGCTTGCTTGTGAATGTGATATTGCTTCAATGCAAGAGCAATGTCTAATTGCCTTAAGCAGTGATGTGAATTGGGGTATTTGAGGTAATTGCAAATAAAGGAAGTGCCATAAAAATTATTTGCTCATTTTGGAAAAGTATAATAATTTTATTCCTACAATGTTTTATATATTGTCTTGCCTGCTTGTTTTGTGCATTCGTTTTGTATTTTTTTATGGGCTTCTTCCTGCAGGTGGATGGAAGTTTAGATCTGCAGGTAAGGGAAGGGTGATTCCATGCCTCTTTGGCTTTTGTGCTCCCCCCCTGCCTCAGCACAGGGAAGTCAAGTCCATGCATTTTGTTATTAACCCATCCAACTGCATGGTTTCTTGGGCTGTCACAGGGCCTGATTTACTAGACAATGTAGCCAATGATATGAAGAATTGATTTACTTTTCTGGAAAAGAGTACCATAGCTGAATGAAAATATCAATTCTCTAGTTTGGGACACCAGTGAATCAGACAAACTTTTTCAGGGAGTCCTCGTTTTTGCTCAGGAAGACAAAGTGGGAATCTGCTAAAAATGTTCATAATCTGACTTAACCCTTGTAATACCAAATTACATAGCTAGCATGCTATCTGTCCCTATCACAGTGACAGTATTGGATGATTTTCTTCATGCGACAGATGCTGTCACAATGGTATTACAAGGGTTAATATTGGCATATGTTTGGCATTGGTAATACTATTTGTGTCAAGGAATCGAGATTTGAAAATAATTTGTTTCAAGGCTATTCTGTTGATTGACAACCATATAAGTTGTCTGAAAATGGCAAGCATGGTGAGTATTAAGTTCTCCTTAGCATGAAGAAAAGGTTCTATGGTGTTTTCCTGTGTCCATTGCTTGGTGCAGTTAATTCTTTGATGTCCTGTTCCAACTTCATCAGAATCAAAGCATTCCAGCTCAAGTGGTCAAATTTCTGAAACTTAGGTTGCTTGTCAAACAGAAATTTGCTAGAGAAAGTTCATATGTGGTGACCTCCCTGGTGAACCAAAAAAGCCAAATTTCAGTGCATTTTAAACTAGAATGAGCTAGCAATGAAGGTGTTTTTTTTTTTCAAATGAAAGCTGAAACAAAATTATCAGATTTCACTGAAGGACTCTATTGTTATTACAAAGAAGTTTTGAATTCATAAAACTTTGAAAAAATGTCAAGAATTACATAAATTCAAACAGCATGAAACACTGTTCAACTCTAACAAATGAGTTTTGAAACATTGCATTTCTCAATCGAAATGAAAATAGCTAAATTTCATCTTCTCTTTTTGTTTCAGACAGTGGCAAATTGGAAAACTCCTAAATTGACATTTTCCTTTGACTTTGATGGCTTATATTTCATGTTTCAGACAAGATAGAAACTTAGAACTAGAACAAATGAAAGCTTTCTCAAAGTCTTTCTGGGCATGTAAGACTTGCTTTGATTTTCAAGTTTGTGTGAATTATTGTGTCTGTGAACTTTCTATTTCTTTTCTTGAAATGTTTTACCCAACTTTCTTACATTGGGAATTCTGATGACACATTCAGGTTTAGGTACATTTTGACAGAATTGCATGAACAGGCTTAGTTCCTTTTTTTTTTTTTTTTACTTCATTCAAACATCAGTGAATTAAAATGTGAAATTTCACATATTCCTGTTATTCCTTATCCTCTTTTTCTTGCTTGGTATTGCTCGAATGAAATGTCAGAGTGTTTTTCATTCTGGGAGGAGTTGAGAGTCTAATTACTTTCCTAGTTTCAGGACTTTGTAATCTTGGAAAAGTAATTTAGTACTACATGATACTGATTCCTAAACCTGAGAATATTATTAAACTGGATTTCTGAACAGTTCTGTAATGTTGGCCTGATACTCATGATGATGTATGTCTTCACTTTTCAAACGGCATTAAATTATACTACTATCTCTCAATGACATGAATCTATTATAAAATTGACTTCTGGAGAAGGGGACTGCATTGACATGGTGTGGTTTAGCTCTAGTTTGTCTTTTCTTTGCAAGTGCAGACCAACATCATTCTCACCATTGTTCCAAAACTGTCAGGAAGTTCACAGTCTAATCATTTTTACTCAATTCTTATTCAAGTACACAATTAGTGGCAAAGCTAACTGTTTGACTGTCACTTTTTCCATGGGGAGCTAACGTTGGAGCAGAATATCTTCAATAACTTTTATGCTAGAGTGCTGAAGTTTTGGGATTTTTTGTAAGTCAGCAAGGATACCATATATTAATTTTTTTTCAAGAAAATACCTGTTGGAAGCACAACCATTGGATCACATGAGTTGGATTGCCTAAATTTGGATGATAGTTGGGTTGATGTCATGAAGTCCAGGTGATCTGCCTGGCAGGTGTGGCGTCTTGAAATTGAAAGCATGTCCTACTCTCTGTCATAGACAATTGATTGAGAAAGAGATGATCAAGTGCTGTCTGGAAGCCTTTTCCTTTTAAATTTGTCACATGAAGTGGACTACACACTTGAAAGTCTAATGTTCTTTCCACATTCTTCTGCTGTCATATGGAAGAGTCAGATAAGATAACAGGAATTGTATGATATGTCTTTTATTTTAGGGTAAGGTCCAAAGTCCAGCATCCTTGTCTTAATTCTACCATTTTTTGAGCAATCCATCTAGAATATATAAGAAATTTGAAAGATATCTCATGCAATTAAAAATTCCTTACAATGACAAGCTTATGTTGATTGCCAGTGAACATTTTTAATGGATTTTAAAATTTCTCCTTTCTTACAGCATGAATAAATCTTCAAAAAGGCAGTCTGGTCCATTTATGTCCCCAACTGTAACATCTTTCCCATAATTTGCACATGCTAACTGCTCCAAACTCTTGCCCATAAGAAAAATATTGGTGCCAGTATAAGGTGATAGTGATTTTTTTTAGGGGTTCATTGGAGACAAACTCCTTGAGATTTTATTTATCATAATTCAAATGAAGAGTGATAATGTTTTTTTCTGTGATGTATTCTTTTTTGAAAGTACCATATCCAAAAATTTTTGGAGGAAATAGAGAAAAAAAAACAAAAAAACAATGTGTACTAAAGGTTCTTCATGAACCTTTGGCAATTCTTCAGGGTGTAAGAGCATAAGAAATTGGAAGCAACTTCTAGTCTGAGTCCTTCCTAACATGTATCTTTAAAAAATGTCACTACTGTGCTTTGTTTCTAAAAGAGAAAATTAGCATTTGAAAATTATGGGGAAGACTTTAGTAGACCCTACCCATGTTACTAAGTACTTGTTTAGTTTTCTTTTCCCTGGAGAAACTGAGGCTGAAACTTTTTATGTGTAGTCACCAATATCATGAAGCTTTCATGGGCATGTTTTGCTCTTCTCTTGACTAAAACATACCACTTTTGTCACTTTTTTGCAGCTCCAACGAGAGAGTGATTTCGATGAAATGGAAGCATGGTTAAAAGAGAATGTGAGTTCTCCATGTCCTGTTTGATCATTTGCTAGATTTGCTTGATCTGAAGTACTGTTAGTTGATAAATACTTCATTGTACCAAGCTTAGGTGGAATATGGAAATGTCAGGATTAGCTATTCATCTGTTAATTATTTTGTGTACCTGTTTCTATAGAATCTTAAATTATGATATACTATGAACTATACAGAAGGCAGCCATCCATCTTCAAATGAATCTCATCTTGGCTGACTGAAGAATTCTTTAGCATTAGCCATCAACCTGATCTTACAAAACTTAGATCTGACAGACATTTGAGCTTCCTGTATGAGATTTATTGTGAAGAAAGCACAAAAGAACTGTTTTGTATATATTCTATATTCCCTTGTTTTCCCACAGCCAGATTCAACAGATCCCGTGACCAGTTCAGAATTCGATCGTTTCCTGGCCGAACGTGCGGCTGTTGCTGAACGTCTTCCACCAGCACGGAGTGACTCATCGAAAAAGGCAGAGACAGAAAATTCCCTGTTTGGCCTCTAAAATACCCTCACACCTCCACACTCCATAAGTTTCACTGTTTGCCACATCCATAACACATCGACTCACCAGTCAATCGGTGCTTCTCACCTGGAAACAGGAAGTATCTCTCATCTTTAGCATTCCTTATCTTTCTGTAATCAGTTCTATCAAATTTTTGGCTTCATTCCTTTGCATCCACATCTGGACCTGAATTTTATAGTAAATATCATCTTATGCATGGAATAACTTGTTTCTTTAATGTATTTTTTTGTAAGGTCTACAGCTGTAAATGTGAATGGATGTATATGGGATCCTACTTTTTATGGAAAAACTGTGTCTCGTGCTAATACGAGATATATGTGGCCATGTTATTCGGTGTATCTGGGTCAGATCAAAGATACTTGACATGTATTTTTATGGATCTTTTAAAATGAAGATTGAACTAATTTCTGAGGAGTTCCAAACTGCTGGGCTGAGTATCTAGTCACTGCATAGGAGCAATTTCCTCATCATACATGTATGAGAATTCAAGAAAGGGTCTGTCCCTTTTCAGTTGCTGAATTTATCACAAGTACTTTTGGTTGCTTGCAAAGGTGTAATAAACTGTGATTCTACAATTACTGATCATATGTTTTATTCAGTAGGCAACACTGCTTTCATGTGATCTATTTCAGAGGAATAGCCTGATAAGTGGTGATGGTTCATTTCAGGCTGTTGCAAAAAAATGCTGAACTTCATATCAGATGATGATGATGAGTAGGACACAGTTATTGCACCTGTTTTCATTGCGGCCATCATCACATTTAACACGAATGTAGTCTTCCACTAGAATGTTTCCTCCCGTGCAAGATCTTTCACCATTTTCATCTGCGCTCTCAGCTCTTCCATCTTCAACCCTGGTTTGTGAAAGACAATAGATATGATCACTCCGAGTCAAGAAATCACAAGCACAGCAGTGGTTCTCAAGTTCAACTTCACAGTCAGGCATTCAAGTAGATCAAGTGAACAAAAAAACAGTCAATCCTCAGGAATAGAAAAGAAAGAAGCAAAAATATGCCATCTTCCTCAGTTTATATTTCAAAAATTTTTTGCTTTCAAATTATTTTCTTGTGGTGGTTCTCTTTACTTGGCTCATGTTTAATTATGCTTCTCAAGGATGCAGATACATTATATCAGGGGTGGTCAAAGTGCAGCTTGCGAGCCACATTCAGCAAGCAAAGTACCTTGGAAAACATCCACTTTGACCACCCTTGCATTATATGGTCGATGGATGTACTCACCAATGCTTCGTTGTACCTTTTGCTTCTGCTCATTTGATAGTGCTCCAAGTAGTTCTGTATATTGTTGCAGTGTCTTCTCAACCAAGTTTTCAGCATCACTCATGTCTTCACTGAAGTATACAGTCCCATGAGAAGATTTCTGATGAGGGAGAAAAAATGCAGGTGCATTGAAAAGTGATGGAGCATCATATAACATCTGCTGAAATGCCATTATCTATTGCATATATCAGTAGCCTGTGTTACTCACTGCATCATTTAGAAGCTCAATTCCTTCTGTGAAATTTTCTGATATTTCACTCATTTTCTGTTTTATCACATCATCTTTCAATTCATAATGCACTTGAGAGAAGTGAAGGAACCTCATATGCATTTTCCCATGCAAGGATAAAGAATGTACCCCTGGACAGGACTTTTGCAGGGGTACCAGAAACTTCAATTGCAATCCAGAGGATGCTGGGTGGCAAAGCAATGAATGATTACAACCCAGGTGTGGGCCATGGAGTACACTTCTCAAAGATTTCACCAGGCTGTTGTTGAATCTCATGCTTTCATTGTAGGTTGTCACAACAATGAAGACCTAAAAGTGAAAAATGCTGTCCCTTACCATGATTAGGACCTATCTTAGTCTATGCCTACAGTGAATTTAGGTTGATGTCAGGTTGTACATTTTTTGGATTAAGCAGCAGTGCCATGTCAAATATAAGAAATATTGTAAAACCCATTGAATCAATCTGATAAGAAGTGTTAGGTTCAAAATACACTGTACCAAAGCTAAGTCATTCTGACTTTACAGTAGGTTAACTGATGGTAGCGAATGTAAAGCAATAGTGAATCTGGAATGACTTGATTTTTTTAATGAAGACATGAAAGAAACTCAAATTTACAATGAAACCACCAATTTAATACGGATGAGGCACAAAAGAGACTTAACTTATTGCAGTTGTATTATCTCAAGCCTTCCACCAATGCATAGGAGCCAATTCCATGTTGGCTGATAGGCCTAGCATGTATTGGCATAATAGGCATGTAAGCATACTGAAACCCCTGCCCTAGATCAGGTGATTAAATTTAAGATATCAAATTAAAATAGATTTAAATAAAGCTACATGCATTTAAATAATGTAAATGATGCCAAAATAATGTTAAGAACATTAAAATCATTCAAATTTGAAATTATAAGCACATCATAATTCAATAAATACTTTGTCACTAGAGTGATCCAAGGTACTATAGAGAACTTCAATAATTTTGTTTACTACTAAGATTCTTTCTCAACGATTCTCTGAAAGATGTTGCTTTTTATCGTGGGCAGACAGTCTTAGACCAACATGATATGTATATCAATCAGTGACAGTGAATAAATAAAAATTAAGAAATAAATTGAGGACTGTACCACTTCTTTATCCAGAAAGTTCCAACTTTCCTGTCATATATTTCACATTGCCAGTTCAATTTCATTTCCTTCTCCATTGGATGGAGGCCCTTCCTTGACTTTACGTCAAAGATAGGAAAAGAGCTCAGGATTTTTTTTACAACCAGCAGCTTAAAATAGATTTTAAAAAGTTTCAAGTGAGAATATCAAAATACAAGAATAAAGAAGGATAAAGAACGAAAGGAGCCTTATAATAATAGTTATAAATTAGCCACCAGGTAAAGGAAACTTCAGGCCTTGGCAGCCGGCGTACAGCTCACTATTTTTCTATAATACATAGATTGGTAGATAGATCGTTCCAGAAGTTGGTTGTTCCTCATTGCTACAGGATCGAATTATATGTTCCAGTGGGTTGAGATGTAGCCAGGCGCAAGTGAACTTTTTGACAGCGAGTGTGTTCCAAGCATCTATGAAAATTAACTCGCGTTCTTGCAAAGGGCACTCGTGTAATCCCTGTGAGCAGCTGCCCGTTCATACATATTGAAGGAAGCGGGAGGAAAAGAACTTGTTTTCAGTTGGGCAGCCCCTAAGTGCTCTACATTCAGTTTCTCTGACCGCAAAGTTGCCTGCGGCCTGCACAAGAACGCAAGGTAAACTCTGTACATCTGAATTCCCTCTAGCAAGAAAGGGCACTCTTCCACGTGATACCACGGTGCGCAGCGCCATGGCTTCTTTTCAGGCTGGTATGGCGGCGTCTAGTCGGTGTCTTCTAATTCTACAATGCCTTGCAAATGAATTCGAACCACCTTTAATATCGTGCAATGTTCTACCCATGTTGCATCCTAGAAGGAGAGGGTGTATCTTGTATGATAGAAATAGAGAGTTAGAGATGGTACGAATCACTTGCGAATAATTAGTGCTTTAGATTTACTGTAGAGCAAACGATCTTAGGCAGTCTTTGATATTGACAATGATGCCCAAATGAATTCCTAATAGCTTGAGCATGGACTGCATTGCCTAACGCAACTTCTTTCATGGGAAATACCCCCTCACCTCCCTGCAGGCATAACATAAACTGGAAGCATAATGAGGACCACTAAATTAGTGAATCTTCTGACTGATTTCTACCCTACTTGGCATTGTTTATTATGCGTTGTACATGGTTCAGAGCTACAGTCTGTAGTTGTGTGTTTCAAATAAATGAGTCTTTGTGAATATGTGCTTCCTAAATTCACCAGCTTATCAATTTCTTTATCTGCCCAGAGTAAGCAGTGCACCAATTTTATACAGAACTCTATGCAGAAACAATGAACAGAATTTAAGATGATCTTTGAACTGAGATGCAGACATAAGCATCCCTACTGATTTAGTCAAAACTTTTATTTTAGGGTGATTTTTGGAAAGCAGAATGTAATCATCAGATTCCACTTTGTCTATAAAGCCACATGCTTTTTAATGACAATTTATTTGACTCATTGAAAAATGCTAGTAGATCTATTTATTTCAATATAAAAATGTTAACCTTTAGGCTCTGTTCTATGCTGAATTGTCTAATTTACTATTCATATGAGCTACCACTAGTTCATTCACTTTGGGAAATATATATTTGGAATTGGGTTTGATGCAAAATAAGCATTCTGTGGAACACATGCACAAGACGTACAGAATTAGGCACTCTCTAGGATGCCTTCATGTGAAGAAAATAGAGGCTAGATTATCCACATGAAAAAAACTATTGTTCAAACAGGTTGACATTAAGCTGGCAGACGTAACTGTGTCTTGATCCGGAAAGATTGAAAGGATGAACTGCATTAAAGAAATGTACATATATGTGAAACAGACACAGTTAAAGGTGGTATAAATTCATTTGAAAACCTCAGTACAAGGTCACAGACCCTTCCCTACATAAGCCCACATTGAATAGGTTGCCCCTAACATATGGTATCATAAGGCTATTATAAGTGTGAGAAGGGAATTTGAATATGCAGCCCTTTCATTTGCAATTTCCATTTATCTTTGTCATATCCTGCATGAGCTAATGACCTATATTTACTTTGTCACCAATAGATATTTTAGCAACAGCAACTTGCCCTGTTCAAGACTCAAAAACTTATCACTTCTTGAGTGAAGCCCTTGACTTGCAGAAAATTCTTTAAACCTTAATCTGAGGCCTGACCTCCAACTTGTGCCTGTCTTTGATCCTCTGTCATAAATTAGAATACACCCTTTACCTTTTGGAAATGCAACTACTTGTGTTTATCTCATGTGAAATGTTTCATGGAAATCAGCGAGAGTTGCACAGGGACTATAATAATTTCAGCTGTGCCATATGTATAAGCCTGTACCTTTAGCTATGGGGTTATTCATATGTGACAGTCCTTCTATGGCATGTCCACATTGAAAGGATAATGGTCTCTTCATATCCTCACCATGTCAGCAATCTGCAGTGAGAACTGATAGCTAGGTGGGATAAAACCTAGACTTCATTCCCAACTGTTGTAGATTCAATCCTTGCACTGCTGTCACATTTAAAACATATGGAGTTTGCAAAAAAAGAAGTCAATCTGAATTTAGGTGGCAGCTGGTAAAGATACTGGCTGTGCAATTTCCAAATGTCAGGCATCATCTAAAGCTCTGTTTATTCCAAAACAAAATGTTGCAAACTGTTTTACAACACCTGCAAGGAATAAAAATTTATGCCCAGTTTAACACATAAAAGGGGCCTTTAGCTTGTGGACCTCATTATCTGTGAAGCCTACAAGTTATGTATAATCTTTCAATGAGAAATGGAAAATGCCATGCTGCATTTGTAGCTATTGCGATTAGAATGAATTCCACTCCAAAGGCTATATGGGTGCAATTGGACTTAAACAGCCCAATGTCTGCTCCTTGATGTAATTTCATGATGATTCCAGATTAATGTATTGACAGTACTGAAGCCACAGTTCTCAGATAGTCCCAGAGCTAAGCAAAAATGAAGGATTCTGGATTGTTTTCATACCAAAATTTTGTTCATGCTGTTGCAGGATCCACAGTGAGTCTTTCTCTTTGCCTCCTGGCCTGACTGTTCATAAGAGATGCTCATACTCTGATGAAATTGTTGTTTCTGTTGCAGGGTAGTGTCATTGCCATGACAGCATTCTACCCCCTTGACACAGTGAGAGCACGGCTTCAGTGTAAGTGACATTGACCAATAGAAGTTTTTTCTTTATATTTGCTATATGTTTCAGTCCTTCCTTTCTTGATAGTGAATTTAAAGCAAACTTTTCTATTTTATAAATTTGATTCATTGCCTGGTTTTAGTGGAGGAGAGACGTCAGGCTAAAGGCACCCTCAGAACTGTCCAGGACCTTGTTCAAGAAGAGGGATGGTGAGTACTATAAGTTGCTTTATTATCTGTAGTGTGCAGTTCTAGAGTTCATTGTTCAATTATCTTTAGTTGATATCATTTTTCCTCCCTATTTTATAGTGCTTCACTCTATCGAGGGGTGGTCCCAGTCCTTGAGAGCTTGTGCGTTTCAAACTTCGTCTACTTCTATACATTTCATGGACTCAGAAGAACATTTTATCTCTCTTCTCCAAGTCCTCTGAGGGACCTTGGCTTTGGCTGCCTTGCCGGTGACTGATTTGTAAACTTATATTTTTATACATATAGTTACTTTAGTTACTTTATTCTAATTACTTCATAATTAAATTATGAGCCAGCCTAATTTGCTGTTAATGTTCTTGGAAATACTAACAATATATTTAAGCCTCAGTTTTGTCAGTCATTGAAGAATGGAAATGTTTTGCTTGGCAGGTGTGATCAATGTTCTGACCACAACTCCCCTTTGGGTAGTGAACACAAGGTTGAAATTCCAGGGTGCCACGTTCAAAGTTGGAGAGAGTCTGCAGCGACCAAAGACAGATTACCAAAACCTTCTCGGTGAGTTGGGCACAGCAGGAATTTTTCCTACCATTTTTATTCTTTTCTTAATGCATTTGTTATGCAAGATTCATGCAACTGCTCACTGTGCATTTTTTAAGTTTTTGCCTATTTCATGAAACATGTAACTGCTACATTTATTGTGCTTCAGCAAAGTGCTGCACTAAGTGTGTAATAAATAATTTGCATGAATCATGCAAATCACATAGACATACACACACTTCACACATACCTAGGAGATATCCCCCCCACCTCAATGGATACACTATAGAAATTATATGCACCATGTGAAAGGTAGAATAAATTATTTTCAAATAGCTTTTGGCTTCTATTGGGGTAGTATTTTTTTCTTGATTCCTGGTAGACTCTGGTCCTTGACGGTTCAGGTGTGTCTTACAGAGTTACCACAATATTACAGAAAACTGGCCTAATAAAAATAATTGGTGTCACTGTCAAACTATTGTAAACTTTTCAGGCATAGCAAAATTATCAGTTAAGGGTCATTCCATGTCAAATCAACACATGTGGACATTTTTCTGGTGACCCCTTCTGATTTAGATGAAATTTGGTGTACTTGTCAATGATGGTAAGAAACTAACCCTCACCAAATATTGGGTTCATTTGACCCCTGGTTCCTCTGGTATGAGGTCACAAAATTTGAGGCTGAAATGCCTCATTCTTGTACCCCAAATCAGACTCCTTGAAATATCTGCCCTAATTAAGCTAGAGAGCTCATCTTAGCCTCATTTTTTAGTTCTTTTCCAGCCCTTTCCATTGGTATTGATATATTTTGGTGATTGCTAAAAGTTATCATTCAGTAAGGAGGTCGTATTGATGACCTTTGACCTTGCAAAATCAAAAACAACCACCTTTGATTTTGAAAATAATTGGGTAAATAGTAGACAAAATATATCGCTACCTCTGGAAAACATTTTAACTTAGGCACTTTGTAATTTTTGGAGATAATTAAGATACATTACTATACGATAGGGTACAGGGTGCAAGAGGCTGAAGGCCCATGACTGCACCTTAACTCTAGAACATCAGCTAACCCATCCTCCCATCTACCTGTACATCCTTCTCCCTGTAACATCAGCAAACACAAGTAGCCTAGGGAGACTCAGTTTGACCCATGTGCTCATTCTGGGATTGCACTACTCGAGGTTTGGCCTTCACCATTTGAGATCTTTAATGTCCCACATCCTTAGATGGCCTAAGCCTCCTAAGGGAGACCCCTAAGCCTTGGCACTCGCCAAGTGCTTAGGGATCTCCCTTCCCAAGCATCCTGGGGCTTGCATTTGGAAATAAACATAGGACATGTTTGGGTTCAAACCTGGGTACCCTGCCATGGGAGGTAAGCACATTATCAACCAAGCCACTTGCTCACATGCCCCAAGGGGCAAGTGAATGACTTAGAGCTGTTTGCATGAAATCCATTAAACAGAATGTATTCCACTTCATGATAGTGACCTATGGGAATGCATTTAACTGATTTGATGTTATTTTCATTAAAATCCATGTAAAAATGAGCACTTTAAAATTGGTTCTATTTATATGCGCACAAATGGTGTGCATGTAACAATGCACCTATATAGAAGATTAAGGTTTTTACTATAATGCTTGGAAGTGCAAAACAACAGTTGTCTTTTTGGCATGGCTTCAACAGATATGTCAAGATGACAATGCTGAGCACCAAAAAAAAAATTCTGTAGTTTTTCATTAAAAAAAAATAGTATACTTTTTATCAGCATTAAACTTAATTCTATTTTTTTTATGTTATTGTGAAAAAGTCTAGACATTGGCTACTTCTCTGTATATTTGAAAGACTAATCAAAATTGTGTGATTCCTGGAAGCATATTTTCCATTGGAAAACACTTGAATTTACTGGACTTCTGTGGTCATGGGGCACTAAAAAGTGCAGACACCTTCACTCTTGTGTAAAGGGATCTGCTTATTTGAAGAAGTCAGGTGGAGAAAAAAGCACTCCAGTGGAGATCCCATATTCTAGCTTCAGAAGGTTTGTGACATGTAAAAGTGGACATAGGTACTTGGCATATGTTCTTGAGAAATTTAAGGACAATCAGATAGTTCTTGTTCATTTCCTTCATCCACAGAGTCCAGCTCCTTCAGTTTCTTATCCTCCCAAATCTGATTAGCCAAGAGCACATCATAGCCAGGTCCTTTAACTTATTATTAACTCCTTTACAGAAATAGGGCATACATACAAACTGTCCAATGTAGAGAATATGAGACGATGCATGCATTGGTATGTCTTCATATGAACACCCAGTACAGATTATTTTCTTCAAGATGCTCTTTGGATTTGGTTCTATGCGAATGTAGTTATGATTTTTCTTTATTGTGTTTAGTTCTATGCAGTCCATTAAACTTTAAAGATAAACTATAGATTTTGCTGGATGTAGGTATGTTAGTTGCAATCAATGGTATTCTCTTTTGTAACTATCTGAAGAATCTCTGGAGAGCCCAAGGTAAAATTTAAGATAGAGGTAGTTACATATCTTGTCTGCTAGCCATTCAATTTTTTTCAAAATCTAAAATGGTTATTTTTGGTAATATGAGGTCTAATGGTCATTATGATGACCTCATTAAAAGTTTACTTTTTGCACATATGCAAACTCTAGTCACAAGTTTGAAAATGACTTGAAAAGAGCTTTTGAATGAGCCCAAGATGTCTTTAGCTCAAATAGAACAGAAGTTATGAGGGAAAGACTATCATAGTGCAGCTAGAAGGCATTTTGGCCCGAATTTTCAAGACCTCATCTGAGGAACAAGAAGTCAAATGAACCCAATAATTGCTCTGTGTCACTTTCTAATAGGTAAAAATAAGTCTGCCAAATTTCTTTCAAATCAGAGAAAGTCACCTTTTAACACTTGATTTTACACTAAATGACCCTCAACTATTTTTTAACACGAAGCCTCTGACTCAATCAAAGGTTGGTGGAAGCCAATCGAATCGACTAGTGGTAATACAAACTTGAAAGTGTTGTTTTTGAGTGGATCTCCAGGCACTGATCTCATCACTACCTGGAATATTGTTTGAAGAACCAATTATACACAGAAATGTACCAGATTTGACCTATTACCATCTTCCATACCCAATGAGGACAACCATTCCCTGCTGATGTCACCAAAACTTAGCGGTTTGAATTCACAAAAAAAGAGTGCAGATTTGGACATTTCACGTACAGTCCTCTCTCCTCCACACAGTACTTTCTCAAAAACCATTATAGCGGATTCATTAGGTTTTGCACAACCTATCAGCATTAGTGATTTTTCTTTGAGTCAGAGATTGAGGGATAATATGAAGCATGTTAAGCATGGTCTGTGCTATGTGTAGTGTATTAGAAGGTCTGCAAGATGGAAACCATTACCTGTTACCAACCAATAATAGACACATTCTGTGGATAATATGGAAGGAGAAGCATTTGAAGATGCACGGAAAGGAGAAAAATCTGTTTTATCTTGATAATTTGATGCTGATGATTCATTCAAACTGCAGTGGTCTCTTATGAATATCAAGCAGAATTATACTATCATCTTTCATGTGCCTATATCCTGGTAATTTTTATTTTGGGATAGGCCTATCCTTTTTCTTTCTCTTACAGTTGATCTCAAAAAGTACTTACTCTGTTCCATGGATATAGTTGTGATTCTTATTAGACCTGCAGAATTTTTCATAGTTTGAGCTGTAAGCCCAGTCTCTACAAATAACAAAGGGTCTAGTGATCCCAAGTCTATCATTGCAATATTGCATCTTCCTCCTATAGATGGCCTATATAAGATCTACAGAGAAGAAGGCACGGGAGCCTTGTGGGCAGGTACATTGCCATCCCTCATCCTGGTCCTGAATCCAGCCATTCAGTTCATGACCTATGAGGCATTGAAACGACGGTCAGCTGGGAAGAATGTTGGCCCTCTTGGGTACTTCCTCATGGGAGCTGTCTCCAAGGCCATTGCCACTGTCATCACTTACCCCCTCCAAATCATCCAGGCAAAACTGAGGGTATTTATACATCTGATAGAGTACTAGAGAGATCATTCTAAATCTTTACTGGCATGAATGAGTATTGTATAAAGCATACTTTTTTTTGTCAGTATGGTCACAAGTATGTCGGGCTAAGTAAGGATGTCAGCGTTTTGGATCTCCTTCGCTTCATTTTCAGGTCAGTCTCCTTGTTGCCAGCATCTTTTTCCTACCTAGGATTTCTCAAGTGCATGAAAAGTTATCCACACAGCTCTGCAATATATAGGCCTATAGTTAACACAGCAAGAGATGACTGTTGAGTGGATGGAACAGTATATGAAGTGGAGATACTGAGCTTAAATGAGATTCACTATTTCATACATTAAAGTGATATTCTTTTATCTAATTCAAACCTATTATCTTGAACATCTGCTATATTTGCCCTCCTACTTTCATATCTCATAGTGCTGACTTGAATTAGAAAAAGGAATACGATAAATGAGTAATATTCTAAAAATATAATGAGGCATAATATGGAATGTCACACACTTCCAGTGCTCAATCCCTTCAGAAATTTATGGGGAGTATTTTTTCCCTACTTGAATCATTGGTCAGAAATGAAATTCTTATCCCACCAGAGGGTAGGAGTACAGAAAGAAAGTGGCAGGGTTTTGGGTGTTTGGTATTCTTTATTTACCTTCTCCTTGTTTGTATTCAATTGAGTTAGAATATTTATTTCTCTTTCTTCCTCCTAAGCATCTTAATTGATACAAATATATCTTTTTATTATGCTCCAGTGTGAAATTAGATGGAAGAATTCATGAAATTGAGAATTTAGTTAGGAATAAGCAATTAGGAATGCATTGCAAGTGAACAAGTAAGGATGAAGGTCTTAATTAGGTGTGGGAGTTCAGATGTGTCTGTCATTAAAGTCCAGTGGCAGTCTAGGGGTACGTAACACTTGGAGTTCTGTTGTTTTTCCACATATACATTAACATGAATGCTTTTCTCATCATAATGCCACTTTAACCCATTCACATCCTATGACACTAGTTTATTGTTGGTGAAATCAACCAGTTTAAATATGATGTACTAGTATTTCATTGGATGTGAATGGGTTAAATGACCTCTAAGTTTTATAGATGCATTGACCATTTGAGAATTTATGTATGTTTAGATTATTTGCATGAAAGAAATGTATGCAATGAAAACTGCAAGTTCATGAGCCTCTGAAACAGGAGTTGTCCTCCATCTAGCAACAGAAGCCCTTGTGTGTTTCAAATGCTTGTGAACTTGCATAGTCTTCATTATATACTCTCCTTTCATACTGATATGTGTATAGCCAATTCTTTCAATGGAAAAACTCAGAGTATTTTCTAAATAATTAATTCTTTTTTTTAGGCCTTTCCCAAAGAAGCCTTCATGCAAATAAGTGGAATGGCTTGAAAACCTCTGCAGAATCCAAAATATAAAATGGTTTTAACCCTAGAACTGCCAACCATAGATAAAATCGACTTTGGAAGGCTGCCATGCTGCTTATGGCAGTTCCAGAGTTAAGGATGTGTTTATGACTATATTTCAAGACTGCTTGGTCATGATCATTATGGTGTCTGCTTTCATTTTGATGGAGTGGCCTTGGTAGATAGGAGTTATCATTTGTTAGGCATATAGGATACTCTGAAGTTCATCAACCTTGCTTATTTTTTCCCAACATCCTTTTACTATCTAGATCAGTGGTGCCCAATCCATGGCCCATGGGCAAAAAGTGGCATTCGAGGTGCTTAAAAGTGGCCCGTGCGAGGCCCTAACTCACAATACCCTCAGGTTTCCTTTAAATGTTCTCCAACAATACGAGTGGCTTAATATGGCCTGGAATGGCTGTGGTAGTGAGCTATGTGGCCCCCTAGCTGAAAAGGTTGGGCACCACTGACCTTGATGATATCCATGCTAAATATTCTATGTATGAAGAAGCATTTGGCTTGTCATGATGCAGGAACCAAGGTGTTCGAGGCCTGTACAAGGGGATGGAAGCAAAGCTGCTTCAAACAGTGCTCACAGCAGCACTCATGTTCCTCTGTTACGAGAAGATTGCAGCTTTTGTGTTTCGTATCCTTGCCACTTCCAGGAAGGCCCATTGATGAATTCCCATTCTGTTCCCTCCTTATATTTACCCCTGGATTCTATATCTACCATCATTCATCATCATGCTGTACTGTAATCCCAGGTGGTGGTGTATGTATTGCATTGATACTGTGGGAACATCTTCACAATGACATTGACACAGTGTGGAAGCATCTGTGATATTCTTCCTTGCTGATTGTAGCCCTTATGTCAAGCAATTCATGAATTATTTTGGAACTGGGACGAAAGCTCTTTTAATGGCATTCTTGCTCGGGTCAGGTCATTTTTGTTGGCTCGATAACAAAGCCAAAGTTTTCTGAAGTTCCAGTATTCCATATAATATTTTTCTGTGATTAATGCAACAGTGAGGATCATGCCTGTTCTTGTTCTTTTCAAACAGTTTGATAGACTGAGCAGACCCTTTTATACAGTATGCAAAAATGTTCATGAAATTTGCAAGGGTCAGCATGGTCACATAAAGGTTGTGCTCTTGTGCAGGCTTTTTAACCTGTAAAGATTTTCAAATGATATGTTATCTTTTTTTGAATTGAAAATATAATAAAATAGAGCAAAGCCTCTGAAACAGATGAACATATTGACTGGCAGGCCTGAAATACACTTGTAAAAATGTATGAGCAGAGAATTTGGAGCAGATAAATGAAAAACATGTCATCAATTTTTCATCAATGGCATTATTACTGGCATTGAAATTGCTAGTTCTTTTTTTGTTGTGGAATGGCTTTATGGTGACAGGTGTGCAATATGGACAGTTCTAGACTAGTATGTTCTAGATAAACAATTCCACAATTCAACATCAACAAGCTCAAAATGCATGACCAAGGTGGTTGCAAAGTGTAGAATGTGAGAAAAGCAATTTTATTTGCAAATCAGATTGGAATTGTGTGAATAACATTGGGTTGCTGATTTTGAAGGAAGCACTTCCAACAGCTGGTTGCATAGAAAAAGAAAGGAAAAATCCCTATCACATTTTGTGTCCATTAGTCTTCATTTTGCATGTACTCTTACAAAGTAAATATACTTACAAATTCTGACCAAATGGAAGAAAAAGGGTCAGAAAATGTATTCTTGTCTTAGCTGTTGGCACCTTGCATCCTAGAAACTCCTTTCTGAATGCACATTGTGTAACTATTGCTGATTGAGTTTTGATGTGCTCCTCAACAAAGATTCTCTTGTAAATTTAAATGAGGCATTTTGAACCTGCTACAGAAAAAAGGGCTATTTAGTAATAAAGAAGACTTTTGCCTGCTTAATGCATTTATTATTCAATCCTATCTTGTATGGTTATCTTGTAATTTCATTTTGAAATTGGGTATATTTTTTTGCCCACCCTGTTCTTTGTATGCACTATCAGCTACTTGATGTTATTCTTAAAATTACTGCCTGACTTGGAATGAAATTCTGGATTTTGCATATCAGATGCCCCCATATCCAGACCTTTCCCATGTGTTTGTCCTCCCTGCAAATTATGCCATTCAAGCCCTGCTATTGGCATGATTTTTTATGGGTATTAGAAAACTCCGTTACCTACCTTGTATGCCCACATACAGTTCATGTATGAATTTTCTGACTCTGCATTGGATTACTGCAGGAAAAAACTGAATTCATCCTGAGTTTGCGCTATACTTTAAACTCTGAAACCTGTGAGATTTTGCTTGTGAAGGCACATGTTAGTGACTGAAATAATGAGGTTGCCATGGGACTTGCATATAATATACCTTCATATAAAAGGTTACAATTTTATCCAATTTTCTTCAGTTAATGAAGATCTCTATCATGTATGTTTTGTGTATGTCACCTGCGTTCGAACCAGCGTTTGATGATGATCAGACATTCAATAGTTACAGGCAAGCTCGCAACCAATGAATAAATGAGCAAATCCTATGTTTTGTTCTTAACCTTATGGCAGAGGTGTCTCCCAGGAGGCAGACATGTTGAATACCATTAGAAAGCAGTTACAGTGCCAATTACAATTAAGGGAATGAGGTTGAACTGAGTGTCCAAGCGTTTTATCCTGATTTTTTAATTATTTTATAAGGCGTCAGCTGGTATTGCTGATTGCTCGAGCGTGAAGGAAAAGAAAGGAAGCAACATGGTAGTCTAGAGTTGACCTGTACGAGCAAAATCCATTTTGCGCCTCAGCGATCAGCTCTTCTTGCGGTAGGCTTTCATACGGGAATCAGCAAAGGAGAAATCTTACCGACTGTGGATGGAACGGAAATGGGATGACTATGGAACGAATTTAGAGGACAGTTTAGCAGACTTTCTGACGAATGAAAAACGTCCCGATTGCAGACGAAAGGAATTTAATCGGAATATCTGCTGCAGAAATCTTCGGAACGAGAAGGGAGATGAAACTGGGACTTAATAAGATACGAACGTGCGGCGAGCTTCGCAAAGGGAAATATTAGTGAATCTGGGAGTGGAACCTGTTCGATATGGAAAGCAGCGTAAACCGTCGTCTTGCTGAAGCAAAAATGTGGAACGAGAAGTCGGGCGACGAGGGACACCGCTTGCCTGCAGAACTGGAATAAATGGCTTTCTGCCCTCGTAGGTACGTTTCGCCGGTTCCCATCGCACTTTAAGAGACCGAAGCAAACAATCCCTCGAGATCCATGGCATATACGGTATTTGCTCATGGTATGCCTTTGGATCTCTCATACAGTCGGCACTCATTATAACAAAGTACACTTTAACGCAAAACACCATTTAACGAAAATGTCATCAACATTTGGTTGGCCTCGGCATCTCCCTGTACAATTATAAAAAGTTGTAACGAATTACGATATCACGAATTAAACCTTGTAACGAAGTAAACTTCCTGCATCGATCGCCAAAACAAGTTTTTATAAGCAAATCGCAAAACTTTCATGCCAGTTCTGTCCCATTACAAGCCGATAATGACGCGAGAACATGGTTTTAATTGTAGCGGGATACGTATTACCTTCACACATGCGCAGCGATAAATTAATCGCGCATTTAATTAGTCATACCCATGCCAAAGCAATGCTCTATGCAGTACGCACTAGTTTGCTTCTACTTCATTTTCAGGTGTAGCGAAAATTAGACACTCCAACCCTACGCCTAGCTTGACAACCCGAAATTTATCATTTCAAAGAAATCATGGTCTGGCATCTTGGGTCTGTGGACGGACATCGGACTTACCTCGAAGGGGGATAGCTAAAATTGGAATTCCCAAAGAAGATAGAAATATGCCTCAGTGTCGCTGACCGGGAGGCCCAAGGGGGTTCTAACTCCCTTCCCTACACTACCCTACACTACCACTGCCCAGGCATAAAAATTGTTTAGAATATTAACATAACACCATAGAGTAGAGTGTGTAACTGGAAACGATTCTCCGAGGGGTAAGGGGTCGAAATATTACAGAGACATCTGGTGGCGTGTTATCAACACTTCCGTGAGGCGTGAGGCTTCGTGGCAATGGAATCGGGAATCAACACATTTGGGGATTCCTCAGCGTAATACGCGTGTCTCGAGTCTGCTGCTTGGCCCTGGAGGAGTTATTGGTGTGCACACGCCATAGGCGCACGCTAGGTGGAGGATAAACAGCGACATCTTATATTTCGACCCTGTCAATGAATGGGGTTCAATGGGAGAGTCGCCTCTAGTTACACTCTCTACTCTATGGCAGCACTTTTCATTTGGTTAGATAGGAGAGAGGAAGGTGAAAATAGCACGAAGCTGTTATGCACGTGAAGGCTTGATTTGGCACAACTGTGCCAGCAGGAGAGGACCGTCAAAGGTCACCGGTCTGGCTTTTCCCCGTCACACTCAAATTGAATGTGTCCGAGCTGACACTCTCGTGTATGAGTTTGAGTAGACATACTGATACATTTCCATTTCTGTCATCCATTAGGTGATTTCTAAAAATGTTTATTTTTCGTGTTTCCAATCATGAGACTTTGTAATAGGGGTGATATTTTCGCCTCAGTTCTGCAAATTATGGGAACCACAGACTCGAGTGTTCGACAGTCGGATGATCTGAGGACTTGCCTCCTTTTCCATTCCTTCCAAAAAGGTAGCCAAATCGAGATGAGACGTGATATTCGTGGTTGCACCTTTTTGGTTTCTCAGACCCAGTACCCCTTTGTCGGTTGCTGTGAGTGATGGAAAGATTGACCTTCAACAGACCACGAATACACCAAGCTGAAGACAAGGTCGGATGGGGTGGCGGCGGAGAGCACATTGCACGTGTCTCACCCACTTCCCACTCCCCGCCTCTGTAATGCCGATGGCCCTTCGAAAGGGCCTCCTCCATATATCTCCCACATTCAGTCTTTAGCTGTGATCACCTTTGAATGGTTGGTGAAACTGTGAATTCGCTAGATAATCTGACGCTAGTTAGTTGAACTTGAGATAGAGAGTACTGAACGTCTTAACTTTGCTTTTGTTTTCTTGATTGATGATTATTTTTGATATAAGCTTGTAGTACTCTAGAAGGTCTACGGCTGGCATATGGAAGTGCGAAAGAAGCAGATTTCATATCACATGCGAAGTGATACCAATAATGCCAACCTATTTTATCGAAATCTCGACTCAGGAATACGCTTACTAAAACTTACTCGTACACAAGAGGACCGGCACGAAACATGCGTATCCAAGCAGAGCTCAACCATGAAGGTGCAAGGTGGGAAACTAGGTAGAAGAGGGACAGAGAAGCCGGACAAGGAATACGCTTACTAAAACTTACTCGTACACAAGAGGACCGGCACGAAACATGCGTATCCGAGCAGAGCTCAACCATGAAGGTGCAAGGTGGGAAACTAGGTAGAAGAGGGACAGAGAAGCCGGACATACGACCTTGGGCTTTCTACGCATTACTTTCAAGCAAGAGCAAGTCTTCACGCGCACTTTCAGCCTCAGGCTATGTTCACCCTCCCCGTCCTTGTTAATGAATGGTGCTCTATAATATTGCCTTAAATTATTTATTCTGATCCGTTTTATATGTTGCTGACGTCCGTATAAGTGTCTTGCACGAGGGAGGGAGAGGTGTCTAACCAAAACGGACATCGTTTACACAGCGCCCGGCAGGCGGCCTCGTTTTTCGATATCGAAAAAAACTCGCCCGCCTGCCGATCGGTGTGCACGTGAGGCCCGTTTTGGTTATCCGGCTCTCCCCCCTCATGTAATTCTTACTTCTCGTTGGGGGGGGGGGGGGGATGACGGATGTATTTTCACTAGAGTTGGGGGGGACTGAAGCCCCTCCCCCTCTTGCTACGCCACTGGACGTAAGACGAAAGTATCTCTTTTAAATATGATTATTAGGCCATCCTGCAATGATGACAAAGCAATGAAGAGTTAGCGATGAGAGCCGTAAATGAGTCAAAAAGAGGAAATCAGTCTAAGTTCAGCTTTTCTGGCTCATTCAGAGCCGGGAAGAGACGAAGAAGAACGTACGTATGAAGACAAAAATAAATATATTGATAATTTCAACTTGACAGGTTTTCCACTGAATCCAATATTTCAAGTTATGTAATCCATTCCCCAATACTTCACCCTTCTTCGGATTTTAGTTACAAATGCAGTGATGGTATGGGAAAGGAATTCGTTGAGAGCGGCCAGCATCACATTCGATGCTCACACCTCGACGTGGATGCTGAACAAACAAAAGAATCGGAAACATCTTGCTGCACTGAGCCGGTTCATTTTAATAGGTCTGCGAAAAAAATTTTAATGAGTGAAAATTTGAGAGGAAAACGGATGGAGAGGAGGGGAAACTCGCACGTCATCGCCATGGGTGGGAGCAACCATATGCTTGGAGTCTCAGAAGTTAAACTTCGTATTTTTCTTGGCGGAGGGGGGGGGGGGGCATCAGTCTACGCCGCTGAGCATCTCAGAATGTCCAATATCTCTCCCGCAAGCCAGACGAAGGCGGCCGAGACGGACGGCGACGAAGCAAGGGTCCGGCTAACTCGTGGAGAGGGGTTGTTGCACACCTGCGTGAGAGGGTCGTGTGCAGAAGAGCCTCTCCCCAGCCCCTGGCAACAAACCTAGAAGGTTCCATTCCCGGAAAATTCGGATCTCACCTCGCCGTCTTGGCGGGTGCGCGAATTACGAATCGTGATACGTGATTGGTCAGTGGTGAAAATCCCGCGGATTAACTCGGATTGGAGGCTACATCCGGGGTCGGACGCACGTCCTCCCGCCTCAGTCTCCTGCCTGCTCGCACGTGCCTTGGAGGGGTCCTCGCGTCTCGCGTTTTCGCTCCGTTTCAGTTGTTAATAAGGCTGAAGACATTCTTGTTACGTGTGTTCCTGTG